GCTCAATAAGAACATTTACAGCCCAAACCCATCAATAGTGTAACTTTTTCGTCCATTTTTCCCGTCTTTTTGCTGTAAAAATGCTGTCCAGAATGATGGCGATTTGGCAACTTTGCCCGCCCATTTCTCAAAAACGGTGCGTATACTCAAGCTAAAATTTTTACCAGAGTTTTAGGGTATCATAAGGTATCGTTTGGGCCCGGTTTCAGAAAAATCCCTTCTGGCCCAAATTGTGCCATTCTTGGCGTCGCTCTTTGAACTAAGATTTCTAAAAAAATCAATTTTTGGTCATTTTGAACTTTCACCGGCGGCCATTTTGGAAATTTTGGTTTTTTTGAAAATCAAACGTCAAATTCGTTTTTCTCGTGTCAAAATACCCCTTCATACCGATTTCCGCGCAAATCCATCGACAAATAACCTGTGTGAGTTTTCGGCCATTTTGAACTTTAACCGGCCGCCATTTTGGAACGGTTTGAGATATTGACTTCGGGTTTGCGCGAAAAGTTTTCTTTTTTTATACTCTTTCGAACGAGCTATCACAAAGGGGGTCTTTCAATTTGAAAATTAAAAGTTGGGGGCCGTTGCCCCCCAAGGGGGGCCCCCCTGAAAATTTGAGGGGGGCCAAAAAGTAGCTCCCTTTTGACTTAGGAATATCCCCCAAGTTTCAAATCTTTATCTCAATTAGGTAAAAAGTTAGAGGGGGTGGAAGGGACTTTTGGATCACCCTGTATATCTAGTTGCACATTCAGCAAATTTTCTTGATTTAATACGCCCTTCCTTATTTTGTACTTTTCAAGTACAGGCAACATCCCTTGGTTGTTCTTTTGGCATACCTTTACACTGTTATCAATGTCATTAATTACATGGCCAATGTTTTTGACATGTTTGTATACATTAGAATCATTTCGCTGTATGTCTTCTTTAAATCTAGTTTTGATGTTACGTTTGGTCTTACTTATGTATTTGGCGTTATAACTCCTACAACTAATACAGTATACTCCTGCACAATTAAAATTATCAGTAGTATCTACATTTTTTAAATAATTTTTACAATGGAATGTGGATCTGAAAGCAGGTTTGTACAATAATACAAGTCAATAATACAAAGATTTGAATCCTTGAAAAATTATCTCCATAGAAGAATGGAGCTGAACTTTCACATATATCGAGACATTATTATTATTACTTACTCTTTCTTTCCCACATTCATGAGATATATGTAACCAGCAGTTCTCAACTGATGGTTCCAAGGTGGCGGACTTCTGAAGTCCCTAATTTTGCATGCAGCAAAACAGAAAGTTTTTAAATGGAAAAAATGTTAAGGTTCTGCTTAAAATGCCATGTACCTAGTGTAACGTTTAATTAAAGATTTCGCTTTTTAAGTATGCTCTAGTCGTCGTAAAAATGTTGATCAGTTTAATTGCAACCTTTCAAACTTTTCGAATCAATTCTTTCATCTCTTGTCAGATTACAGTACATTTTCACCACCAAGAACTCCTCGTAACAAGTCCATGACATCATGCCTTTTACCAACTAATTTCTCTGAAATATTTTCCTGTGGTTAAAGTCACTTGTCTATATGTATTGTAACACTTTATATTTCCAGTGTTGCAAAAAGCAGGCCGTCACATGGAGCACACGTTGATTGCGGCCTATGTCGGGCTTCTGTTGGGCTATCTAACGATTGATAACGATGTAAGTCTCCCCTTTTTTCCCTTAGTTGCCCCTACATATTGTTTAACTTGTTGTGATACCATATCTTACTTCTGACTCCAGTAATTATATACCTATGTACCCTCTAAAGAACTTTCTCATTATTAAACAATAAAATGGTCAAAATGTCCTGCAAAGAACTCCAAATGTAACAGAAATTGGAATAACAAAAAAGAGGACAATGATAAATGAAAGTTATTGCCCCAAAATCAGTTTAGTTTGAATGTGAAAGCTACGTAGGCTGTCCAAAAAGTACCGAGACTGGTTCCATAACTCAAAAACCAAGATAGCTAAAGGCTTCATCTTGGTTTCATTTGAAAGATCAATTCAATATCTATTGATTGAGACCAAAATCAAAACTTTTGGTCAAATATTCCAAAAGTTACAACACTGTTTGTAAAAAAATATCTGGACCCCCTACCGTTTTTTATGACTATTTTCTCTTGCCGGAAACACTTTCTAAATTAATGATCAGTGCACGGTTCTTTTGCAACTAATCATGGCAAAACCTGATTGATTTGGAAACACTAGCTGTCAAGTCGTCGTTGTCCGACTACGGGTATAAGGATTCAAAGTCAACGGGAAAAGAATAAACCGTCAGTCAGCCACCCCCAAAAAACCAGGGAAATTTTCGGCATTTGTTGACAGTTTGTTCAGTTGGTGAGTGATTTTGTTTCTGTGTTCAAAATTTTTGATACCACTGCTTTATCTCTTTCCATGATGGTATCAAAAATTTTGAACACAGAAACAAAATCACGCACCATCTGCAGCGTAGACCACGCACGCACTGTGAACTGTCGACAAATGCCGAAAATTTCCCTGGTTTTTTGGGGGTGGCTGACCGACGGTTTATTCTTTTCCCATTGACTTTGAATCCTTATACCCGTAGTCGGACAACGACGACTTGACAGCTAGTGTTTCCAAATCAATCAGGTTTCGTGCACTGATCATTAATTTAGAGAGTGTTTCCGGCAAGAGAAAGTAGTCATAAAAAACGGTAGGGGGTCCAGATATTTTTTTTACAAACAGTGTTGTAACTTTTGGAATATTTGACCGAAAGTTTTGATTTTGGTCTCAATCGATAGATATTGAGTTGATCTTTCAAATAAAACAAAGATGAAGCCTTTAGCTATCTTGGTTTTTGAGTTATGGAACCAGTCTCGTTACTTTTTGGACAGCCTATGTACAATTATGCATTAAATTATCCGTTTGATTTCGTAAAATTTACTGATGATCTTTACCATTTACTTTCCTGTTAATTTTTTTTGAGCTCAGAGAACATATTTTTTGTGTTGGTTCAAAGTCAAGAGGAGGGACTTTTTCCATCACCTAAAATTTTTGGGGCATTTTCTGGAAGAGGACAAGATCCCGAACCGCAGCAATGCAGGCAATTTGCAATTTTTACGCCTATATGTGAACCAGGTCACCCGTTTTTAAAATCCTCTCTCCTGATGTACCCATTTTTGTGCAGGAACTCCTAGTATTGCTGCCAAGAAGTTCCTGCTTTTTCATTGAACTTTTTTTTTCTCTCCAATCAGCAAAAACACCAATAACTTTCAAAGTGCAAAAGCTTTCGTCCAAATTGCAAATCTGTAGCTGTTATGCCTTCAGTATGGACACCATTTTAAGCTTCTTTAATTTCACTGTCATCAGGTTGCCATTTTAAACCTACAATGAGGAGAGATTGCCTATTTTTGCTTAAAAGTTGTTTTATTTAGTTTTTCTCTATTCATGCATCACTGGTGTATCTTAAGCAGATTGTAAAATGAAAGGGACTTCTAAACTGCTGTGTGTTTGCAGGAGGCTTTAAAATTATTTTTGGGTTACTCAAATTAATTCTCTAACAATTTTTCGCAAGGATTCAAAAACCATATATTGGTGATGGCCCATAAAGAAGCTACATCGGACATGAAGCAGACGTTAGATAGGCAGACAGAGTGGTAGGGCTAATCTTAAGAAAATGGGTTTTCATGAGAGTTTTTAAATTAAAGAATTCAACCATAGAATTCTTATTGTAAATCCTTTAGAGGGATACCTAAATTTTTTTATCCGGACACACATTTTCAAACAGTCTCTTCAAAATTTAATTAAAGTCGGTGTTGTTACTGAGTCCAGAAAAAGCAAAAGTCCCATTCGAAACCAAGGAAACCTTGGTCCTAACCTAATTTTTGCTTTGGGTGAGGTATAAAACTCATCTTTAGCGAAGCGTAGAATCGGCCTATCGAAAGATTTATATCCTTAGTTTTTCACCTTGTGCTATGTTCTTATTGCATTTTTAAGTTTCTGTGTGTGTGTCTGTACAGGAATTTGATCAGTCACTTAGGAGGTACCTGCCTGAAAACAATTTTTCAACCATCCTGTCCATTCTAAAGAAATTCTACGATTTCATGAATTTGACTGCCGCAGTAAGTATCTATCTGAAACCTAAAGTCTAAATCTAAGATTTTCATGCTCTTGCTTTCAAGTATAAGTATTTTTCCCCCTTTTTTAATGAAATTTAATATTGTAGCCAATCCCCCTTAAAAGGATGACTGACAAAGGAACATTGTAAAGGACGATGCTAACCCTCAAGGTTAACCTGAAACAACTCTGTTGTCAAAAGCGAACTTTAAAAAATAGTGATATTAAAGTTTGATGCTATCCTGCAACGGTTTACAACAAAAGTCCAAAGATCTCAACCGATAGACCTATTACTTGGGTTAAAACTAAATTTTTCATTGAATTACGTTTTTAATACAGTTCAGAGCTTCGGAGGGATCGCTATAATAATTTTCACTGAATGCATTCAACAAAATCATCCCACCTTTAACATACACATTTCAGTATCTACTCCATTTATTTGAAAATTTGACATTTGATGTTTTCTTTAACGTCTTCTTTAGAGAATTTTCTTCCTAAATGTTTTCTGAGCCCTATCACTAGCGCCCTAAAATTGTGTATTCAAACATAAATTTCAGTCCAGACTATCTAATAGTTTTAATGATCAAAGTAACGGTTTCCTGTAAAGAGAACATAGATGGATTAAGTAAATCTATTTTTCAGGCACCAAAAAATTACTTCATCTCTTTCATTTCATTTTCCCGGCTCTATCTTTTGTTCGCTTTCAATGGATAGTTCGATGCACCGTTTGAAGTGTGACTAGTTAAAAAACTGAGGAAAAGTTCTGCTTTTTTGTCCTTTAAGGTGATTAGCCTGTGTCACACTATCAAAACTCGCCATCAAATTATCAAGGGCAGGTGTTGTGATTGGTTTATTCGATGACTTGGACCAATCACAGCACTTGACCTTCACATTTTGATGGAGTATTTTGATAGTGTGACACAGGCTATTCCATTCCTAAAACAAACTGACTGATGTGTTGAACAAATTTCAGGGTTGCCATAGTCAGGGAAAATCGGGAAATGTCAGGGAATTTTAAAAAGGTCAGGGAAATGTAGGGAAAATGACAAAAATGTCATGGAAAATTTGTTAAATCACCTTCATTTGCTTTCTAGAAAGGACGTGAGGTTTCAAATAACAAATTTTGCCTGAAAACTATTTTCAATTATGCCTTCTTAACCATTCGTCACATCTTCAATTGTCAGGGAATTTCACCAGAATGTGTCAGGGAAATCAGGGAAATGTCAGGGAATTTCATTTTCTAAATTCTGTGGCAACCCTGAAATTTGTCTACACTATCACCTTTGAGTTTTAGTTAAAGCCAGGGAAACAAGAGTAGAGGCACATTTCGGCTGCCTTTTTCCAAAAAATATTTTTTTAAAACTTTAAATGAAAGTAAAATGTGACTGAATGTAAATTGCAAATTCAGTTTCTTGAGGTAAAAGGTGAACTTGTGTGGTCAGTTACTTTTGGCCCTAATCTAGAGTTTTCAAAAGCGAAAATTGTTTAAGGGCATTCATTATCCCATGTATCGTTCGATAGAAAAAAACCGTCAGCCTACTCATGCCCATTCCTCGCCAGTTCCGCAATTACACAGCTTTCCCAGCAGGAGTTTCCGTTTCTTTCTTTCTTTTAATCTTTGTATCCATTTTTTCAGGCGACTGCTGAAACGACGAGAGGTATCAAAGCCACAAATATGATAATAATGCATTTAACGGAATGTGACAGCAGGTATGTTGAAGCCCACCAAGGTCTCGACTGCTCGCTGAGTCAACCCTCCATCGCATACTCACATAATTAGCCGTAAGGATTTGTTTCCTACTCACAGAGGAGTAAACTTAACTCTCCAAACTGTAGAAACTAAGAAGTCTCAGACCACTACTATCTTTTAAGCTCCTGTAAAATCTTCAGTCAAAAGTTGACTCCTCGCCTAGCAATGTAAGAATCTAATTTTCGAAATTTTGAACTTCGGACTGCATAATCTATAAGAATCTGTCTCGAATGAGATCATTCAAAGCTTCTCGCTCACGTTCAGACTTGTATCCATCCGTTACCAAACGCACCCTGTATTTTCAAATGATGCTTTAAACTAAGTTGAGCAGAAAGAAACTAATTCAAATCCAATTGAAATAGGAAAAAAAGTTTTAATCTTTCTTAGGACATCATCCTAGTGATGAGCCCTCCCCCCCCCATCCCCCCGTGAAATGAAAACTCCTACATGGCTCTCACAGACTGTGGAATTCTCAAAAGCCAACTAAATTTATGTGAAAATGTTGTGAGCTAAGTATCCAGCAAACAAGAAAAAAATCACCGTAACAGTAGGAACCATAGGAATCAACCGTTCAGCAGTGTCCCGGATTTTTAAGAAATAGTTTTTATCCATGGGCTTGTAATCACTTTTACGAATTTGCTAAAATAGTTTTTTAAAATACTTTATATGGCGTTTTTCAGACTTATGCAAACCAAGTTCTTTTTGGAAACTAGCAATCTCTCCAAACGACAAACTTTTAACATGCGAAAAACACTTCTAGTTGAGCTTAAAATTAATTTCAACTCTATGCTCTTAAAATGAGAATTGGTTCCTTCCGGTTCAACTTGGTGCCCTTTATTTCTGGTCTTGTATTTTCTTCCTAAATCAATGCTTTAAGCAATGTGCTGTATTTTACGACTCCTGTTTAAAACTGAAACCATATTTTGAGTTAACGCCAGTTTTTACTTTTGAAGCCTCAAACCTATGAAGGAAACAAGGTATTTTTGACATATTTAAGATATCGCTGATTTTGAATGAAATCTGTTCCAAGATGAAGCTTTCAAGCAATTGACCTCAAAAACTCAATTTTCAGTTCCCGGACATGAGTTTAAACTTTTAACTCTTCTTAATTTTTAAACTTGGAACTTTTATCCAAGTCTCCAGAACTGTTGAACTTACCCCAAAGATTCACTCTTAGCTTCATTCGTCTGGCTTGCTGAGTCAGAAAAACACATACAGAAAAAAAATCTGATCTTGTTTAAATAATTGTGTGGGTTTTAACAAAACTGCTTTCAATAATCATGCATTGAAATCTGGTTAAGAAGTGTGAACATTTTGCAACTCTTTGTAACTCTGTTACTTCACTCCTGCATAAACCAAAATAATAAAAAATCAAATCAAATAAAAAAATGTTAAGTAAAATCCCTTTGTTGAGGAAAACAATGTAAGTTTATTTTCACTTAGTTTATGTGAGTTTTAATATTATAAAAAGCTCCCCTTATTGATATTTATTCCCTCTCTAAAATCACATGTTCTTAGCTTTTGGTTTGGAATCAAACATAGAATTCCTCAGAGAGTGATTTTATCCAGGGGTCCGCAAAGCTGCGCATGCGCTTGCGGCCGCTTTGCATATAAGCGCCTTTTCTCCTAACCTCAATTCCATCATAATAAAATTTTTTGAAAAGTTTAAATCAATGGTTTTCAAATTATATTTGCCACAATTTTGCAAGTATTGCTATGTTTTACATTAAATTATATAAAAAGAAAATAAAAAGTAAAAACAGTTTTTATTTTTTATCATTCCGTGATCATTAAAGTAAAACCGATGACAAATTTAAAAAAAAAATCTTAGATCTGCTGGCATCTCAATGAAAAATCATTCTTAAAATTTAAGGAAAGAGGGGGAAAATTTAATGAATGCATTCTTCACGTATTTCCCAGTGTTCAATGAAGTTTACCACCGCCACATGCTGAGTCACGACTTGCTGTGGAGTAACCGCAATGAAATTCCGCGGGTTGCATCCAGCGTATTTGAAGGGGTTTTTTTTGTCCGCTTCGCTTCGGGGTTGCTTCCCTTTGAAAATCGCCGCTTCGCGGACCCCTAATTTTATCCAACTACTTTCCATCCATTTGACTGAATTCATCCTATCATTCTTATGATATTTCCACGCTGTAACTGCAGGAACGCTTATCTCGTTTGCACTTTCTCAGAATCTTTGCTCTTATTGTATTCTATGAAAAGAACACAAACCCATGCTTCTGCTAGAAATTTTGATAGAATATTCTTCACACAGAGAAGGAAAATCCGAAAATTGTTCAAGAAATTATGTTGAATATTTTTTCATCTAAAAAGCAGAGTATGACAGGAAGTCTGCAACAGCACAAAGCGAGATAAGCGCTCCACCTGTTTCATCGCCAATATTCTATGTTACTCACTTCGTAAGTATTTTGAGACTCTTTTAATATCCAAATAATTCTTGATTTTAATATGTTCAGTAGTAGCAATCTGGTATTTTATGGAATCATGGGAAAGAGTTTTAATCCTGTTACTTATTCCTGCTCTTATCACAACCTGATTATTTTTTTTCCCCCTTTTGGCAAATAGATTTTAGGTTTCATTTTGATATCCAGCTGATCTCTAGTATTTGTGCTCATTAAGCACAATTTCTGATTATTTTTTTTTTGTTTCTTTCCTCTTACGAAGAAAGCCACTAAAGAGTAGATGATAAGATGGCTAAGATTGAATGTTTTTGTTTCATTGAACTTAGAGTGATTGAACTGAATTATCCAGATAGTAAATTTAATTAAAATTTTCTCTGCTCTCGATATTGAAAATTTGTGTGTCACATCACTTAGTTAATTTTTCTTTGAATGTTTCTTTCCAAAAAATGTATTACCTCGGACCGGATCAACAAAAAAGGACCCTACCTCCCAACAATTTTTGGAGTTATTGGTACCACTGTGAAGAAGCAGAAAATCCGGAACTCCTTAAGCGAGTTTGACGCTGAAAGCTTCAAAACAGAGGGAGTCATTATGTCCTGAAGTTTCAATCAAGACAAAAATTCTTAAGTTTTAGGTTAAATTTAAAATTGCAATTGGAAGGAAAGTCCTGTTTCAGAATTCTTACGTACACATTAAAAAGGAGCAGCTAGCGTTTTTATGATGAAAAAACTGGACTACCTAATACCACGTTTAGCTTGTGTATTTTGCAGAGAACTCGAAATCACCAATTCCAAAATTGGTACTCTTGGAAGGTAAGGTCCCTTTTCACAGATCCTATCGCATTCTGGTGTGATATTATGGGTCTCTTTGTTCACTTTTGAAATGGTGAACTGGTCACAAAGGATGAATGTTTTTTCAGCATCCAGATTCTTCCTTAATTACCTCCATAACTTTTTTCAATTTTTACCCTTTTTTTGAGTGGTGTGAATTGAAAGTTTAAGGATTAATTCCTCTTCAAACATAAGTTTCAAAACGAAATTGACCAAACAGCTATATGACACAAAATTCTGTTGATCTCTCAAGTGAATTCTCTAAACCGAGGTAATTATTTTCCAGAGATGGTACTATTTCTGTAGAATTTAGAATTTGAACACTAATTTTAAAGCTCTAAACAACCAGTCACAAAATTTTTGGAGAAGGGAAATTTTTCAATTTTTATACGAGGACCCTTCCTTGTACTTCGTCCACTAGTAATCATTACCAATATATTGCTTCTCTTCAAAGTATTCTCATCCTTAAATGAACGAATACAACTGAAAGGAAAAAACTTATTCTCTTTGGGCAAAAACATCTTTAGGTTTATGTCATGTTTTCGAGCAAGTTAAAAATTAAATTGGAGGAAAACTTAGGAGACAGTTACATGATTTGACCCGAAGGTTTTGATCATCAAAATTGCTGTTCTTTGTGTTTTGTTGCAGCCAGAATAGTAGATTAGAATAAAATTTGTGTTCAAAGGGAATAGAACCTTGGTCAAGCTCCTTTTTTTAAATGCATCATTACATGGAGGGGAAGGTCTCCTCACACAGAATAAATCACAATATATGAGAATTTTTATATTTTGTGATTTTACAAATATGCATTTATCCAAGAAGACAAAAATATATCCATGAGAAAGAAAAATACTAATTATGTCTTCTTGTTTTAATTGTCTGATAATTTCAAAGATTTTGGTTCAGTTGCTTTTCATCACTACTAAGTTGGGTAGGTAGCGCTTCTGATGGTTTTTATTTTTTTATTGTGATGGTTCGTGAAACCAAAGGATCGTCATCTGTAACTTTTTACCACAAAAGTAGAATGCATTATCATTGTAAAAAACAAAAACAAAAAAAACCTGCATTCAAGTTGAAGGAAAATCAAAATTCCAGAAACATCTTTGTTTTGTGGCTCTTGAAACGAGCTCCATAGGAACTTGTCTCTGTAGATTGTGTAAAGATTTGGAAATATTTATCATTGTGTATGTACCTTGATGTAAATTGACGTAGCATGAAGTTTTTCAAAAATCATTTCCAATAAACTGTTTTGTGAATTAACTCACTGGCTGTCACTTTTTTAATTTTTGCCATTTTAATATTTACTTAATAGAACATCGCCTCATGGCTAAATATGAGGGTCTCCCTTTAAGTAAGGTCCCCAATGTTTATCCTCCAAACAGAGATAGATAAATTATACCTGTATAAAAATGTGTGACACTTTCTAAAATGTTGAACAAGCCTAAACCAAATATCTGATAATCAGTCCAAGGCTTTCTGAGAAAACCTAACTCGAGGTTTGTGAGGAAACTGAATTTTACTGAGGCAACCCTGCATGCACTAAGGAATTGTGCCAATGTACCCCAATTGTTTCCGTGACATCGAGGAATGCTAAAAGCAAAGGTATTGAACTCATTCTGACCCTCATATTTTTTTTTATTCTATTTGGTACATTGATTTGACATTATCGATCGACCGCTGAGCAATAAAATGGGCCTGTTGCAAACTTCTGCTCGAAAAAAATAAGAGTTATTCCTTGTACAAACTGTCTGAAAAATCACGATGAGCGCATGGGCAAAGTCTGAAACGCATTCCTAACTTCACAATCTGCGTAAGAAATATGAGTTTTTTTAAGTTTCCTGCTTCTAAAACGATACTACAGTACAGGTGAACATTTCGTTAGAGGAGTTGTTCCACCCAACCCCTGCTCACAAGGATGCTATGCGATATTCAACATGACCGACGCTTCTGCGGGCAAGTTGAGGGGAGCACAAGGTCAATCAGGGCGGATATCTATCAATACGAGAAGAACGTGAATGTTAACAAGCCAGTTGTTCTCAAGTGGTTAGAATCTTGTCCTGTCACATGTGTTGTTAAATATTGTGTAGCATCCTTTTGAGTAGGTGGTGGATATGGATCGACTTCTCGAACCAAATGCTCACCTGTACCGTAGTATAATTTTTGAGGCGGGAAGCTTAAAAAACGTAAATTTCTTACGCAAATTGTGAAGTTAGGAGTGAATTTCAGGATTTGCCACTGCGCTCATTGTGATTTTTGAGACACTTTCTAAAAGCGATAACTCTTAATTTTTACTCTAGCAAAATTTTGTAATAGGCTCATTGGATACTTTTGAACATTTCAATGACTGAAGTGCAACACAATGCATTTCCATTTGCAACGCTGCAGACTTCCTGTCATACTTTATTTTCTCTTTGAAAAACTAGGCAACGCAATTTCTAGAAAACTTCCTTGATTCTTCTTCTCTTGTTAGCAGAATATTCTGCAAAATTTTTAAGTTTTAAGTTGACTTGTTTCTGTTCGAAAAAATAAAATAACGGAAAATTTGAAACACTGCATTGGAGATACGTGGTTCCGCATTTTAGCCATCGATTTGCATCTGCAGTGAGTATTTGCCATTGGACAAGATGTCAGATTGCACACACTGCAAGAATATCCCTCTCTGCCAATGAAATTATGGTCGGAGCCTTTCAAAGTTCAAACAAAAAATTATAAATGGGTACCTACTTTCTTTTAACTCAAAGTATTCATTTGAAAAGGGGTACGTGCAAAACGGGCCATTTCACGCTCGTGTCGGATACCATTGAAACTTGCCCTATTCATTCATCTAACAATGCCCTATGTTTTCCCAAAGTTCCAAGTCCCCAAAAAATTTTGGGGGGAAGTGGCGGGGGGGTCAAAGTTGAAAATCCGCTAAATTTTCGCGAATTTTTTACTCGAAAACTACTAAATATTTCGAAACGCGGTTTAAACGAGCGTTTTCAGTGTGAAAAGAGCTTTCAGAAAATGTATAATATCATAGGGTTTTGTCGACTTAAACTCGAGTTATCGCCTCCGAAACGCCGGAACGCTATAAAATGACCCGCTTTTTTGTCACGTTCGGGCCGATCCCAAAAATACTCCCTTTTTAATTTCTTTGAAAAACCGATATGTTGTTCCTGACTCTCTGTGGCACCTATATGTCTTTACCGTATCCTGGGGAAAAGTTTTGTTCGTGAGTGATAAGCGCGGAAAGGAGCGAAGGTCGGAAAAATCGGTTATTTTAAACTGCGCGCGGCGACGGATCAGGACACATGTGGCAACAATGCGAGGTCGGCAGAGGAGTGTGATTCGCCGAACTGAGCAGGAGGGGGCGTTCTCCTTCTAACCAATACTGCGACGCGCGCAGTTTAAAATATCCGATTTTCCCGACCTTCGCCCCTTTCAGCGCTTATAACTCACGAACAAAACGTTTCCCCAGGATACGGTAAAGACATATAGGTGCCACAGAGAGTCAGGAACAACATATCGGTTTTTCAAAGAAATTAAAAATGGAGTATTTTTGGGATCGGCCCGAACGTGACAAAAAAGCGGGTCATTTTATAGCGTTCCGGCGCTTCGGAGGCGATAACTCGAGTTTAAGTCGACAAAACCCTATGATATTATACATTTTCTGAAAGCTCTTTTCACACTGAAAACGCTCGTTTAAACCGCGTTTCGAAATATTTAGTAGTTTTCGAGTAAAAAATTCGCGAAAATTTAGCGGATTTTCAACTTTGACCCCCCCACCACTTCCCCCCAAAATTTTTTGGGGACTTGGAACTTTGGGAAAACATAGGGCATTGTTAGATGAATGAATAGGGCAAGTTTCAATGGTATCCGACACGAGCGTGAAATGGCCCGTTTTGCACGTACCCCTTTGACAAAGTGACGGACTCCTGCATCAAAATGCGGCAGTGGCAAGATATTTTTACAGGGTTGTAATATGGTTTATCTTACATAAAATTTTTAAAAAAATCAATTTTCGCACTGATAGGTTGATGAGTACAAACCAATACACCACAGTGAAGTTGAGAAAATGGGCCAACCCCCCCCCCCCCCNCCCCCCCAATTAAAGGGGATTATTTATGGGGAATAAATCTGCAACTTTTACTTCCAGCATTTTTTATTTTCGAGAGCACTAGTGCTTAATTGCTAAATGTGAGTGATTTGCTAAAAAAAATAAAGGTTTGCTGTAAAAAATAAAGTGATTTGCTAAATTTATGTTTTGTTTAAAACTTTTGACAAGAAGCTTAAGACAGGCATTTTCTTTCTTTCAATCAAAGCCACCCTTATACAGTTTTAATTAATTTTAGATCTTCGGAGCTAACTGTAATGCAAAGGAAAATAGAACTCAAAAGACTGGAAACAACATAGAATTGTATTAATTTTTCACAAGATCATTATTGCAAGTACCTAAGAGAAACATTTTTTGCAAATCAGGTCCATAATAGAGTTTTGTATTATTACTAATTGCTTCATATTTCTTCAGCTCTAAATACTGCGGGGTTAGCAGCAACGCGTTAGCCTCAGCTAACTTTTGCCTATTATAGAAGTCTGCATCCGTCTGACTCTTTTGCGTTGCGACATGGATTGCATCTGAAACAAATCAAGGACGACATCAGATGCACACATACTGAAAAGATAGGAAAATCCTGTCAATTTGTGATTATCCACAGATAAGATTACTCGCGGGCTGTTCATAAATTATGTTACACTCTAGGGGCTCTGATCCAGCATAACGGAGCAAGTTGATTTCTTTTTCTTCAAATTTTCTTAGTTTTTACAAAACATAGATGAAACAAGATATTTTTTTTATGTAAAATGTGGAAGATCTGGCAAACCGACGAAAAAATTTTTCAGGGGAGAAGCAAATATAAAAAACAGATATGGAGGGGAGAGAGGTAAAAACTTTATAAATTCAGAAAGACAGTGTGTATGCTTAGAGTAAAGAGGCTAATTTAGTTGAAATATGGCAATGCTGTGAGAGGAAAAATGAATACGCCTTATGGCCTGATTACACAATCTAATTCCCGTCAAATTCCGATCAAATGGTGACTGGTGCGCACCATCTACCATCAAACTGCGCCCTGCAAAAATTTGATGGTAGATGAAGGAACTGTGGGGCTCATCCTTCATCAGATTTCCACACACCCGTGCTTATTTCAAACAGCGTGCACCCTTATTAAATGAATATGCACTGCAAGTGAATTGTTCTCTTTCCAAGTATTCTTTTATTCCTACGAATTTCTCAGGACAATACTATTTGTTAAAATAACAAAGTTCTGTGCTCGATCTGGATTTGAATTATCAATGGAAAACTTTCAAATAGATACCTCAAAAATTAAGCTGAAAGTGGTTAAATTCATTTTAGAGTGTACAGATTTGTATACCTGCATAATGTGACAATAAATTATGAGCCCAGAAAAAGGCAGATTAAAATTTGGGATGGTTCAATCTGAAAACTAAATTTTTTGAACTGCAAAATTAAAGAATTAAAACTGTGATCTGGTTCGAAGTTTTCTTCTTCTTCCAAAATTTTTGTGGAATAATTCTTTATTGGATAATACCAATACCTCAATTCCGAGTATTTCCGCATTTCTTTTTCCCAAACAATAAAAACGTACGAGATTTCACAAGAAAAAATGGCAGTTAGTAGTCTATTCACGCATGAAGACTCTCATTTTAGCTTTTACATTTCTCCGATTTCTCAAACATGACGTGAACCACTTCCATGACTTCGACCAATTCCATTGATGGAAACTTCAAACTTGAAAACAAGTAGAGCAACTTTCTTCCAAAGTCATGACTTCATTTAGACTTTAGAAAAACAAAAAGAAAAATCTGGTAGTAGGTTTCTCAGAAGGCAACGGTAAAGTATCTCGAGGTAAGATACATTGAATAACACTCATTTCTGGTATGTACTCATTCATACTTTCCCTTCACTTCGAAATTCATGTTGTCTTCCTGCTTTAAATTTAGATATTCTCATAGAGTCAGAATAATTTACTTCTGAAAAATTTGGTTCTTTCTCTTTCTTCACCTAGGCATTTTATAGGGAATATGTACATACTTCTCAGAGATGAAAGCAACATCAAAACATACCTTCTATTTGTGATATTTGTTTTATTGATTCTTTTTCCATTATTTTTTGATCAAATTGAATCTTTGCAACCTGGGCAACTTTCTCTGCTTCAATGATTGCCTTTTTCCTGTCTGTCTCAGCATCCATTTCAACGACTTTTTGCCTCTGTGCGGAGATTAATAATTTGGTTTTCTCAGCTTCCCTGAAAATTTAGATAAAAAATTAAAATAAATACCCAAAATTATCTCCCACCCTGCTTATAGCAATAACTCTACGACATGGAAGTATCTTTTCTTGCTATTAAATCTAAAACCCAACCAAAAATCTGAGTAATGGGATGCTGCCCTAGTCACTCGTATTTTGGAAATTTAAGCTTATGGATTAGCAAAATGTGATGTGATCTGCTCAAACGCCTAGTTTCTACCCCCAATATTAATGAAGATATTGCTCATTAAAAAAAACACAGTGAATAATTGAATCGGCTCATGCAAAAACCACTAATGTCCATTTTCTCTTATTTTGAGTAAACTGCAAAAAACTGTAGAAGCCTTTAAAATGCGGGATTAAAAAATGTTCAGAAGTTGATTATTACAAGAGTGGATTGTAGAAAAGGATCCCTTACAGTTTCCAGCTCCTCCTCTGTCTGAGATGAAGTAATTAAAAAGAAAGGACTCTTGACATTGGCGGTTTTCGCATGATACGTACAAATCGCCGAGCTTTGGAGGCGTTTGATACTTTCAAAATTCATTCTAGAGATGTTAAAGCGGTAGATTATCATTCACATAAAGTTAAAAAAATAATATTCCAGACCATTGCGGTACTTAAAATAAGTTTCATCACAAAACTCCCGGCAATAAACTGGACATTAGCGGTTTTCGCATGATTTGTGCGTGGACCATTCTACAACATCGAAAACGCATATTTTCCAGTATGCCTTTCAGGCAAAACAAGATTATTCTTGTGTATTTTCAGGAGCTGAATCCGAATATGACCTCCGTTTGTTTCCATCACCCTCCATTTTCCGGAAAAGCCGATTTTACTCGGAAGAATGACCATTTTTAGGCATTTTCAGTGTTTTTCCGACTGTTATCCCCTGCAGAATGTGGGTAAAATTTTTTGTAGCTACGAGATTCAATAATGCCGATGTCTTTTTAACTGATGAGTCCGGAAACGACCTTAATATTTCCCGTTCACCTCTCAGTTTTCCGGGAAAGCAACTTTTTCCCGGGAAAATGAGCAAATCCGACGTATATTTGTTGTGCGTGCAATTTATTTTTTTTTAATTTTCCTGGACCCGCGGTAGTGTGTTACTTATGTATTTTGAGCTGCCAAATCCGAATATGACCTTGGTTTCTTTCTATCACACTTCAGATTTCCAGTACAGCCGAGTTTTCCGAGCCTAAAATTGTGTATTGTAAAAGCTGTGTCGGATCGAAGTGTACCTACTCAAAATTCATTGTATAAATGTCTCCGATCTGTGATGCATCGATTCCTTTGTATTTTGATCTGTTGAAGTCAAATATGATCTTGGATTTTTCCGATCACCCATCATTTTCCCGGAAAAGTCGCTTTTCCTAGGAAAGCGCTCTTTTCAGATATTTTTACGATGATTTTTCTGCTCTAGGGAGTTACAGAAATTTTCCGAGATCCTCTTTAGGTCTCTCTTGCTGTATTAAGAGGCAATGAACTCGAATTTGACCTTCACTCATCTTTGACAACCCCCCGTTTTCTAGAAGGTCCGATTTTTCCGGGCCAAAAGCTTTTCCGGACTGTTCCCACTTCCAGGGAAATTCAAAACATTTTCCGCATGCGTGATACATCGATTCTCATGCAATTTGAGCTGAAAAACCCGAATATGACCTTAGAATTTCGTTATCACTCACCGAAGAATTTCTGAAACTCCTCAGAGCAGAAAAATCATTGCAAAAATATCTAAAAAGAACGTTTTCTTAGGAAAAGCGACTTTTCCGGAAAAATAATGGGTGATCGGAAAAATCCGAGATCTTATTTGACTTCAACAGATCAAAATACAAAGGAATCGATGTACCACAGATCGAAGACATTTATACAATGAATTTTGAGTAGGTACACTTCGATCCGACACAACTTTTACAATACACAATTTTAGGCTCGGAAAACTCGGCTGTACCGGAAATCTGAAGTGTGATAGAAAGAAACCAAGGTCATATTCGGATTTTGCAGCTCAAAATACTTAAGAATCATACTACCACGGGTCCAGGAAAATTAAAAAAAAATAAATTGCACGCACAACAAATATACGTCGGATTTGCTAATTTTCCCGGGAAAAAGTTGCTTTCCCGGAAAACTGAGAGGTGAACACGAAAAATTAAGGTCATTTCCTGACTCATCAGTTAAAAAGACATCGGCATTATTGAATCTCGTAGCTACAAAAAATTTTACCCACATTCTGCACGGGATAACAGTCGGAAAAACACTGAAAATGCCTAAAAATGGTCATTCTTCCGAGTAAAATCGGCTTTTCCGGAAAATTGGAGGGTGATGGAAAAAAACGGAGGTCATGTTCAGATTCAGCGTATTAAAAATTCATAAGGATCACCTAATGTCGTCCAGGAGACATTTTTTATTTTGGTTTGTTGTACAGTATAATGAGGCATATATCGAAAGATGGACATTAGCGGTTTTCGCATGATCCGGACCACGGCCCCCCCTGAAAAGGGCCTCAAACCTAAGGAACAAACATTTTCACTACATTAATGAGTGTGTCTGACCTCCAAGAGTATTTTAAAAAACCCCAAAAATCTCAAAATTGAAAAAAATGGACATTGGCGGTTTTTGCACGAGCCGATTCAATTGATGATTGATTTCTAAACCTATCTGGTGGTTCACTGACTGAATTTGAAACTTATCAGCCCAGCAATCGCTTTTGGTACTGAAAACGGGAGAATATTATGAAGAATGAGATGGCAATAAAACAGAAAGAAAGAGCATCAACTTACATGAGTTCATAATTTTTCCTGATGGTTTCAGGAATTTTGGGTTTGGTCACACGCACTGCCTGTATTATGAGGCCTGGTGCCATTTCGTTAAGATCCCTCTGTAGAGAGTGTTTTAAATTTTCATCTATTTGATCAAATAAGTCTATATAAACCTGGAAAAGGAAATTAAATTCAGTTTTGGTTACTTTTACATCTTCAGCTGGTGCAATAGAATACTGATAGCACACATTATTAAATGTTTTAAATTTTAAGACAGCCTCAGAGTAGTATTCGAAAGAATGCTCCCCATTCATCTACAAAAGATGAGAGATGATGATCGAGAAAAAGTTGAGGGTGCAGAAATTTCTTTGCTCTCACAAATTTTGTGGTAGCCTTCACATCATCGTGCAGTACACAATTCACTCTTTCCTTTGCATGAAACTGTTGATTTAAGAGTTTTCTGTTTTGCCAAGTACTATTGCTTAGAATGAATGCAGCGACAAAAATTCTACCGCTTTCATAATTTCCTCAAATGACTGAACTGCAATCGGCAACTTACGTAATCTGGTGGTTTCTGCACCCCTAGTAAATTAGCAAGAGACTTGGAAATGCAATCAAAATTACTGAAAAAATAAAAGTGTGCATATTGAGCGTTTGAATCATTTGAAGTTTTATTTAAAGAAACAGCATTCTTCACAGTATCCAAAGTGCATTGAACATTAAGTCCATATTTTTATTGCAATTGAAAAAAGTTTATAATCTCCAAAGTCATGTTCTGGCGGCTTTTGAAATTTAGCATTTGCTTTTACATACTCACAATTGGTAACAAGATAGATACATGTTGAGGTTTTAACAATTTTTTTGGCCATGAAGAATGTACATTTTTCAAAAAAGCATTAGGAAACTCAAATTTTTTGTTTGTTGGTTTGTTTTATTGTGAACATTAAAAGTACATATTAAACTTTGAAAAAGCGGGTGAAATGGCTTGATTTTAAGCCGACAAGGCAGAAATATATTAAAACGTTTCATGGAAGTATGTGATTAGTTGTTCAAAGATGTTTATATACATCGAAAATAGATTTAAAATACGTCCATTTTGGCCAGTAACTCTCATTCATCATTTGCCAGAGAACTGAAATTATTAATTCAATTACATACTATGAAACTAGTTGCTAAATATTTTAAGTGGCTAAGATTGACGAGAATAATGTTTTCTCTACCTCATGAAGATTATGAACACTACAGAATTGATTCAGCTCATGGTGGACCTTGTTGAAAATCAAAGCCTTATCATAATCAGCAGTGAAATTTTTTACAATACTATAAACTGGAAAAAAAGAGAGAATTTTATTAAATAATTTGAATTAATCTGAAATCATTTGGCAAATCAATGGTTACAGTTGAAAACTGCTTATCTTGATTGCACTGTTGAAAATCTTCTTTCATATTTTATTTTTTAAGAGAAAACAAGCCCTTAGTTTTTTTCAAAATTTGGTGTCAAGTTTTTACACATTTAAAAGCAATCAAAGACAACTTCAAAGAGATATTTAGTTGGATCCCTTTCAAAAAAATAAAATATAATTGAAAGTTTTTTATTACAGCAAAAAAGAGATGCTTGTTTTTACTGTAGCCATCGAAATATTTGACACATGTAAAAATAATAAACAAACTGACCACAGAAAATGGGGGCAATGAGTCAGTTGTGTCATTTTTTTTTATGGTGTCATTTGAAAGTAGTAAATGACCGAAGCTTACAGTTTTTTTCCTAAATTTTTTTGATGATTGCAAACGGGAGAAAAGTTTATTCGAAAGTGCCAAAAATTAGGGTGGCCTAAAACGGCGTTTGAACTGCGCGCTCGGAGGTTTCGCATGTACACGTCACGATCAATATGGCGGCGGAATGCGTAGTGGAAGAATACACAGCGGCGTCGCGTTGGCGGTATGTTTTTGTTGGCCACTTGGAGGTTATATAGATTACTTTGTTTGAGATTCATATTCATTGTTCTTAATTCTCTAAGCTTTTCAATCAGAATGCGATACAGATGTATGTAGGATATGAAACATTCACACAGAACTTACTTAACCTCAAACGAGAAATCGTGATGTCAACATTGGCAGCGTGGTGATAGTAAGCAGGTCGGCTTCGGCGCTGCCATCTTCCCGTCTATGACGCGTATAGATTCGAAGATTCACGGCAGTCGGTTCAAACACGTTTTCAAGGACCCCTAAAAAGGAAGCGTTATATCTCCACGGAGACAATTTTTCGTGAAATTTGAACACGCGCATTGTTCTTCTCGTACCGAAAACTGAAAGATTTGACTATTTGCAGGCAAATCCCTCCTGAGCTTAACTGACTCATTATTTTTTTAGAAAAGAGAGATTTTAGAGATCTAATTGAGGTGTAACGTTTCACCCATATGTAACCATCCTGAAAAAAGACCTTTCAAGTATTTATTTGTTTCAATGTTTGGACAAACAACGAACTGCTTATGGCCTCAGTACAGGTTAAATAAACCTTGCAAAAATGGTGCAGCAATAATGGACTGCATTTTCCGATGAGGAACTACTGGTATTAGTTTATTTCTAAAAGCACTTGATTGAGATTCACTTTTAGAAAATACCTAAAAATGAGAATGCCTTCTTTTTTCCGATTAATAAATTTTAATCTAAATTTTAGACATAGAAAAACTTTCAAAATCACCAAAAATCCAATGCTGCGCTGTCTCAACCGGAAAAATATAACTCTAACCAATTATTATGAGACATCCCCAGAAGAATTGGCCGCCATACATTCTTCATTTGCATTTGCTCATTAGCTTCCAGGTCGCATTAGAAACGAGAAATTATGCATCCTGACTGCTTGCGATATTATAGCCGCTTGAAGTGAATAAATGAGCCATTTGTTTTTACGAAAAGGTTATTTGGCGATAGATACCATCCGATAAAACGTTTTTTGACGGCACAGTACTGTCGAATCAAACGTTTTTTGGTGGCACAGTACCCTCAACAAAAACGTTATTCGGCGGTATGGTGCCCTGACTAGAAAATCTTCTAAGTATCGCTAAAGTGGCACTGACAGGTTCAATGTTTGAACAAAGAAGAAAAAATAGATCAAATTGATTACTAAAAATCGAGCAGTATAAGGTAGAGTACTGATTTTCATTTCACAGAAATTAGAAAGAGTCAAGCAGAGTACAATATGGAAGTAGAATAAAAATACATTACAGTAACAATCTATTCTTGTTTGGACCTTTCTCGTGTTGTCCGACAAACAGGCTCTTCTAACACATCCTTTTACACGACCTTTTACTTGCTCATAGGTTGGTCAAGGGCTCATCTAGCAGAACTAGTTTTTTTTTGTTCGGAGCTTCGTTTCCTTTGGACGGTTGGTTTGTCAGAAGCAGATTCAATTTTTTCAAAAAAAGTTATCCCGTAAAGCCACCTTTCGGTAGGAAATTTTCCAGTCAGCGGTTAAAAAAATGACCAGTAAATGCACCTTAGTGATGCATAGAAGATTTCCTAGTCAGGGTACCGTACCGCCAAATAACACCATCCTATTCTCAATGAATAATTTTTTCATGATTTGAATTGTGCGGCATCCATGAAGCATTGGTATAAGATGGTTGAACCCATGAGACATTGCCTCATATGATGTAATAAGCTTCAGACTAATGAGAAACGTTTGTTCTAAAATGGCAAATTTAGGCCTCTTTTTCCAATCAAAAAAGCTGTTCTAAGCTTTTGACAACTCCGAAACTCGTTACTCACTCAACTCAACTTCACCAACACCTACTTTCAGGGTAATTCCTGGATCTTACAGTAGCTCTATTAAATAGTAATCAAGAGAGAGACAAACTATTTAGGAAGACATGCTTACCACTATCAATGCTCAAGATATTTACAACTTCTATTCTATCAAAATAAATCATAACTCCTCCACTTGTACCACAAGGAACATTTTTCACTTCGTCTGTCTGTAAGGTTACCTGTAGCAATGAGAAAATTTTTAAAGAAAATCATACTGTTAAAGTTTACAGTGAAAGAAATAATAACTTGAAAAGTGTGAAGAAACCAATGTTTAAAGGATATAAAAAAAGACAGGAGCTTTTACAAGCACTGATTTCATGAGAACTAAAAGTTGAAGTGCCATTGTAAGGAAAAGCAAAATGCTACGGGTCCCTTGTGAATTGCCATTAATTGGTTTATTACTTGGCTCTCATGTCTATTGGAACCACCCGCTTCAACCGACAGGATTGCTCCATTTTCTCTTCGTCTATCACTTTGTCAATCAATTTCAATTATCAGCCTGCTTTAGACGCAAAGTTTGCTATAAAATGGGCACTTAGCGATGGAAGAGGGCATTTTACCTCATGGTGGATTAGCAATTTGGCCATGGGGCATTGAGACAGAGACAAGAGGCATTGCAAGGGACATTTGCTGCTTCAGACCATTTTGCACTTCTGAGAAATGCTGGCGGTAATAGTTCTATGAAAATATGCATGATAGCGTTCCGTTCCAGATGGGTATGATAGAACTTATGACACAGCTTGGCAAGGCTAAAAATTGTGAGCGTTTTCAGACTACTCCTGCTATTCATTAGATGAGAGCATTACAGCTAAAATTTCTGGCTTCCTGACCTCACTTAAGATTTTTTTGACAACAAACGCCTCTTACTCTGAGGGAAAATTAATCAACCTTTATTTTACTAGAGATTTCTTTCTTGTTAAAACAACAATTTCTTTTTTTCCTTGTATCACGTAACTATCTAGCATAGGATCTGTGAGTAGAATCAAATAAGTTTTGCTCTTGGAGCCATCGTTTTTTAAAAAAGTGACTTTAGTTATTTTAAAACTTCAACATGTTTTCTGAAGTCCTCATACTCTTGGAAAGTCGATTTTAATAGTGGTCAATCTTCGTTTTCAACAGAAATTTTTTTTTTGGCCTCTTTTATCACTGGAAGTTAAATTTTTTGTCTGTACCATAGACCAACTAAACAGGCTTGTTTTCCTATCAATACGTGCGATAATAATACCGTTTTAAGTTTTTTTGCACTCATAGAGCTATATTCTTGTAGAAGAATAAAACAAAATATCCTTCAAAGTTTTTACTTTCAAAATTTAGCCCCCAAATTGCTCTATAGTCCGATTTCTAGAATTTTGCGCCATCATTTTTCTCCTAAAAAAGCCAGGAAATGTAATTAAACGCTTAATTTTAATTAATTTCTTTAGAACTAACTTAGAAGATGTGGTAGACAACTTTTTTTAAAGAATTTCTACAGATTTGCTCTTTTTAAAGCTACAAATTGTACAATTTTTTACTAGTCTACGGTACAGGACAATAACGTTACGGTACACAAACGGGCTACTAAATATTACTGTATGCAAGGGCCGAATTATAAAGAACTGAAATTCATTGGGGAATAAACTGCTAAGTTATAGCATAGCTTATAAGTGCCACTTTTATAAATAATTACAGGCAATAAAGGTAAAAAGAGTAAGTAAATCATTTTTTCAAAAATAATGAACTGCTTTTATTTTAAAGTAAACGCATTAAATAATTAGGGACAAATCTTAGAAGCTGAGTTCTTAAAATAAGCTTGACAACGTTAGAACGTTTTAGGTGCACTTTTACAAAATAAGAAAGAAAACAAAAAGGTAAATTTATCGAAAATGTGGTCACAAATCACCTTAAATAAATATTTAAAGGACAATAAGAAAAAAATAAGTTAGATATTAACGAATAAATATTAAACGAATAAATTGCTATGAACTTCAGACGAAAAAGAGGACTCAAAGTTCCAAAAGACAAAATGAAAAAAATAAAAAGATGGCGATCCTTATGCAATCATCGAAAAAAAAGCCTCCTTCTTCTAAGTCGCGTCGTACTAAAAAAAAATACGTCTCTCTTTTTTTTTTAAATTCCAAATTTTGGTGATAGATAAAATAAAGTAAAGTGGGATGATCTATCAAACAGCGCACCGATTTTTGGATGACTTTCGCATTTTGTCCGTACTTACCGTAGACCCGGCCGCATCGCGCGTCAGCTACGGGCTACAATACCGGACGGCTACGATGCGGACAAATCGTGTGATTATTGGCAATGGTGCTCGGGCATATTCACGCATGTGGTTGAAATTCTGGATTTGAGGTTAAGATATCAGAGCGTATCAAAAAATACCAAAATTCGAGAGTTTGAAGTGATTTATGCATTAAAAAGGTAGGTATACGGTAAGGACATCCTAGATGGTCGTTAAACCTAGAAACTCTTAAAAAAACGGTCAAAATTTACTGTTTCACTGCGGTTTTTTTTCCTCTGCTCAACATCAGCATGTGATAGTCACGGCAACGCAAAGAAAGTAAACAAAGTTCATAAGTGCTGCACTCTAACGGACGAAATGATGCTGAAAAAAGGGGGCTACGGTACAGGACGCGAATTCCGCAGACAAGGCTGCTTGACGCAAAGACGGTCAAAATTTTCACTTATTTGGATGAATATAACTGAAAATAATAAGTTAGGTACAAGTTGAGTGTGAATTTACAGCAGAAGTGGAAGTATTTAGATGCAAGATGATGGTTATGTAGCGTTAAAGTTGCGCACTTGAGTCACAGACAGGCTACGGTACAGGACATTTCAGCTGTTTAGGGCCAAAATTCTGATATTAAATGGCAAAAACTGCCTAAAACGATGTTGGGATCTGATTAAGCGTAAAATTTTGAACAAATTTAAAAAAAAAAGGTCAGATTTTTCCATTTTGAAGGGCTAAAAAGTCGACAGACATGGTAGAGCAAAACTTATTTGATTCTACTCCTGTATTGTAGAGCTATGTACATAGCCCAAGTGCCAAATGTGAAAATAGGTGAAGTGACGCACAACTCTAATAAATTCTCAGAATTGAAATAAGACACTTCATCTCAACTCAAGTTCAGAAACTCCATCTAAATTCCAGTAATTTTAATTGGCTTTTGGAACAACCAGAGCTACAGGAAGTTTAAAAAGTCCCAGCCACTTTCTACCACACAGCGCTTTTTCATATAGGTCAATTTCCACTTATACTTTAAAGTTTATGCTAAAATTTTGCAGTTCACTCAAATTTTTTTCTCAGTTCCCAGATTTCTAGAAACATGTTATCACTTTTTGAATATTTTCGCTAATCGTCCACCACTTTTCAAGTTTGCTACACTTTGCTGCAAAATCAGGCATTTTTTAAACAGCCTGTTGGTTACTAAGTTGCTTGAGAAAGTAAATTTCATGAGTCAGTATAAAGTTGATGAATTCTAGAGGATGTTACTGAATGCAATGACAGCAATAAAAATCAAAATTTTAATTGTTCATGTCAAAGAGACTGTTTCCCAAAAGACGCTTTTGATTCTATGCTATACCCGAGTGCCAATGCTTGAATTTTCTTCAGTCTACAAGATACAGCAAATAATAGACTCCTGGAAAAACGTAAGTAGATTTGAAAGAAAAGAAAATCAGAATTATGGACCTTCAGAAAATAAAGAAAATAAAAATTATGGATGATGGAATTTTGAGTCCTGAAGAAAGAAATTTTGGAGCAATAATCTCACCTGAACAGATCTATATGTTGTAAGAAACGGCACCATCATGTGAAACCCGGGCGGACTAATGTGTGAAAGAAGAGCACCACCCTGAAAAAATACAAAAAGTGTTCATGTAAAACAATGTCTGACCGACTCCAGCCTTGTTGTACAGTCAACTCCCGTAATTTGAACCTTAATCATTCGGAACTCTCTTTGGTACAAAGGAAAAAGCTGGTCCCTTGTTAATTTTTGGAGCCCAGCTCTTGTAATTTGAAAGCCTAACTAATTCAAAACTTTTCTTAGTACCGTAGATATGCAACATCTTCACTGCAAATAAGGATTGAATCTACCTCACTGGAAAGAGATTATTTCACAGAAAATGTTTTAGCTCATTACATAAGAATCACAGTAATGAATTTATGGATGGTGATGAAAAACCTTATTCACAGACGAAACATGATTAATTTCAATGTTGTCATTCATTACAGTGAAATTTGACTGAGGTAGTATTTTATCATCATAAACCCTTTCGTCACCAAGAAAGCAGCATCTGCATACAACGAAGCCAAATCTTCCACATAGCATTTCCCAAACTTATTGAATAAGCTCTGCTTAGAAGTATTTTTAATTGTAGTTCTAGTTGTCAAGGATAATTGGAACTTGATTTTTAGGCTGAATCTGACATAATGCACTTCAATTCTTTCAATGACAATCAATTTCCGTATGAGGACATGCATGCACGGAACTTGGCCTTGTTGTGAGAGGATGAATTAATTAGGACTTCTTTTGGAATGAATCGAACTTATTTCACCTCAAGTAGGTGTAACATTTTTTGAGTTTTTGTTTGATTTTCCTGTTCTTTGAATCTCTGATCAACAGGAGGTGTGTGCCTGTCTTGAGGGTTCATGATCCAATTTTAAGGTAAAAGTACGAGAACATATGGGTAGAAGTACAGTAAAAGAAATTTCATCCATTGATCCTAACAATCGTGCAGAAGAGCAAGAATCTGCCAAACTTTTACATTTAATACCTCTTAGGCTTCGTCCACACTGGCAACAGTTCGTAAAGCTCTGCCAGAACCAGTTCGCGGAACTTTCACTGCGCATCGTTTTTCGCCCCTTTTCTGTGCATAGATGGAATGAGTTGTAACTCAGCTTTAACTTATTCCATTAAAGTTCTGGAAAATCAGAGCGCATGGACAAGACTTCAGGGATTTAAACATAATATGTACTGGTACGTTTAATAAAATACTCCTGAGACAACAAACATTTACTTGCGAGGAACCCGCTTTGTTGAAAATAATTCAAATACAATTCATAATTAATCATGTGGAAATAGCTAAAAATGCTTGAATTTGCCTTAAAAAATAAAACTTTTTACTTTGTAAAAACTCTGTTTATTGTCTGGCAATGCAGATGTCCATGATAAAGATAGAAAGAGTAACGTCGAACGTGCAAACATGAAGAAGCCTCATGAATTACGGAATATCAATAGCTCTCAGATGATTTAGAGCCCTCAGCTGAATATTCAATCAAGTTTTGGAAAGAAGGTCACTTACCCTGTAGTAGACACCAACATGTCCCTCCTCTACTTTGTGAACCGAGATATTGATTAGGAATATCAGACCCAGAACACTAGCTCCAAAGAATATAATAGCCATCTCTCCGAAGCTGGACTGCCTTGGTCTTGCAGCTGAAAAGTAAACAAATGTCAATCAGTGGTGTTAGTACATTACCAAGCGCCTCAGTTTGCAAGATTGTAGATTTTTTGGCACATTACATTATTTCAAATGAAATCTAATAAGCAACATTTCTGAGAATTTTTATGACTCATTTCTTCAGCCTGTAAGTACTATCAATTGCAGGAACATTTCAAACAATAATGATCATTTGTTTTTTTTCTAAAAAAAACAAAACAACAACATTAATTTTCAAATATTACAACTGAGATACATTTTTTATTTATTAATTCTATCCTGCTGTATGCTCCTAACTACGATCAGTAGAAAAGAGCCCTAGAAACTCCAAGGCAATGATAATAATTTTCATTAGAGACAAAGATAGTGTATGTATGATTTACAAAAGAAAAAGCATCAATTTTTCTCTCCCCTTTCCAAAAAAAACAAAAACTTCAGAAATACGAAAAAGATTTCAAAAAATGAGGCAAAAAGTTAATAAAAAACTAAGTTTGTAACAAGGAAATTTGGGAAACCATTTTGGGAACTAAACAAAGTACATATTGACTTGTTGTTAATCATCTGGATTACAATTTTGTGATTTTTTGGTCTAACAAGGGGACCTTCCACTCAAGCCTCCTCAAAATCGATTGGCATTTGGCCAAATTGTAGTTCATGAAAATCCATTAGACACATCTTTGAGCGTTCTTGCCAATGCCCCCTGGAAAAGGGTAAAATTAACCCCTGTATTTCAGGTTGCGGTGGGCCGTGCGCATATGATAGGTTTGTTTGTTACCTTCTCTGTGTTAGACACTGGTGTAGTGGCTAGCGGCGGTGACTCGCCCTCTACAGGTCCAGGGTACATTTCTCGGCCAGCCACTTACTTTTTCCCCCTCGGGTTTCATTGGAGAAAAAGATGTGGAAACATAAACGAAAATTAATTTGTTTTATTGCGAAGGCATTCTTAGCCACCTCTAGTTCACTTGACAACCCTTGTACATCCATCTGATCTCGGCAGTCAGCTTGATAAAACCCATTGGTGGCAACTTAATTTGTTGCTTGAGAACAGAGAAAATTGTTCCAAGAAGAGATGACAAACGCGCTGGTGAGGAGGAAAAACTCTTTTTACTCCAAGAGTGTTTTCAGATTCAGATTTCATTTATTAATAAAGAAAATACATTATAGGTACAGTAATTAAGTTAAAGCCACTAAAAATAAACTTGCCAAGAGGTCTAGCCTCGTGCGGCAAAAGTAGTAAAACATAAACTATTTATAACAGAAACAAAAGAGATCATATCAGACGATTGGCACCACTGCCTACTTAGCTCAGTCTTATATGTAATTAGTTTAACTTTGTGACAATATAAGTAGGTAAAAAACAAAAGAGAAGAAGAAAAAGAAAAAACACACTAAAATTTAAGACCCTAATTACTGTTAATTCAGAAATGAAGGCGTAGAGAGACATGAAAACTTGTAGGTATGTCGGTATATGTAGATCGGGATACACAGAGGGAAATAAAAGGATGTCGTATTTGGCTTTAGGAAGGTGGAAGCAACTTACTACTAGTTTAGGAAACGTTACTAAGTCACTCTTTGAGAAGACTGGGTGCACTCAACCTGCCCTCGGTGATCAACCTACGCCTAAAGGCTTCAGGCAGTAGGTTGAACACCAAAGGCAAATTGTAGGCAATATTTTTCTCAGACAGTGCTAGTCGTATGGTCGGTAGAATTGCTCGCCTATCACCTGATCTACTGACCCCAGCTCTTGGGCTTGCTAAATGGAAGTTGGGTATCTCTGTTGGGAGTAGATTTAGGAGTCCCTTAAAGTATAATTATTTAAAAGTTGGGACATTTAAGAGGGAGGGAAGTTCTTCGAAGGGGTATCGTCTAGGTAGATTCAATACAACTTTAATCGCACTTCACATTAATATAATTATTGGTTTGAGAATGGTGTCGGAGGCTGCACCGTATACTTCTATTCCATAGGAAACCGTAGTTTGGAATAATACAATATAAACCATGCGTAAGTTTTCGACAGAGAGGTACCTACGAAGGTTAAGCAGACAATAGATGTTGGGAAATGTTAGGAACATTCTTATCATTTCGTCTCTCATTTGGCACGTAGAAAGAAGAAGATAGAAGCGCATAGAAGCTTAGCATCCTGCCAACAGCCAAAAATTGATACTATTTGGCTGTTTTAATAGCACTTGGAGGCTAAGACCCATGCTAGGGAGCATAATAGAATCGCCATGCACTGGATCACACCTGAAGTCAATCCTTGAACAGTGCATTCCTAATTCTAGCCTCTGGATCACGGAAAGTGTGAGCCAAGTGTAACCCACCTACTTTTTCCTCCACATCCCTCTTCCAAGCATTTAAAATTGAGAGGAAGTATCCTCCTTTGAGCTCACAATATTATACTCAATTTCGCATTAGAGTGATATGAATATAGATGAAAAATGAAAATTCGCTTACGCTGTTGCGGCTCTGCTTGAGGCGGCATCTAGATTAGTGGTGAGGTGACTGGGTAGATACGTGTTTCACTGCAAAAAAATTGCAGGTCGACATTTCAGGTAAGCTGCATTGATCAGATAATTGGTTAGATTGATTAAAAGTGAATAAACTGGATTATTAGTCGGATTTCTATGCCGGCCAAGACTGAAGATGCTAAATACTGACGACTGACGACTGACGGAGGTTAGGTGGTTAGGTTTCTAGACCCACCGGCATAGAATAAAGAGACTACGCCAGCAGAAGCGAAAGCCACCGCCATTTTTATGTCATCGGAGCGAAACTGAGTCAATAAGTACTGTTTGCGGCATGTCGAGTTGTCGACGTTCTGGAGAGGCCGAATGATAACAGATACAGCCGCTTTTAGGAATTAAAAGAGATTTTTTTACACTTTTTTACTGTCATTCCGGAGAAATACGGGGTGCCACACACGGGAGGGATGAGGCGCCCAAAAGTGAGGCTCTGCTGCGCGCGCACGTCGCATGTTTGGATTGTAATTTCGCGGCAGATTCGAACCCAAGGGGCGAGTTCCATAATACATTCTTCTCAAATGCACAGTATTAAAGTAAAAAAAGTCCAGAGTTTTAATCACGATTACTTTAATTAAATTTAACCTCTCGTAAATCCATACGTAAAAAGGGTTTCCTTCTCCGTAAATTTTAACAGTTTTATAGTGAGTTTAGTGATTAAAATTTACAATTTTTAGGAGATTTTTTAAAGTTCTTACTACAAGGGAATGTCTTGGCGAAGATTCTTTACTTTAACTCGCTTGCTCTTGACTTTCACATGGATGAAGCTAGCAGAACTTTTCGTGGAAGGGAGGGGGAGGATACGCTCCCAGGTCGCTCCCTCAAAAAAAGAAGAAAAACCGCAACAATGATGCTGTGGGATGTTTCTTTTGGGGGGGGGGGGGAGCCTCTCGAGAAGGACTGGGCAGTGGGCTCCTCTGATGCCAGCTTTGCTCTCTCTCTCTGATATTTTGGTACCCTGCTACGAAATTTCTTTTCCATTTTACTGTTAGCCTTTCATCCTTACTGCTACACGAATTGTTAATTTGAGAGAATAAGATTGAAGGAAATTCATTTGTGAGCTGTCTGGAAAAGAGAATTGGACGTATTTATGCTACAAGGAAATATGTGCAAATGAGTGAAAGCAAAAAGATTAGTGTAGCTTGTGAGCCCTATGCACATAGATCCTCTTGATTCGATTTATTTTCGCATAATTCTTCTCAGCATAAATACGTTCAATTTTATTTTAGCACTTTCTCGTCTCTTTTCTAAATCCTTAAGCTTCAAAAATCTCAAACAATATTTCCTCGATAAAAGCAATAGGTACCTGCACCCGCTATAATTATGATTATAGGCATAAGTCTATTGCTATAGCGTACCTACATTTAGAAACACATAGGTACCTACCTCAATTACTAAGTTTAATAATGTATGTGTCTCCTGAGTATCTTTGCAGAAAAACACCATTGTTACTGTCTGAAATTTTTACAGGATATTCTTTCTGTCTTGAAGAGAAATCAACGGAAATTAAAAGAGAAAACTGGGATCATTTCTCCTTAGAAAAAATAAACATGTTGGAAAATGATTAACGTCTTGAATCCAAAATGCATGTTTTTGGACTTAGGCCATCAGTGTGCTCAAGAAGCAGTAATCTGATTAAGTGATGATTAAAGTATTAATGGCAATATTTGTTGAATTCGTAATTTGTATGAATTATTACATTTTGAATTTTTTACTTAGAAAAATCTTTGACTCGGTTTGTTTTGTCCTCCACGGTAGCTTCTGATTCATTTTTGGACCTTTGAGTATAAATTAAGTGTTTGTAAAGCACTGATTGGCCTAAAACATATTATTTTAACGAAAGTATTAGCAAACCCCCAGAGTTTGCTTTAACACATTTCAATATAATTGCAAAAAGAAGGATATAAGCCTGACAAATAATGTAATTCTTCAAAATGCAGACATTATTTTACTCTAAAAAAGTAGACATAAATCCAATGAATAAAAGCTTAATACTGTGCATTTGAGAAGAATGTATTATGGAACTCGCCCCTTGGGTTCGAATCTGCCGCGAAATTACAATCCAAACATGCGACGTGCGCGCGCAGCAGAGCCTCACTTTTGGGCGCCTCATCCCTCCCGTGTGTGGCACCCGAGAAATACGGTATGTGTTTTTCAAATTTTTTAATTGTAGGTTAACCTAACCTCAAATCTAGGTTTCAATAAGTACGACCGACCCCGGGCTTTCGCTTCTGTTGGCGTAGTCTATTTATTCTATGGGGTTTGTTATCATTTTTTTGGTTTCGTTCATTCTTGTCTCTGGTTCATTCCATAGAGAAAAAAAAGGAGGTGTTTGCATCTTGAGGTTTGTTTACCCTGTGACGTAGGTCGGTACAACCTGGCCAGCGAAATTCGAAATTTGAATAACGGACCATAATGTCCGATTTTTTTACTTAAATCAGCTCATTATATAATTTCAAGCACTTCTTATTATAGAATGACTTTTTCCCTTAAGTTACACCATTTCCAAGAAAATCGACAGGATAAACGTCGCTGTACCGACCTACGTCATCAAATCATCAAAAAAATTCCAAGATGCCCGAAATGCAAACACCTCCTTTTTCTTTTTTTTCTCCACGTCCATGTCGTTTATTGATATTTATAATTTTCTTCCTTCCCTCTTCCCTCGGGTTTACCATGTGAGCCTAATATTGCCCTTAATAAAATCTTTTAAATTGCGTATCTCCTGTTCTTTGACTATGTTCAAAACCAGGAATTAGTTCATTCAAATCTGCATTGATTTTTTTTCAAGAAGAGACGGAAAGGTTTCAGCGAGAAGCATGGGACTCAAACCGAAAATGGGCGACCTTACCGTGCAAATGTTAAGAGCTCTGCCACGAATTGGTCTGTACAATCTCAAACCAATCTTAGGGATGCCAAAACTAGTAAGTAATTAGACCTGAAATTTTCAACCCTCCTTACTTTGTTTTACAATGAATCTACAAAACTAGTTTGAAGCATATCGATGGTGCAAGTCGGCAATCACATAACTCGGTTTGCGACGTCGCAGACTTCCTGTCATACTTTATTTTTTAAATGGAAAACTAATCAACGGCAATTCTTTAAAACTGTCATGATTTTTCTTCTCAATGCGAAGAAAATTCTGCAAAAACTTCAAGAAATAATGTCAATTTGCTCTCCTTTAAATAAATGACGTAGAGGCGGAGATTTTCAGACACCGCAAACGATTTATGTGATTGCCGACTTTCACCGTCGATATCCCGCTCTTGCTGTCAGTCCTGAACTGTTTGTGGAATTGGAACTGACTCGGTATTTATTATTATTTTGGTTAAGATTAAGTTTGAAAGTGGATTATACCTATACTGTAAGTGAGCCCACTTGATGAATTAAAAACCAAATAGTGTTCTAACAAATGTTGGTGAAGCACCGGTTTCATTTTTGATTATGAGTGATGAAGAAAATAAAGCACCCAGTTTGTCTTTTTGCAAGGAGTCACCTTAGAAAAATCTCATCTAATTTGAATCGGCCAGCTCTTTTCGCACGGAGCTCTGCAATTCCATCACTATTTTGCGAAATGGCACTGCTTTTTCAATTTTCTAGCAAGAGCCTGGCAGCTTTTTTGTCTTTTCATGCATCTACAGTTGGGTGGTTGGTACGTTTCTGCACCTTGGGTCTAAGCTATCCCCAAATTGAAGAATGCTGAAAATTTGAATATATCAACTTTTTTGAAAACTAGCAAAATCCAAAGTGGAAGGAGTTCCAGATTTAAGGAAGACAAAGAGGTTAAGGTGTCTACGGGTAAGGTGATTCGACAGTTTCCATTTTTCGTGTCAGAGCGACGTGCGATACATCGCATCAATTTGTTCCTTAATTTCAGCTACATGTCATTTTTTTCGAATTTTGGGATTGCACTTCTGTTGTCAAGACTAAAGAATTCATGTACCAAATTTGACAAAGAAATTCAATGTAATAAAGGCAGGGTTTTTTCAGAGGGAACACCATCGCATTCAAGTGCAGTTTCGATATAAGTATTGAATGCGATATTTTTCCTCTAAAAAAACCCTGCCTTTATCTCGTTGTATTTCTTTGTATAAATACTCACTTTTTCTTCTTTGCCCGATTTGTCAAATTTGGTACATGAATTCTTAAGTCTCATGACTACAGAAGTGCGATCTCAAAATTTGAAGTAAAATGACCTGTAGCTGATATTATGGAACAAATTGATGCGATATATCGCTTGTTGCTCTGACACAAAAAATGGCAACCGTCGAATCATCTTAATAGGTGCTATCATCTACGAGCAGATGGATTTTATTTTTATAAATATGCCCCAGAAAAAGAGGACCGCTACTTTCAGATTCATGGTGAGATGTTTGAAATTTTTCCTCATGATTGATCATCAATGACATGATGTAAATCAATGGAAACATTCTTTGTAATTCTCAAGTAATTCTTAGCTCCAACATTTTATCAAGTAGGTACATGTTGATTCAGGCAAAAAAAATTTGCATGTTATATTTACTTTCCATCAAAAAACAATCTTTACTCTGCTACAGTACCGAGATTATTCCCTCATGAGAGACAATCGAATATCCATAACTACTGTGCAGCTGTGATGACGAAAAACGCCCAAAGTACCTATAGCATTGGAATGTTGTCAAATGTAAAAAAAAATTTTCTAAGGAACTCACAAGTTTTTACTTCCAACTTAGTGTATTATCATGTATGGATGTTATGTTGTGTAACTGTTCCAAGTTATGGATGCTGTGATATATGGGCCATGTGGTATATGGATATTGCTTTGTTTTAAAAAATGTAACAAAAAGTGGAATCAAACCAAGGCTAAAATTGTTTTGTGATGATGCGATTGAAATCCCGCAAGACTTCTATTCTATTACCTACTCTTGTCTAAGAACAGGGTGGAGAAATGGTACTGGGTCCACACCATTTTGCGGGGAAAACAAAGCCAAAAAGTTCCAAAAATTATAATTGGAGTGAAAAATAAATTTTATTAACTCTAATGAGTACTAGTACAAAACTGAGGGGGAAGTGTTCAACTCAGACAGTTTGCATTGAAATATTAAGTTTTCTCTTGTTTAAGTTGTCACTGAGTGACTGGCCCAAAAATATGTTTCTCAACAGTGTGTGTTAAATAAATCATGTCCAGCATCACTGTATTTTCTCATCCTCCAATCACTTGATTTTTTAGAGCAAAAGAGGACGTGGTCAGCATGGAGGTGATAAACACGGATGTGGTAACAAAGGATCGGGTCAACGCCAGAATATCATGAGACCTGGCTACGAAACAGGGAACCAACCATTCTATTTGCTTTTTGGAAATGAACCATACTACTACCGCCATCAGTAAGTGATAGATCTTACTTTGAAATAAATGAATAATTTCTTTTATTCTTAATCTGTACAACAGCACAAGACGCACCTTGCAAATCCTAAAATGATTTTTCCCATCACAACCATCATCTCATATTTTTAACAGAGAAAAAATTTCTTTTCATTGTCAAATCTCTTGACTTTTCCCCCACTTGGAGCTATTTTACCAACAAATTTCCTAACTTTTCCTTGAGTTTTCAATGTAGTCGCGCAGCAAAATCCTTTTTCAACAAACAGGGTGTCCCCTGGTTACACAGCCAGACAATAACATCAAGTTCTATCATTAAAAATAATACTTTTCTCTCAATCAAGTTTTTCCCAAAAGTGCTCATAGTCCGAGCCATGCCCTTTGAACTTTCGGGAAAATGGTTGTGTATGTCTGGAATTGTGGCGACAGGAATGGACGGAAACTCTTGAAAAACAGTCACTCTTCATGAGTTAAAGTATGAAAGACATTCATGGCTTCAAAAATACGGAGATCTAAATTTAAAGAGGGATTTCAGGAAGTCTTGGATCTCTAAGCTAATAGTTTTTTGGCCGTTCTCTGTAATTTTTCGAAAATTCAATATCGAAGAAAGAAAATACCAATGATCATCTTCCAGGATTCTGTTAAACCTAATGCAAGGGTTTCCATAAAACAGCCCCTTGACTGGCCATGCTCACTCCATGTTGAATTGTTGACTCTTTTAACTTAAGATTTAGATATTTTCACCCATTGATAAGGCCAGGGCTAAAAATTCAGAAGACTGGCATTCACCGCTAGTTTTGGACCATAACCATTGCCAAAATTGAAAAAGAAACTTTGATTTTCCTGAAAGTTCAGGGAGCCGTATATCCAGCTGGGGTACTTTGGGAAGCAGAAAGGTTTCTTTTAGAAGAACCCATAGGAGACCCATAGAATATGCTCCTGCAGTTTGGCCATTTAAGTAGCCTAAGGACACGCTGTAATTAGTACCAGTTTCAGCTCTTTGTATAGAAAAGCATGATCGCAACCAGAGCCATTCCAAAGTTTTGAAAAAAGGAAAAGATTCAAGGTTTGATGGCGAAAGAGCTTGATGCAAAAACGGCTTTTTTCGCGCCCCCCCCCCCTGGAATTTCTTAAAACTTTGTCTATTGATTACTCATACTTAAGCGCTTCTTTTCCCATATTTTCAGACCCCCAAAAATTTGGGGGAGGGGGTTTGGACGAAAAATTGTCTAAAATTGCATACTTTAAGATGTTAAAAGCAAAATTCCGAAATCACATGTGCTTTCTTTCAGTTTTTGAGTCGAGAAAATTTCTTTTTAACAAAGTTCTCAATTTTTTATTTGAACCAAAACCAGTTTTTTAAATTGCTCGTCTTTTTTCGCATCCAACGAGTGGCCCATCAAACTGGAGAACCAATCGGTTCTGGAGTTATGAGCAATTGAAGTTTCCGCCCAACGCGCCCCGATCGATTTTAAAAGCCAAAGCCCCTCCAAAAAGCCGGATTTGGGTGTTATTAAATCAGATTGAATGTTCAAACCATGCAAAATAAGTTTTTAGGGATTCTTGAGGGTTGCTGAGTTCAAAAATTACAGATACTTCCAAAACATTCACTTTTTTAAAATTACAGCTCCGTAGCTGTAATTAATGCTGTGTAAATTGTGGGCCTGCTTTAGAGGCCCACTGAGCGCCGACCAGCCGCTCAGTGGGCCTGTACAGAGGTTTTTATTGGCCAGTATGTTTGCTGGAAATGAATGAATAAATGATTTATCCTGATGGACAAATAGATAAATAGTCTTTACAAACTCAAATCTTGAATGAGTATTTGCACTTTCAATACTGTTGTAACATTTATGAATCTTTCAAATTTCTATCGGTTTGCTTTTTTTATTTCCTTGCTTTAATATCTTTTTTCTGGCTGTCCGCAGTTTACGCCGGCAATATCCTCCTTTATCCCTCTTGCAGCTTCAAACCCTCATCGACACAGATCGAATTGATGTGGATAGACCAATTGATCTAGCAGCAATATGTGCCACAGGCGTGTACAGGTTCTTCCCAAATATAAAGCATTTTGGAATTAACTTAACAGATGAGGTAAGCAAATCCTTATCTCTGATTGCTTTAGACAAGCAAATTGATCACCTGAGATCTCTACATAGAAGCTATCAAAGTCTATTTGAAGCCCCTCATGAACAGACGCATTTATGCTAAAAGGAACTATGTGCATAGGGTTTGCATGCAGTACAGTTAAATCAGTCCTTTTAAAAAGAGGGCAAGTCCTTCTTTCAAAAAAAAAAAATTTGGCATTTTTGAACTCTTTAGTTGTCCCAGAGTATAGACAAGTACAAATGTGGAACTTTTAGGGCCCAAGAAGGCAGTCAACCCTTCAACACTGATCTTCGGATTCCAATATCCAACCATTTTTTTTTTTTTTTTTTTCTTGTGATGTTTTTGGCTTCTATTCCTTTATTGATAGTTTAGGAATCTACAACCATCTTTTTTTGTATATATGCTAAGGGTATATTAGGGAGTTAGGAAAAGAGATAGGAGAATAAAGTGCCCCTACACCAGCTTTACACTAAGAGGCTGGACATAGCGACTTTCTATTAGGGGTGTTCAAATGAATTCTTGCCGGTACGCTATCATTATTGTCTTAAACCAATACTGGTGGCAGTACCGACAGTGGCAATGATATCGTTAACAGCCGGCCTAATCAGAGTTTTGAGAGCTCGCACGCAATGCATTGTTGCCCAGTGTGTCGATTTGTCAGATTGGTATCCATTGGAATGGGAACATCTCTAGAATGGGATTCTCCTGGATCAGCTAGGGGATCTTACTGATCCATGTTAACCTACAGAGCAGAGTTGGGGTTACATGGCGGAAGAAGGTCAGCAAGGAAACTGAAGGAACTCAACTGGTTTGACGAAAAACTAAAAAATAGTGTATTTTTCCCTCGGAAAATACACTAAAACTGAATCACATCATTGTGGAAGGAACAGAAGGAATAAAGCCACGAGGCTAAAGATAGAGGTTAGTCAATCACAAAAGCGATACAAGGTACAGGTAGTCAAATCAAAACTAGACTTGAGAATGGTCAAGAATGTTCAAAAAGGAGCATTCTTCCACAGAAATGAGTAAATGTATGCAAAAACCAAGTCGAATACGTGCTTTACAAAAGAACGTAACAATTTGTAAGGTTTTGTTTAATATTGATAATATCTAGACACTCAATTTTTTTCAAAAAATATTATACACCTCTTTCATCCATTGAAAACTATAATTTGCCATTTTAATATTACAGGTAATTAAGTAATTCAGGCATTTTTTCTGGCCAAAGAATTACTCTCAAAATTTTAAAATTAATTTGGTCCTAGGATTTTCAAGAATGACTCCAAATCGAATTTTTTTTTTTTTTTTTTTTTTTTTTAATACATGGCTGAAAGAAATGATCAACGTCAGGAAAGACAAAGGAGAAAGTAGTGTGAAAGTTTCAGCAGTAAATATGCAAAATATAATCAATGCTGGAATGTAAGTGAATCTTCTCAGTGATGACATTTTCTTGTATCTCACATTTCCATGACAAGAAAAAAACACTGATTAAAGGCACTACTGTGTAATTTACACTCATATTTTTCTCCCTCGCTGTACTACGTATGCGTTCTTTCATTTGATAGTGTTTTGTAACGGTACTTTTGCCAACTCAAGATCTGTCAAAAACTAAACTGATGGGTTAACAAAATATCACTGACTTTATTTTGACCTTTTGCATCCTGCAAAGAATCCAGCCAGGTCAAAACTTGCTAAAAATCGGTCGTTTTGTATTACAGCTGATTTCTTCATGCCTTTAAAAATTATCAGTGACTTAAATTGTAATACATGCATCAAAATTGAAGCAAAATGAATTTTCTCCTTGTTTTTTTTTTAGCAAGATTCTTTGTTATTACGTGGAATTGTAGAAGATCATGTAGCTTACAAAAATGTAGCTGTCATTCACTTCAGAATATCAAACACTAAAAAAGTTTCTTTACGGAGAAGATAAAAACTCATGACAGACATTTTGCAAGTTCTCAATGCCTAGTCCTTATATTTGCAACTGCATGCTCTAGGTTTTTCTGTTTGCTCTGAGACTCATTCAAGTTCTTTTGTCCTCAAACAGGGGATTGATAACTTTAAAGCTAAAGTGAACATAGAAGTTCAGTGGACCAGTGAACCTGTCATTGCTGCTATTGAGAGGAACGGTGGAACCATAACAACTGCCTACTATGATCCCCATTCCTTGTTCATTCTGAAGGATCCACTTAAATTCTTCGAAAGAGGTATTAACTCTTTAATATTTTCAATGCAGAGTTCTTGGGAGTTTTATATTTGAATTTTCTACCTCTCAATGCAGTTCCTGTAGACATCTGCAGGTTAAGCTTCGATCAGTTCAATCTATCTTGAATCTCTAAGTACACTTGGAATCTACGATGTAAAGAATATAGATCAACAGTGGCCTAAAAAAAAGTAGTTCTTGTAGAAAGACGGCTGAATAGGTAAGCATGGACCCTCATCCCAAGTGCTGAACGTGAAAATAATATGGAGCCCTCGGAGGTGAAGAAACTTCCTGACGACCCGACCGGTTCCGGCTCGGTCGTTTCCCGGTCGCGTCCTTTGGGGAAACTTCCTTGAAAATGAGAGAAGACAGACCAATCTCCTTGAAAGTGGGGGAACGTCTTGTAAGAGATGGCGTTTTAGCGATGAAACAGTCCGATTTTTTGGCTCAAGGGTTTTTCTATTCTTTTCAGGTGCAAGTGGTCACAAAATGGGGTTAAAAAGGGGGGAAGGTTTATCGAATTTGAGGGAAGGCTTGGCTTGCCACTCATGTGGGAATTTTTATAAAAGAGGATTCAACAATGATATTATCATGTTAAACGCACCTAAAGGGTACCAAGTTTCTCATCTGAGCTCGAATGTCCAATTTGTTCTTCCAAAATTTGAAGTAAAGCAAAAAACAAAAAGTTCAATTTAAACCATAGAAACTATGGACTAACCAACTTTCCAACTTTGCATACGGCTCTTTACGGAAAACCCTGATTTCGCAGTCCAATGAGCATCTCCGAGAGAGAAAAGGGAGAGAAACAGTATTCCATTTCTTCTCATTATTCAAACAGCTGATGTACCGTCACCGGGCGTCGCGGCGCGGTGTCGCCAAGCCGTGACACATTTGTCGCTATTTTGGTCTACAAAAGGAGGGGAAAAACTTAAAACTGAGAATGAAATTCTTCGTTACAGAGTGTACCTTATTTTTGAGTTTTGCGAAAATCACGTTGGTCAACCGCTAATAAGTTCTTTGTAGTCTCTAAATGAACCCCCTAAAAGGAAAAAAATTTAAAAAATTTTTAACCCGTGCCCCAAAGAGCCTAAAGGGCCTAAATCCAAAATTCAAAAATTTTGGCAGCAACATATCAATTCTGAAGGAAAATTGCAAGTTACAGCCCATTGGCCAGAAATTTCGTTCGTTTTGGCTTATCTTGTAGCGTAAGGTCACAAACGGCTCAATGACGACGTGAGGCTATGGGCCGGCCGGCCGCTGAGCGCGCGCGCAGGGCAGGGTCGCGCATCGCCGCTTTACACCGCACCGGCGCAGGGAACTGACGGTGGAGTGGGACGGGGACATCCGGTGGAAAAGCATCCACTTTTTCTATCCATAATGAAAATGCATTATGCAAGATAGATGAGGAAATATGAGCCACACAAGGAAAAATAGAAAAGAGTGACATATCAATTCTGAAGGAAAATTGCAAATTACGGCCCATTGGGCGGAAATTTCGTTCTTTTGGCTTATCTTGAAGCGTAAGGTCCCAAACGGCTCAATGACGAAGTGAGGCTATGGGCCGGCTGGCCGCTGAGCGCGCGCGCAGGGCAGGGTCGCGCATCGCCGCATTACACCGGCGTAGAGGAACGGACGGTGGGGTGGGAGGGGGATATCCGGAGGAAAAGCATCCTTATTTCCAATCCATAATGAAAATGCATTATGCAAGATAGATGAGGAAATATGAGCCACACAAGGAAGTGATGAAAAGAGTGACAAATACAGATGTAGTCTGTACGATTAGGAGCGTAAGTGGGGAAAATTTGCCGTAACTACAGAACGGCCCTGAAAATCTCCGGGGAACAAAAGCTGCTATTGTCAACATACCTGTTGATCATCAAAACAGAATATTCTCACCCACTGGAGGTACCGGAAACCACTGGTAATTGACTAATTAAAAAGATATGTGCGATGTTGTCGAATAGTACGCCCTTTACGCGATTAAATGCGATTAGTGTAAGTTGAATTGGAAAAGTTGAAGAAAAATTTGATGAAAGAAAATTGCCCTAAATTCGGAAGGTGCTCCAAGTTTTTTCTATCATGTGAAGTGTTTGCACATGAATGTCAATGGCAGTGCGTGGAAAACCTCTGATCTGGTACATAATTCCAATCTGGAATGGAAAATGTAGAATCCCTGTGATACATAGTGTCCATGTTTTTAAAAATATTTACATTTTTACGAGGAGTGGAAGCGCGTATCAAAAAATGCTAACCGTTGATCGCTGGTTCAAGAGAATTTGGAGACTGATTTTACGGCAAAAATTGACGTGTTATTCGATATTGCCTTATGCAATGCTCTCATGCTCTCTATGCAATCATGGAAAATGAAGAGACTAAAGCATTTTTAATTCTCCAGCGAAAACCTGAAGGAGAATGCATAATATCCACAGTGAAGGATACTATTCTTGCAGCAGAGGAGAGGAGAGCAGACGAGAAGAAAGCTCGCGCCCAGGAGAGAGTATCCAGATAGGAAAAATTCAAGCTCGCTTATGAGTCCCGCTAAACGGAAGAAAGTTTTTTCATTTCACATGAAATCATTGAAGGTTGGATGTATCAATAAGACTCTGTTTACGTTCCTTTCCATTGGTGCATTTAACGCGGCATCAATTAGAAAGTTTTATTCAAGAGGTTCAATCTGGCTCCGCCAACTTACAGCTGATGTTGATTGCCTGGCCTCACCCACGACGATAAACGACACATTAGCCACCACTTTTCAAATCTTCCTTAGTAGCCGAGTGGTCAAGGGCTTCGTCTAGGGTATCTGAAAGCGGGATTCAAATCCCAAGTAGAATCATATTTTTTCGATCAGCTCGTATTACATTTTTGATAATAGCAAGTAATTGTGGGGGGGGGGGGGGGGGGGGGGATTGCAGTACGAGAAAATGTAAGAGAGTAAGCCAGATTGAACCTCTTGAATAAAACTTTCTAATTGATGTCGAGTCAAATACACTAATGAAAAGGAGGGTAAACATGGACACTATGTACCACAGGGATTCTACATTTTCCATTCCAGATTGGAATTATGTACCAGATCAGAGGTTTTCCACGCACTGCCATTGACATTCATGTGCAAACACTTCACATGATAGAAAAAACTTGGAGCACCTTCCGAATTTAGGGCAATTTTCTTTCATCGAATTTTTCTTCAACTTTTCCAATTCAATTTACACTAATCGCATTTAATCGCGTAAAGGGCTTAGCTATTCAACAACATCGCACATATCTTTTTAATTAGTCAAATACCAGTGGTTTCCGGTACCTCCGGTGGGTGAGAATATTCTGTTTTGATGATCAGCAGGTATGTTGACAATAGCAGCTTTCATTCCCCGGAGATTTTCAGGGCTGTTCTGTAGTTACGGCAAATTTTCCCCACTTACGCTCCTAATCATACAAACTACATCTGTATTTGTCACTCTTTTCATCACTTCCTTGTGTGGCTCATATTTCCTCATCTATCTTGCATAATGCATTTTCATTATGGATTGGAAATGTGGATGCTTTTCCTCCGGATATCCCCCTCCCACCCCACCGTCCGTTCCTCTACGCCGGTGTAATGCGGCGATGCGCGACCCTGCCCTGCGCGCGCGCTCAGCGGCCGGCCGGCCCATAGCCTCACGTCGTCATTGAGCCGTTTGTGACCTTACGCTTCAAGATAAGCCAAAACGAACGAAATTTCTGGCCAATGGGCTGTAACTTGCAATTTTCCTTCAGAATTGATATGTTGCTGCCAAAATTTTTGAATTTTGGATTTAGGCCCTTTAGGCTCTTTGGGGCACGGGTTAAAAATTTTTTAAATTTTTTTCCTTTTAGGGGGTTCATTTAGAGACTACAAAGAACTTATTAGCGGTTGACCAACGTGATTTTCGCAAAACTCAAAAATAAGGTACACCCTGTAACGAAGAATTTCATTCTCAGTTTTAAGTTTTTCCCCTCCTTTTGTAGACCAAAATAGCGACAAATGTGTCACGGCTTGGCGACACCGCGCCGCGACGCCCGGTGACGGTACATCAGCTGTTTGAATAATGAGAAGAAATGGAATACTGTTTCTCTCCCTTTTCTCTCTCGGAGATGCTCATTGGACCGCGAAATCAGGGTTTTCCGTAAATTACCAAAACGAAAAATTGTAAAAAATTCTAAACTACTATAAACTTCTGCAGGAAATTTTCCTACATCCATTTCTGTAAATTTTATATTTTAATTAATTTTTCTTGTAACAAAAATTTTGCAACGAATGTCGAGATCGTCTTCCAATATCTTCAAATCAATCTGATAGCGCTCTAAGCCAAACATTGTTCATCACCCTCTCCTTTCCGGAGGGTCACCTCTTCTCTCATCTTTTTCTAAATCTTTCTCGACTTGAGGTGCACGTTAGTGAGTAGCATCTCGTCGAGCCTTCTGTCCTTTTCACTTTCCTCTTTTCTCTTCTCCTGTGCTGAGGTGCAAGTTAGTGAGTCGCATCTCGCCCAGTTTCACTCCTCCTCTCCTCTCACCTGTACTCCTGTATCCTGGAATCTCAAGCCTTGAGGTGCACGTTAGTGAGTAGCATTTCGGCTTCCCTTTTATTTTGATTTCATTTTTTAGGATTTTATCGTCGATTGTAAAATATTTCCTAACGTATAAGCCCAGAGGTGCACGATAGTGAGTAGCATTTCGGCTTCCCTTTTATTTTGATTTCATTTCTAGGATTTTATCGTCGATTGTAAAATATTCCTCACGTATAAGCCTTGAGGTGCACGTTAGTGAGTGGCATTTCGGCTAAATTATTATTATCATAATTTTGAGTGTAGGATCCTCACAAAGTTAGCTAACAAAAGGACATTCTTCTGAAAGTTTTTGTAAGTAAACCAAGAAATTTGAGACATAATATTTTGATCATTCTTTCCCTCTTTCAAACTCATTTTTAAAATTGGCGCCCGAATCCAGGATCCCGGCGAGCTCATTCCGGCACCTCCAGTAACGTTGGCAGATCTTATACCAGAGGACGTATGTGCCTCTGATGACCTGGACCTGCTTGGCAGAGAAGGGGGATTTGCCTCGTTACACACCCTACCCTACCCCGCCCCTCCCTGAATCATTCATCGGCACTGGAGGATGAATAAAACGTAAGCAGACCCTGAAAACGTTGCAATCTGAAAGCAACTTTCGACTCTAGCCATCGAGTTGCAGTTGGACTGAGTTTTACAGAAAAGTACCGAGTCGCACCAAGTTTCAATTGAGAGAAGGAGTCAGTACTTTTTCCCTCCGTAAGCATCAATGTTAAGAAAACAAGTTAAACAATCGTTTTCCTGCTCAAAATATTTATTCTCAACTTTGAATTTTCGGCAGGAGAAAATTTACGACCAGTTTTTTAAAATTGCTCCCACCTCATTTTTTTCTAAAATGGGATGTGGTGTGTTTTTTTTTAATTCTATCCAATTATCCGTTTCCTAAAATATTTGCATGCCTGACTCGAATTTTTTTTCCTGCGGTCGATCATATTTAATTTAAGACGTGCCTTTCACTGCTTATTTTTAGGCGAAGCAATCCCCAGGAGAATGATCCCTCCCCAAGATGCCATTATGTTTTACACGGATGCCAAGAATCGAGGGTACCTTGCAGATCCCGAGAAAATCTCGTGGGAAAGATTTGTGTTAGCCCAAAAATACGGATACACTCTACCGAAATTGGAGGAGGACCCTGACTACGAAATGCTCACTGAAAGGAAAGATCCCAGACAAATATTCTATGGACTTGAACCAGGCTGGGTCATCAACCATCATGAAAAAGTCATTCTAAAACCAAAAGATAATGAACTGAGGGAGTATTATCAACAGTAGAAATAGTATCAGTTATTGGACTTGGGTTTCCTTCTCTCTTGCAAATGCTTTTTTCCTCATGTTTATTCGCCACTCACACATTATCACCTCAGCGTTCCTTCATGAGCTCTCATGTAAAAATATGTACTTCAATTTTATTGTTGTCTACACTGTGGTGCGCGGCCGAATTTACCTTGTTACAAGAGAAAAACTCGAGTCGTGTTTATGATTTTCCATGCCCCTTTTGTGTCATATCAGATGTTGTTCCATGTTTCCCCCTGTCGTCGAGATATAAGTTTTAAGAAAATTATACTGACTTATTTCTGAATTTTCAAAGTAGGTGTATGGGCATTAGCTGAAATTTGTCTCTGATTTTCTGAGTTAACCGATTTTCACTTACCATGAAAAACAAAACTGACACCACAGTGAAAACTGGGAAATATATTTGCATTTCAATACTATTGTGTTGATTTACTTTGAAAATAATCAGCGTTTTTTTTTTAGCGAGCAGTCGAAAAACTTGGTGTTAGTGCTCATGCTGCATAAAACACAAACTTGGCATAAACAAACATCCTGATAGTGCGCAAACTCAGATTCGAAAATTCTTTCTTATTTCCATAAGTAATCATGTTATTTCACAAGCCAGTGACTGTTTTGTAAAAATAATAAAATTGTATTTTTTATGTTGGATACTTTGTCCTGTCTCTTATCTTTTGTCTTTTCTTAATTACTTTCCTGGTCAGGGAAACCTTTGCTTGAGGATGTCTCTGGCAAGATTTTGAAAGCGCAAATTTTAAGAAACGTAGGTGGCCGCAAATTTTACTTGGAATCAAAGACAAAGGAAATTGATACGTATAAAAGCTGTAAAACAGTGATGTTTTGGAAAATTGTGTTGAGCTGTTAAAAAATTCTGACAAAATCCGGACAGGGTTAAGGTATTAAGCGATAAAGCATATTCTTCCTCATCAAAATTGAACGCAGTAGGCGTAGAACGCACCAAAAACTTCCGAAATCAACTCATAAGTGAGAAATAAACGTTTGTAGTTTGCATTTTAAACAGGAAATTCAAGCTTCCTGTTTGTGAAAGAACCGCACTTGACTTAGGCTAAATTAGGCATTGAAATCAACCTACAAGTATATATTATACTTGTATATTATGTATATGTTAGGCAAATAAGTAGAGGTTGGTTTCACACGTATTTCCTTCCTCTTTTGATACAAAGTCCCTTTAGTTTTGTCCAAAAAAAGCTGGTACCCAGGAAAAGAACCCCGCACAGAGCATGGGCTCAGCGGCTCTCTATGAAAGTCGATGAAACTTTAATAGATTGATATAAAGTTCATAATTAAGGGAAAGCCAAAAAATTAGCTCATTTTTGCGAGTAGAAACCGAGATATTCGCAATTGAATCCGGACTATTATCTATCATGCCGCAGCATGACGGAAGAATTCCGAGTCCCCTCTCCTCTCATTGTTCGGCGTTCTCGATCAGACTTCACGTCACTCACGTGAAGATAGGTGCTTATGCGCTCGGCCGGTGCGAATGCCGTACTCCCACCCTCTCCCCGCATCTGTCAATTCTGTTTCAGTGACTACATTTCAGATTAAACCGGCCGGCGACGCCGGTACGGGAGAGGTGCGAGAAGCAGGGAACTCCATATCGCACAGCCCGAACGGAGCGTTCTAATGAAAAGAGTGAGAGTAAACAATGCGACATCGTAGTTACCTGGTGGGGAGAGGGGGTTTCCTAGCCGAAGTGCTCAAGCAAGGTAAGGCGACACGGAGAATTTACCTCCGCCGCACAGAAAATAGTCCGGGTTCAATCGCGAATATCTCGGCTTCTACTCGCCAAAGTGAGCTAATTTTTTGGCTTTCCCTTAATTATGAACTTTATATGAATCTATTAAAGTTTCATCGACTTTCATAGAGAGCCGCTGAGCCCATGCTCTGTACAGGGTTCTTTGTCCATCATAAAACTCACAGAAATTGCTTAGAGCTTGATTTGACTGAAGTAGACTCTGATTCCTTTGTGATCGGGAAGTGTGAATTAACCTTAGACAAAAGCCATTATTTTCTAAGCCTACTCTTATGAATTGAATTTGGAAAGTTGTAACGTCTCCAACACATTTTACATAAAATTTCAAATTTTCGCTGGTGCTTAATTTCCTATGCTTCCTAGAAATCCATCGGTGAAAAAATTAATTCACTTTACAAGATAAATGTTTCTCTGAGGAAAAAAATGCACTAATTCAAAGTAATCACAATGATTATATATTTACAAAAAAAAAAAATGGGAGCATAAAGTTTGGCGATTTTAACAAGATAAGTTTCTTGGCGTACTTTCATATACAGATAACAAAACTATCTTCCACTACAAGAACACTACCTCTAACCCGTGCTGTGCTGCGTTTCTTTGCCCAAAAAAAAAAAAGAGCATTTGAATTTTTCCAAGGAATGAGTGGTATTTTTCGATTGTGGAATTACAAAAATGTTCAGGTCTTGTACTTTTACTACAATGCAACATTAGCCTCGAAAAAAGTTACAGTGCTACTGATGCGGACAAAATTATAGAGGCTGAGGCTCTCAACTTAATCCTCATTTTTCTTGAAAATTTCCGAGGTTAATAATTCTTAGGCCAATTACTTTGAGACCTGAATAAACTTGAAAACGTCTTAACTCATTGTGAAGTTTTTTTTTTTGTTTTTTAAAATTCCGTTTAAAAAAAGGGGAAAAGACCTTGAGAATCTTGAAATGTTTTGTGAAAGGAGCGTAAGAGTGGAAAGGGACTGACAGTATGTTCTAAGGGAAGGAGCCAGGTGTTGAAACTTGAAACCAGAATGAGAAAAGAGCACAAATCTGGGCTCATAGTTATTTTATGGAAACATTTTGAGCTCAAATTACTCCGTGAGCTTCTCTTTAACTCTCCCTGATTATTTCTGAGGGAAGAAATTTTGGAACGTGACAAAGCATTCCTTTAGTGCACTCAATGAATAAACTGAGTAGCGTTCAGAGACAAGAGAGAGAGGGCTACACATCTACTCCTTTACATTTTAACTTTCAGAACTCTACATAGAAGGACTTGAATAAGAAAGGTCAAGAAAATTTTACAACGAGAAAAAAAGAAATGTTACACTTGGTGTTAGGTTTACCCTAAAGAAAGATGGGTAGATGACTTAAAAATCTGACTCCTTGGACATGACACACATTAATGGAGGTTTCATCTTGAAATGTCTCTTAAAACTGTCAATTTCTCAGATTAAGTATTGAGGGACTAGTAACGGTTGATTTCATGATAAATTATTGGCATTACAAGGGTCAAAATCTGTGAGAGCTTTGAATTTTGCGCTAAAAAAAACAGGTTCTGCGCATTCACTGAAATAATCATCCTTACCGAAAGTAAATAAAAAATGGATGAAAAAAGTAAGTCATTTCCTATTATACTTCATTCTTGCTTTGAATGGTACTTTTTTCACGTTCGAATCCTGTCTTCTTATTTTGGGAATTTTGTGCATGTGATTTTTCCAACTACCTAGCTGGCAAACAAAGAGCTTGATGCAAAACCGGTTTTTTGCCCACCTCTGGAATTTCTTCAAAATTTGTCTATTGATTACTCATACTTGATCGCTTCTTTCCTCAAATTTCCGGACCCCCAAAAAATTTTCGGGGGGGGGGGGTGAAAGTCAAAACCTGTGAACCTTGATATCTCTCGAACAAAGAAAGATATCAAGGTCCGGTTTGGACGAAAAATCGTCTAAAATTGCATACTTTAAGATGTTAAAAGCAAAATCCCGAAATCACATGTGCTTTCTTTCAGTTTTTGAGTCGAGAAAATTTCTTTTAAACAAAGAATTTACAAAGTTCTCAATTTTTTATTTGAACCAAAACCAGTTTTTTGAATTGCTCGTCTTTTTTCACATCCAACGAGTGGTCCATCAAGCTAGGGAACCGAAGGGTTTGAAAGTTAGGAACAATTGAAGTTAACGCTCAACGCACGCCAAAATATGGTTCCAAAGCCGGATTTGGATGTTGATGAATCAGATTGAATGTTCAAACCATGCGGAATAAGTTTTTAGAGATTCTTGAGGGTTGCTGAATTCAAAAATTACAGATACTTCCAAAACATTCACTTCTTTTCCGTAGCGCTTCTTGACAGGCCCACCGAGTGCCGACTGGCTAACCGCTCAGTAGGCCTGTCAAGTAACGCTACAGGAAAAAAGTGAATTTTTGGCAATATCTGTAGTTTTTGAACTCAGCAACCCTCAAGAATCCCTAAAAACTTATTTTGCACGGTTTGAGAATTCAATCTGATTTAATATCACCAAAATCCGGCTTTTTGGCGTGCGAAAATCGGTCGGAGTACATTGGGTGGAAACTTAAATTGCTCATTATTCCAGAACCATTTGGTTTCCCAGCTTAATGGACCTTTTCTTGGATGCGGAAAAGGCAAACAATTTTAAAAACTGGTTTTGATCCAAATAAAAAATTGAGATCTTTGTGTCTCCTTTTGTTTAAAAGAAATTTTCTCGGCTCAAAAACTGAAAAAAAGCACATGTGTTAACTTGAAAGTGTGATTTCGGGATTTTGCTTTGACATCTTAGAGTATGCAATTTTAGACAATTTTTTGTCCAAACCGGACTTCAATATCTTTCTTCATTCAAGAGATATCGAGGTTCACAGGTTTTGACTTCCACCCCCAGCCCCCCCCCCAATTTTTGGGGGTCTGAAAATTTGGGAAAAGAAGCGCTCAAGTATGAGTAATCAATACACAAAGTTTGAAGGAATTCCAGTTGGGGAGGGGGGGGGCGCGAAGAAAGCCGCTATTGCATCAAGCGCTCTCCTTACTTTGGCATAAAATTGCAACTTTGATCAAATATTAACCTGCTTGATGCTCTATATATGTGAAAAAGCAGCTGTAACAAAACCAAACTCCAGGATGAATCATTTTGAAGAAAAGTAGATTATTAATCGAGTTAAGAATTAGAGTAGAAAAATTGACTTAGAAAAGAAATAAGATTTAACAGTCGGTTGAATTCAAAGACTGGTCAGGAGACGAAGACTGTGACAAGCTTGCACTTCCAATGGGCGATCCGGGGAGTTTTTTCCTTGCTAATCTGTCCAACTCCGCAGCTGCGTCTGATCTAACAGCTGCTTTCTCTAGAGGACTCATTCCACCAAGAGCACTGCTTGGCAGCGAGTAATCGTCTGAAAATTAAGTAAGTAAACAGGTGATAATTCGTTTTCATTACTTAATAAAAAACAAAAATCAAGGCATCATTCATCTAAAAAATGGAATTGTTGAAAGAGTAGGTTACGCTCAGAAGAACAATAAGCCAGTGGAAGCTTGGAAAATAAGCATGAAAATTAAGGTTTTCTCATCAAAACTCCATATAGAAAAAATAGAAAACAATGGATTGATTGAAAGGAACCCTGAATACCAATAGGAACTTACTGGTTCTCATCACATTTTGATGACATTTTAACAAGTTATCGTAAAATTCATCATTAAAGCCATAAAATGAGGTGGTTCAGTTGGATAGGAGTCAATTGCCATGCCAGACTAGCTGTTTGGTCATGCTGCCGAATATAATGTCATTTTCTACTTTCATAATCTGATGTACTCTATCATCAGAGACCCAATCCCTTCTAGCAATTCCTACTAACCTCCTCCAGACAGTCCACTATGTTACTCCTAGTATACCGATGGCCAAAGTGCAGAACCACGTACCTCCGTTTGCGACCTTGCAGACTTCTTATCATTCTTTAATCTTTCCTAGGAAAACGAGTCAACTTAATTTTTTGAAAACTTCCTTGATTTTTCACCTCTATTGCCAAAACATTCCATAGTTCCAAAATATATAGATGACTTGTTTCTCATGAAATAAATAGATAAGGAGTAGAAATTTTGAAACAATGCAATGGAAATAGGTAGTTTTGCACTTTAATGATCTATAAATGGCTTCTGTTTCTTTAGCAGCCAAACCTCACTACCATACATATGAAAATACTTTTCACTGTAGTGCTATCCTCATCTACCCTTATCAAATTCGTTGCTACCAGAGGATTCCATTTAATATTCTTATAGCCTTCCTCCCTGGGGTGTTTCTCTCCTTGATAGCTTGATCTGTCTTTCTATCCTGGGTTACCCGCACACCTGAGTACAGTGAAACCTCAATAACTCGGTTCCCGGATAAGCCGGTAACCCGCTTTCGTCGGTAGAATCGCCCGGTCCCGTTTATCACCCATATAACACGATGCTAAATAAGTCTGGATAGCTCGGTTTGGTTAGATTCTGAAACCACTTAACTCGGTGAAATTTTTCCATCTCGACCTGTTTTTCTTCGATCGTCACCCGTGATCAAGCGTAGGTAGTGTTTACGTGTGGGTCGGGTCAAGGTACGCCACGAAGGGTGAGCGAATCTCCTAGAGAGCGCAGCGCAGTGCGAGAGACATCAGCTCCCCCTCACCTGCACCACAGCATGATCACTCTCAGTGAAGGCGGCCAGCTGGAGGGGGAACCACAGTCCTTAATTTCTTCCGAATCGCTTCCCTCTTCCCATCCCCTTGTCCCCATCAGTATTGTCGCTGATAGCAGTGCGGAGCGACACTCAAATAGATATGGAATCAAAAGCACTCGATAACAACACGAAAGATGAGAACAGTAGAGAATAGGTTATCTGATACCGCGTGTTTATCTCATCACGAGTGTGAAAACACACATGCATAATTAAACGATTTAACGCATCGATGAGTTGACAGGTCAAGAGTCAGGTGCATCAATCAAAAGTCAAAACATCTCGCGCTCGCTTCAAATCGGCACCAGCCCCTCTCCTCCTCCCTCCCATCCCCACTCAGCCATAGCGGGCGGCCGCGGCGCATCACCGCGCGGCACCCCAACAAACGATTAACCCCATGACTTCATGATGCCCTGACACTTTCAACACGCAATTTCAAGTGCATCTCACGAAATTTTACTATTTAGTACCATTTTCTTCGATCAAATGGCACTCCAAAACACTCGTTTGAGTCACCTTACACGCACGTTTGCGTTTGTCCAATTTAGGGTGCGAAATTTGAAAAAGCGCGGCAGGAAAAGTGGCAGTTCGCATAAGTCGGTAGCCCGCTTAACTCGGTAAATTTCCTCGGTCCCGATGGAAACCAAGTTATTGAGGTTTCACTGTACTTACACTCCGCCCAGCCTTCGGTTCGCTGCCCTGCCTCCAACTCAATGCTGTGCTCATCATCTCCTAGGGTCAGTTTCTCCGTTTTGGACATATCGGCTTCCCATCCTCGCTTTTAGTACTCCTTGACCAACTTATGCAGAAAGTACTCAGCGATATCCTGCCATTTCAGCTTAATTCACCCACTAAATGGATATAACATACTATTATACACTAGGCTTTTCCTATGAAGGCTAATCGTGGATATATTGCTTTGTAATATCCGTTATACAACTAACATGACGCAAACAATTCTAGTAATAAAGGAGGGCCACTTACTTTGTGACTTGTTCATTCCCGGACTGCCATGCTTCTTATGCAGTAATGAGTTGAAGAAATTAGCTAGGACACCCTCTCCTGCTGCAGCTGCTCCTGGTTTGTTAGGGTCGATCTGGAAAGATTCAAAATCGACCAGGGTTAGTGATACATTTAGAAACAGCACTTCTAGAGAGGTTTCAAGACACAAGGGAGCTTTTCATCAATTTTTTACAAATCAAACATCAGGGTTGATAGCATCCCGTAAACCAGAAATAAGAAAACCTTCAAAACCCTTCCTCCTAAACTGGTATCAGTTTTTCTAAATTTACAGCTCCATTGTCATCTAAATGTTTTCCTCTGTTCAGGCAGCTCGTTCGCCTACTTCCTCCGATCCAATAGGGTGACAGAAGATCTACAAAAAAAGAATTATCAAGAAAAGATTCCTTTCTTTTGGGATTAAGTACAAAATATCTGCGGAAAAATGACTGAGGTAAATAATGTTCACAATAGAAAGTGAATTTGTTGGTAGAAAATCTCCAATGAACAGGTTTCCTTAAAACATGACTGAACATATATTTTGGTTACACTTTAAACATTTACACCAAAATCGAAATAATCCTACCTTACAATTGAATACACTGCAGGAAAAAGGGGACATACACGTGAGTCACCTTTCTCCGTTACTTGGCTCATTCAAATCCTCATATTCTCAAAAGTACACCAACTAAATTTAACGACGATATCTTATTTTTAATGTACAGTATGAAAATTGAAATTGGTTGGATTTCCGTACTTGGATGAGTTTGCTGGAAGAGGAGGATGTTGCTACGGTTATGTCTGAATCCCAGGTCAAATAAAGGAACTTTGCCTCGAGTCAACATGATTCATTAAAAATATTGAGGAGTAATTTTCGCAGGGTATCTATCGTGAGTGTGAAGAAAGTGGCTCTGCAACCTTCTGGACAATCTTTAAACTCCAACCAAAATGATGTTCTTCTTTTATGACAAAGTTTTGTTGTCATAGGCCTCAATGGCCTACTTAAATCAATTATTAGAATGATATTAAACCTTAAAACATGATAGAGAGAATTTTTCATGTTAATTTACGGAGAAATACATATGTTGTTTGCTTTTGTGTCTGTAGAAACAAAATAAACTTTCAAGCAATTTGCTAAAAACTCGTTTTTTGCCTATGCCCCATTTTTTTGACAGTGTATTCAATTATCAATCGTTGCTTTTCCAAAAGTGGCAATTTTTGCATTCAATCAATTATCTCTCAAGGCCTCATGTTCAGCCATGAAAGGCCGATGATCTCAAACTTATCCAAGAAAATCATTGCTGTTTTGTCCTAAAAATAAGATGAAAGTACTTTCCCTGACAAGATTCTCTGAGGTAGGTGCATGGAAAAATTGAGGAAAATTATTCCAAGAGACTTTTCTGATAGTACCTTCCAGAAAAGGAAAAGCCAGCATCTTAAGTGACTGGAAAAGAAGCTTCAGTGCTATTTTGGGCCAACAGAGGGTAAAAATTTGCAATTTCATCAAGGTCCCTTGCCCCAAACAGGGCAGATTAATTAAAACTGTAAATAGCTACCACTCAAAATCACGTTTTCCCAGTAACAACCTGTCATAATTTTAGTCTGATAACTTAATGTGCCAAATGTTTGTTCGACACTCCTCTGCACTCTGTGTAGGGGTAGTGATCTTTTTGCTTGTGGACAATGACATATTTATTGCTGGAGGATTTTCCAAAAAACTAAGGAGGATACCTTCTTCGGTGAGCCGAGGTTCAGCTGCGTCTGGAGCGATGGAGAGCCTGACAACCTCCTATCACTGCTTAATTGAACTCCCACTGGAGATCTTAGAGAGGTAGGTTCTCCTCTTAAACCGGCTGTCTGGACTGGTAAATTTCCTTGCTGCAGCTGCTGCAGTAGTTTATTCAGAAAATCTTGCTCATTTTCAGCTTGTATTTCCACAGCTCTTGTTACAGCCTGGGCAGATAAATGGAACACACATATGTTTTACACAGATGCATTGGAAAAAATATGGACCAAGACAATATTTTTCATAGGACATGGGCGAGACGATCTACAAGATAAAGCAAGAATTAAAAGATCATCATGAAACATGTTTCCTCATCAGAATTATACACGAAATACGTTACAAATGATTTAAATTACCAACATCAACGGGACATCCACTATCAGTCTTAAATCATGGGTAAAGCTGCGTTAATGCAATGCTGCACCATTAAGTGCGAACCTGATGGTAAAGTAAAGTGGGTGAAGGAATACATCGATAATTTGATCAACACTGCATTATCCTGCTAGGTGATTCATGGAAATCTACCGGACAGCAGGTTCAGAGATTCCTGTCTACTGGCATCTCCCTTGCAAGAATAGCGGACGTCCAAGGTCTTATAAAATTTATGAACATTATAGATCGCAAGTGGTTCCCCAAACATTCTTGACAATAAAAATCCACCAATCAAAACAATATTTTTATTTGATAACAAAGTGCTTTTGTCATAGACGAGATCTTACACTCAGTTAGTGTTGTAGTTGAATCAATAAAAGTAGCCAAGTTGGTCCCCATACAAAATCAGGAATTTCTTCCCTACCGTCCAAGTTGGTCCCCGTTTGGAAGGAAGATTCCAAGTCAGATGGCCTGCATTGGTCCCCAGCACATTTCCCTTGCCAGTAGCAAGGATAAAATGTAAATGGTAGGTAAAAATGTAAAAAGTTGTAAAATGGAACAAATCAAACTAGTGGAAATCAAATTGTGGGAAGAAACTTGAAGGATATGGGCCTAACAAATTTTAAACGGTCTATTGGGTGTGACTAGGTACTAGTATTTTGTAGTAGATTTGTGAATGTGGGCACAAATTTGAGATATGAGTTCTGTTTATGGCGCCTGGCACTTAGGAATTGAGCGAGGCATTGTTGTTTGCTATATAATGTTTCTCCCTGTATTTTCAGTAATGCTTTAATGAAACAAAATATGTTTGGGGGGGTACTTGTGAATTCTGCATTGATTCGTTTATCTGTGTCCAGCGAACCGAGCCGCAGAAGTAGCGATCTCAAACATCTCAAACCCGTAGTTGTCATGTTCGTCACAAACAGTGACGGCCACCTCACACTTACTCATACCTTAACAACAGGGGCCAACTCGACCCATGGCTCGAACATGGGCCGTCGCAGCCGGGGACCAACTCGGCCCATACCAATTGAAAATCGGTGACCAACTCGGTCAGTGGGGGAGAAAGAAAGAGCTATATGTATGGGGGCCAACTCGGTATTCTCTGAATCAATTGATGCAATTAAATCAAGTCTTAAAGAGTGATAGAGGAGATACTTCATGTTTTAAAGTATACATATTTTGCTTTATTTTTACCCAAGGGATTCATCATTTTCAGCTCCTAAGATTTTTTTGCCTGATAAAAGAGAGAAAACAAAACAGCATTGTCTACAATCTTCAGGATTACATGTTCATACTGGTGTTGAAATTTTGTTACCTATTCAAGTTAAAACACATTCAACTTCTAAATTGACTTTTGGTTGCATGATTCTATGACCCTTTTTTCTTTCTTTTTTTTTTGGACCCCTGTACCTCAAACATTTTTGTACAGATAGCATAGAGAATTTATTGGATGAACTTACAGCCAGTTACAACCCATCAATTAATGAACTACAAATTAATCAAAAATTCATACTCTTACCTTCCTGAGAGGAGGTGGTACAATGACATCTCTGTAATAATCATCTGGTTTCATAACTTGCATATTTTCGTACAAAATGCTAATTTTCTTCATATTGTCCCATCCAGAGGGTCTGAAACAGGATGAACACCCATTGAGTTGCATTAATCACAGAATCTAGTTTTGATAGTTCATACAACGAAAAACAAAAGGCCTTTTCAAATTTTTTTTAGACTTTCTTCTGACAATTATGCCGACTTTGTTGAGATAGTCAAGACACCGATTAGTATGAAAGATCATCGATAATTCCGAACGTGTGGTTGCCACTTCCCAAAAGTGGAGAAAAATGAAAACAAATACTATTCTTTAAAAACAGAGAGTTAGATAGTTTTGTTAAAACAAGCTGTTTTGACAAAACTATAAGAGATGCCGGAATGCGATTTAAGAGAGTTTCTAACTTATTTTAGTAATTTTCTAACAAGCTCTTTTAGTAAAAACTTTGCTTTTCTACACCAATTTCTTTAAAATATGTATGTAAATAAAAACTCTCCAGTTTCTAGGGGGGTTATTGTTAATTTTTCAATGCCACACTATGAAAACGCAGAAACATTGGGAGTGAGGTTTGTAACCTTCAGGATAAAAGGTACAATTTTCTGATGAAAATATCATGAAAACTGATTACTTTTTCCATTGAAAGCTCAGAAAATCCAAAATTTTCATGAAGGTTACAACTTAGCCCAATGATCACGTCCTCAGCAACATGGGTACAGCACCAAAAATTAAAAAAATTGAGTTGGACCCTGATTCAATGTGTATAAGACACGCTAAAAACATTGGTGGGATTAGATTTTTGAAGTCACTTGTAGAACAAGAAAAAAAGAGGTTGCGATTGGGTTGCATTTTTAGCAGGTTTGGCTTGTTTGCATAGCAAAAAAGGCACTAGCGCCCACGACCAGCCCCTGGAGTTGTGAACTCTTTCCTAAGCAGCCAGCACTAGTGTCTTCTTAGCTAAACACAGCTGTGGCTGTCCTGGAAATGCGCCTGCCTTGTCAATGCGTATATGTGTTCACGAACAGCAGTTAATATTTCCTCATAATTCCTTACTTTTTTTTTTTTTTTTTTTTTTTTTTTTTTATTCTTCAAGTACACGTTACAACCACCTACTAGGTGTAAATTAACTTTTTTTTACAAATAAGGTAACTTAAAAATTGACTACGTCTAATTTTTGTTTTTAGCTTTGACATCCATAACCCATACTCGCATGAAATCCAGACTACACTCATACTTATATGTGTTCACGAACAGCAGTTAATATTTCCTCATAATTCCTTACTAAGTTCAGTTTCAAATCACTTACCTTAAAAACCCGTAAATCTTGCATCAATCTTCCTGTCACGCTCTTACACCAATTGACTGTTAATTTCAAAATGAAAAGAAGTGCATCGCTTGTTGTTATCTTTTAGCAGTGATGATTTTTCTTTTCCAAAGCTGTTATTTTATTTTCTATTTGATTGCTGCAGTAAATTGTGGAATAATGTCCAGTAGGATAGAAAAAATGTTGGCTGATTTATAAAATAGATGAACATTGGGACACAAATCACAATTCTTCAGTTTTCAAGACAGACATAAGAAAAATTAGTGTTGAATATTATGAGGTTTCATGAAAAGAGTACCAAAAAACATGATAATTTAACTAAACTTACATGAAAACAGCATCTTTTTCGACAACTAAAGCTGGAGTTCTGAAACTGAAGCCGTAAATTCGATGCGTTAAATATTTGTACAGCAAGTCGCAATTCTTGTCTTCTTTTGCTGAGGTGTAAAACAGGGCCGCTCCGTACTGTAGGCAGAATTTCCTTATCCATTGTTGGATGAAATCAAAATGCTCATCCCGATAATCATGATCTTGTTCTAAACTTGCAGTGCAATCAGTCTAAAATATTTAATGCCCAGTTTAAGAATTAAGATGACCTCACTATTTTTCATGTGTAAACATATTTATGTTAAAAAGGCAATCTGCAATGAATTTTCGGTATGAGAGGACTTGTTTTAATAAATGCGTTGTTCTTGACTGCAAATTTGAGAGATAGTTTTCCTTCTACCTGACTGGTTCAAGGACGGCGTTTGGCAGAAAGGACCCAAGCCATATCAGCTATTGCCAAATTTAACTGGGCACTTTAATTTTTTACAAGAGAACGTTTGTGCACATTCCTTTGAAAATATAGGGAATTTGCTTTGTACTGTGTAGAAGATTCACTGAAATTTCCACAAAAATCCGCACAACCGTTTTCACATAAAAACTTTCAATTGCCCAAATAAATTTGGCAATAGCTGATGTGGCTTGGTTCCTTTCTGCTGAACGCCCTCTGAATCTTACGCTTCTCTCAGAGTGAGCCTGACTGATGGTGACTGAGAAAAAAGTGCTGCAGACGTAAATTTGGAGATAAGTAATACAGGCTACACAAATTGAGTGTTAAAAAAGAGTAAATTTTAGACATTTCTGATGTGCTAAACAAGGATTCTGTGCAACTTCACCTTGATAAAGTCTACTCCGTTGCAGATTACCTGGCTTTGATGGGAAATATTTCATGAAAGGCTAAATTCAGAGAAAAATAATCAGAGCTTTGATATAAGGGGAGTTGTCTGATTCCGTCCCGCAGTCAGAATCCATATTGCAATTCCATCCCGAAAAAAGAGAACCCCAAATTTTTTATCGCCCGATTCCGACCCGTACCGGTTCCGTCCCAAATAAAGCAAATTCGATGAATGGCAGCGTCGCCCACCGGGTTCGCCTGATCCTGCCCTGCAGTAACATAATTTCAGATTTACCTTCAAGACAACAAATGCATATACCTATGTGTATGTGTATGAAATAAACTCACCTTATGAATAAACGCACCTTATAAGAAGTGATTGCGCTCAAATGTTTCCTCCGTTGCTTCGGAGACGTCAATTGTATTAAAAGTTGGAAGTTTAAAATTAGATGAACATGTTGGGGGTGTTTCTGTTAGAGACGACCTTTACAAATTCCAGGCGTGAGCTGGAGCCGGAGTTGAATTCTTTAATTCTACTTTTCAGTGATATTATCTTATTTAGAGTTAGGCGAGGTACCAGTGCTTCTGATTTTGCTGCAGGATTCAGTTATTTGTGAGTCCCGAGAAAATTTCTTCAACACTTCCACGAATAAAAATATATTCGGGTGAGTTCGATAAAATGAGTTGTTACAGCGGGTGTAAAAACTTTCACAGGCTTTCGTGCTTTTTGAAGAAGCCGCAGTTCTGCCCAAATGCACCCAAGTAGCATTTTTCAACAGAAAAATCGCGATATTTCGCAATTAAATTGCGATTTTTTTACGATTTTATCGACGATAAAATCGCTTGGATCATCAACATCTGAGCGATTGTCCTCGATCTTTTCGCGATTTTATCAGCCCGAAAAAATTGCGATTTTATCGCGATAGGATTGAGGATAATCGCTCAGATGTTGATGATCCTAGCGATTTTATCACCGATAAAATCGCCAAAAAAAGGGGTTTACGCTGATAGCCGATTGCCATTAGGTTCAGCCGTCAGGTCCTTTGACGAAGACGAGCGTAAAATCCCCGGAGCCTCCGCGGGGATTCAAACCCCAGTCGCAGCGGTGATAGGCCAGCACATTGCCACTAGGCTATGGCCGCTATATGACTAACAAAAGCGAATTGAAGCCTCTGATACATGGATCGGCGCTTCGCAACCTTACAACTTTTGTCATTGCGATGACTGACACCGAGTTTTCATTGGAATTGTTTTTTATTTTCCCTCCTCTGTATTTTATTTCATACCTTGAAACACGGTTGGTTAAATAAGGTTCTATTGGTAATCTCATCATTCTGTCTCGGTAAAATTACCAATCATAGTAAATGGCAAAGTTACCGATGGACCTTGGTGAAAACGCCAACATTTTTTATCGACTGTGGTAGAATTACCGAGATATAATGGTAAAGTTACCGGAAATTGATGACCAGTAACAATGGTACATATTCTTACCTGAAAAAACCAGTAAAAATACCGGTTTTTAGGTAAGCTTACCAGTCTCTCTTGGTAACATTACCAATAATTGGTAAAAAAAGTGAGATGGTAAAGTTACCAACGGACCTTGGTAAAAGCGCTGAGAAGTTTTTCTCAGTGTGGGCGTACCTCCCACCATCCAAACCCCCTGCCCAACCTCGTATCAAATCGTTCTTACACCTCCGCTAAAGAACATCTTTCATAAGCGTCATTCATGCGTTATTGGGCGTTGATGGGAAATTTCAATTTTATCTCTACAAAATCTCAATCGATGAAATCGAAATTTTATTGCAATTTAATGCGATGAAATCGCAATTTATCGCGATTTTTTATCTGATAATATTGCTATAAATCGACATCGATAAAATCGCGATACATTCTCCAATTAAATCGCAATTTATCGCGATCACTGCTACTTGGGCAGGGTGGGAACAGCGCACTTTCTGAAATGTAATTGCCTTCAAGGTATTGGTAGAATTTTTTGATTTACCTCATCTGATAATGCAAAGATAGCGTGCGCACACCATGTATGTAGTGTCGTTGAGGAGCATGCGGAAAATCAGGTGAATACGTGGTTGCCAAGTTGTCTCTCCATCAGGACGGAATTGGGTGATGAAAATTAGGCGCACTTTTTTTTCAGGGATAGAATCAGACTATAGATCTTTGGGACGGAATCGAGCAGTCCGGTTTTGGGGTGGAATCGGAATGTGCCAGATCAAAGGACTTACCTTAGTGACTACAACAACTATATCTAAACCTAAATTTCTAGTTAGAACACCTTCTCCTAGCGGAAATGATTCATTCCTATAGTTATGCTCTTCATCGGTGTTCCTGGATGTTCTTCTCAAAGCTGAGTCAATCTCTAGATCTTCTCCATGCTCTATGTATTCTTGCCATTTATGAATGCCTAAACACAAAAAGAAAAGTGCATTTGAAACCAATAAAAAAGCAAAGATTTTATCCTGCTAAAAACTTTTAATAATGACTTTTCTTTACTTGCAAATTTAAAAAGAACTGACTGTACCCTTAAGCTTCATTACAACTTGGACAAGTACTTGGTCAAAATTAGATGAAATGTCTCTGAGGAGCTCACTACTCATGATTTGATGAGACATAATTAAAAATCATGGTCAAAGCCGTAGCATTGACTTCTACCAATTTTAGGCGCTGCAAAAAAAAAGAAGAAAAAAAAATTAACTCGTGAGAATAAAATTTGCGAAACAAATTTTCGTTTGGAAAAATTTGTAGACACCCTGTGATGATACTGGAGGTTTGAAGCTCTATAAGAAGCAAGTATAGATGAGAAAAACGGATAAATTGAGGTTTAAATAAATTGAATTTAAGTTTTGGCTGTACACTCTCTGGGTGTCTTTAAAAATTTTCTCTTCCATGCTAATGGTTCATCTATGCATGTTTCTTACAAATCTTTAAACCTCCAGTGTCATTACAGGGTGTCTAAAAAATTTCGCAAACAAAAAAAGGCCGAATTGAGGTATTTTTGACGGTTTCGATGTGACTGTGGGCATCGCACAACAAGAAATGTAAGACATAGGAATAAAGTAGAATTTGTCATTCTATGAAGATGGCATGAATTTATTTTCAACAAATTTTTCGACCAACACTGTCATTACAGGGTGTCTGATAAATTTTCAAGAGCAAAAAACCGGTCAAAATGAAATTATTTTTAAGGAGTTTTGTGTGTTTAGAGACACCATGCAGCAAACAATAAGAAATCCATGGGTCTCTTGAAATTCGCCCTTCCATTCTGAGGGTAGTGGTATGAACTTGCTTTTTACAAATTTTCGAATCTCCGGTGTCATCGCAGGATGTCTAAGTAATTTTGCAAATGAAAAAACGACCGAATTGAGGTATTTGGAACGTTTTCGATGCGATTGCAGGCATCGCACAACGCGGAATGTAAGACAAGTAGAATCTTTTGTTCCTCATAGAGGGCATGACTTACTTTTCATAGATTACCGGACTTCCACTGCCATTACAAGGTGTCAAAAAAATTTGAAAACATAAAAAGGACCAATTAAGGTATTTTTGACGTTTTCGTTCAATTTCAAGCATCACAGGAAGAAGAATGTAAAACGTAGGAACCAAGAAAAAATTTTTATTCCATACAGACGGTGTGAACTTACTTTCCGCAAATTTTTGGACCTTCGCTGTCATTACACGGTGTCTAATTTTTTGAGAGTAGAAAAACAGTCAATATTGAGCTTTTTTTGACGGTTTTTCCGTCATGGTGGACATCACTTGACAAAAAATAAAAGACACTTAGGAGTTTTCTGAAATTTGCCCTTCCATACTGATGGTACAGACTTGCTTTCCACAAATTTTTGGATTTTACTACCATTAGAAGCTGCTCAAAGTTCACTATACGTTAAAAAATGGTGAAATTTCGATTTTTAGAGCTGCCGAGCGGACGGTTTGAGCATTACCAAGGGAAGTGAGTGACCTGGGAGAAAAACGAAAATTTTCCCTTCATCTGCAAGATATGTGCTCGATTTGTAGCAATTTTTGGACATCTAGTGTCAAATCCCTATCACTCACTAAAATATCAAAAATAGACGCTTAAAATGCCCAAAAAATTGAGAAAATCATGATCTCTGGGCTCTGTGCACAGGTGCTATATGATAATATTTACAAGATTCAATGACCAAAAATAGAAGTATTGAGTTCAAAAAGGCTACTTCTCTTGTTTCCATTCCAATGCTCTTCTTGCAGAAGGCACCTCATTTCCAAAAACTTTAGTCATAACTTTCAATTAAATTTATTCAACAAACAGGAATTCATCTAGCCTCTGTATTATTCGAATTGGCTTTCCTAAACATTTTCAGAAAGATTTCTCTCTCCATCTTTCTCTTGATTTACAAATGGCTGCATTTTTTCAATTGAAGTTTTAAAAAACTCACGATATTGCGAAAAATATGCAAATTTTATGCTGACGCACACAGGCATTCCCATTTCTTCACAAGACAATAATTGCTTAGTTCGGAGTTTTCTACACTCCTGATCAAAACTTTCAGATAAGTAGTAATTTGAAGGGATGAAGTTATGAGAAAGGTTTCGGAAAATATAGGTATTCAGCAGTGGTGAGGCATGAATGGTCGATTATCGATATTTCCCCATTTGAAACTATGGTGAAGAATTGACTATTAAGGTGTTCGTTGCTAACACCCTGTTAATCGATATTTTGCCATAGGTTTATATAGCAGACCAATCGATGTATTGCAAAGTACGCCACGCCACTGGTATTCAGTTGAGACCCCTGGGTTTCATCCTCTTTCGCATTATATGACTATGAGGAATGATTTAATGTGATAATACGTGAGAAAAAAACTCAAAGAAGTGGCCTGAACTGTATGTAACAAGGTGGAGAAATGGTGCTGGGTCCACACCATTTCACAGGGAAAACAAAGCCAAGAAGTTCCAAAATTATAAATAGAGTCAAAAATAATTTTTTTAACTCTAATGAGTACCAGTACAAAACTGAGGGGGGGGGGGGTAGTAATTAAACATTAATTAATTAAAAATCTGTGTTTCCAAAATTTATCCAAAAGAAAATAAATTGAAAACTGATGTTCTGAAGGGTCAATTTTTTTAAGCACGTACTATTATCCCCCTGCTTTTTGTTCCAGTAAATGAATCTTTCATGTATCGATCTGAAGTACATGTATTATCATTACTAAGACTGGTTTCCTATTGAATTTCAGCGAAATCGGCCAATGTGTTCCATAATAGTGGCAATTTACCGTTTTTACGGGTGAGGGGAGGGGGGGTAGGAGTTGCGCAGCCAAGGGGAACTGTTTCTTGAAACATATCTGCGGCAAGAGGGGTAGGGTAAATGATTTCATTCCCCAATGTGACACTACCCTTCGGAAAATACACTCATGCCGCGGTAAATGCGCGGACTACAAAAAGAACCGTCCCCTACTTGCCGGCAACCCCACAGAAAAACCCTGCCGCAAGCGGCAGGGTTTTTTACATAGTTTTTGATTGATTGGTTCGCTCTGAGAGATTAGTTGTATGGCAAACAATTTTTCGCATATAAATTAGTTATTAATTAAAAATTAGTAATTAAACATTGATTAATTAAAAATCTGTGTTTCCAAAATTTATCCTTAAGAAAATAAATTGAAAATTGATGTTCTGAAGGGTCAATTTTTTTAAGCACGTACTTTTATGCCCCTGCTTTTTGTTCCAGTAAATGAATCTTTCATGTATCGATCTGAAGTATATGTATTATCATAACAAGGTGGAGAAATGGTGCTGGGTTCACACCTTTTCACGGGGAAAATAAAGCTAAGAAGTTCCAAAAATTATAATTAGATTCAAAAATAATTTTTGTAACTCTAATGAGTACCAGCACAAAACTGAGGGGGGGAGGGGAGTGTTCAGCTCAGGCAGTTTGCATTGGACTATTAAGTTAAGGTCACGTTGAGAGATCTATGCTGGTTTGGGTCTTTTTAGACCTTATCAGTAGATCACACTCGTCAGTGAACCCAACTTAGCATCCCGCAAAATCCAAGACGGCATTAAAACGCCTTTGTGAATATGACCCGAGGCATGGTAATCCCCGTGAAATGGTGTGGACCCAGCACCATTTCTCCACCTTGTTACACACAGTTCGGGCCACTTCTTAGTGTTTTTTTCTCATTTATACGCACAGTTTTGGGGATACATGTGCTTCTTTTTCCTCCCATTCAGGTGTGGGCGGTTAAGTCTAGATGCGTTCACATCTCCAACCAGCATGATAATCATTTTTTCGGGTTTTCCTTGTTTTGATGTAAGAGTGTTCAGCAGCAACGGTAGATGGAGCGAGGATCACACTTTTGTGTCATGCCTTGGATTTTGCGGGATGCTAAGTTGGGTTCACTGACGAGTGTGATCTACTGATAAGGTCTAAAAAGACCCAAACCAGCATAGATCTCTCAACGTGACCTTAACTTAATAGTCCAATGCAAACTGCCTGAGCTGAACACTCCCCTCCCCCCCTCAGTTTTGTGCTGGTACTCATTAGAGTTACAAAAATTATTTTTGAATCTAATTATAATTTTTGGAACTTCTTAGCTTTATTTTCCCCGTGAAAAGGTGTGAACCCAGCACCATTTCTCCACCTTGTTATGATAATACATATACTTCAGATCGATACATGAAAGATTCATTTACTGGAACAAAAAGCAGGGGCATAAAAGTACGTGCTTCAGAACATCAATTTTCAATTTATTTTCTTATGGATAAATTTCGGAAACACAGATTTTTAATTAATCAATGTTTAATTACTAATTTTTAATTAATAACTAATTTATATGCGAAAAATTGTTTGCCACACACCTAATCTCTCAGAGCGAACCAATCAATCAAAAACTATGTACAAAACCCTGCTGCAAGCGGCAGGGTTTTTCTGTGGGGTTGCCGGCAAGTAGGGGACGGTTCTTTTTGTAGTCCGCGCATTTACCGCGGCATGAGTGTATTTTCCGAAGGGTAGTGTCACATTGGGGAATGAAATCATTTACCCTACCCCTCTTGCCGCAGATATGTTTCAAGAAACAGTTCCCCTTGGCTGCGCAACTCCTACCCCCCCTCCCCTCACCCGTAAAAACGGTAAATTGCCACTATTATGGAACGCGGTGGCCGATTTCGCTGAAATTCCATAGGAAACCAGTCTTAGTAGATATCTAACTACCATCAAAATTTCAGCTCAAAATATTCATTTTTACTCGAGTTATCGCGTGGACAAAATTAAACCTCCCCCCACTTTGACCCCTCGCTGTGCGAAAAGTAATTAACGTATTCCGATTTTTTCTTCACAGTTTAAAAGTACTCTTAGGGGACTATACACCCCAGAAGTTTCGTTCCAAGAAAGCCGCTCAACGCTCTGAAAACTGAAAAATCCTCATGCTGGCTGAAATACATACATACATACATACATACAAATATATATATGACAGAAATTGAATGACATATATATTCGTGATTTACGACTCGAGATCGGTGCTCATTACATGGTCCCAGGTCTAGGTCCCACCATGAGGGGGAACGCAATAGTGTATCTTTCCTTCAGAAAATTCACTAAAACTTGATCAGTCAGAGGGTCCTAGGTTCACATGATTGAAAAAGGGGTTGAAAGTGATCTCAATGTCGGAACAAATTGCCTGATAGACTTGTCTGACACTTGACTAACTAAGAAAGTAAAATGCTCTTACATTGATTGCGATATTCTTCTAACTTTTCTGGCGAGATATTGAGCTTGTCGATGTGGTCTTGCAGGATTGTTGCCCAATTTTCCAGTTGCTCCATTATGTTCCAAGGTGTTGTCATTGATACTACAAACATGATCATAGTGTGGGGAAAAGTTTCTTCCGAGAGAGCAAACTTCAATAAATGCGCGTGAGATGGTTCCCCATCTAATACCCAAACACTTAATCGAGTAGAATCTAGAGAAAATAAGGAGAAAAACAGACTTTAAGTATCCTTCAAATTTTTTGGCCTGTAAATTGTGAAAATTTTGAACAATCCTTAAAAATTACAGAAAAGAGTTTACATGCCTATAAAACTTAAAAAATTATGAACAAATGCCTACCAAAAAAAATTACTTGTAAATCTGTTTAACCCCATTTGTGATCATCCAGAGGAAGAGAAACCTCTGTCTGGAGAGACAAATCTGACAATAGGGCGACTCAGAGCAAGCTAGGTCGAGAAATTGAGTTTCCAGCACAAGACTTTATATAAGGTTATTTCAAAAAGTTAATGGAAAAGTTTTCTACCGCAAATCTACATCAAGTGTGGTCAGATGAGCAAGGAAACCTATTAGCCAGAATGCTATTGAGTCTACCTGCAACATTGTCACCAATGTCTCATAAGAGAACAGCGCAAATGATAACATGCTCCTGAGTTCCGAATGCAGTTGCAGTCTTCTATCATAATCAGCGTTATCATGGATTTTTGGTGCCAAAGACACACACTCAAACCTGGGCCGTACTCCGTCCCTAAGGCACACAAGCGGGCCCTGGACAGCCGAATTCGGTCAAGGCTCGAGCGGGCTCAGGGGAGCCGAACACAAACCCAAACACGAGCAGGCTATCCTAAAGAAGAGGGAGGGGGGGGGGCGAACACGGTCCGGGTCCAAGCGGGCTCGGAAGAGCCGAACACGAACCTCAAACGCGAGCAGGTCACCCAATAAAAAGGGGAAAAAGGAGCGCAAAGAAAAAAAGATACATGATAAAAAAAAAATGCCGAACACAAACTAAGGAGTTCGAGCAGGCTCAGCAAAAAGGAAATTCAGAGTCAGGAAAAAAAAAATAAAAACTTGAGTTTGGTAAAAAAAGAAATGAACAATTCACTCCTTAAACAAACAGAACAATTTACACTTTGAGAAAAAAGAAACAGAACTTGGTGCCCCGGCACGACAAATCTGACGGATTTGAAGATGGGTGGGAGGGACGAAAAAAAGAAGAAAAAAAGAGCGCTTTCACACAGAAATACGTACACTAGATGGCAAAAACCCCCGAAAAAATTGTCGAAACTTCTGCTTAAGGCTGAGGAAACAGGAAGGGAAAAAAAAACTCTCTAAAAGACTCCTACCTAATGCACTCAAGCTCTCCACCTAATCAGGTGCACGACCTACAAGGAACAACTAGCAACTGAATGCATGGCCTTACTCCTTGGCTGCACTCGCGTAGCTGATGAGGTGGCCGGGTCAAAAGTCAAGGAGGGGGGGAGAGGAACGACCAGAAAAACAGAGCGAAAGTTGAAAAATTCCTCCCTGCCCCCCTCCGTACCCGATCGCGAGTGACAGGAGCGATCCGCGGAAAACTGATTTCAACAGACACTGCTCAATCAAATGACACATCAAATTTTCTGCTGAGAGCTGAAAGAAGCTCAGAAAAAACGTCAGCTCGTTTTAACGTACAAAAATGTGTGACAAGTGTCTCTTCGCATCTCAGTCAAGACTTCCTGCACACTTTCTGAAACTGCAAATCTCCAGTTTGTGGGTACTGTTTCTACATTAATATTTGAATATACACTGGATGATCATTCAACACAATTTCTCCCTTGTAATCTGCATTTTTGGGCATTGGCAAGGAGCAGGTGTGGCCCCCTCGTTTGTCATCACTGGTACTTGTGTGGTCTTCAGCAAATAAAAATTTCCTGAGCTTTCTTCCTCCACTCAATAAAAAATGTAATGTTTATGCGGTGGTCTCTAGAGGCAGCAGAATAAGTGGATACACTTATTCCGACCGCAGATTGCAACTGCATTCACAAGCATGATAATATTTCTGCAGTTTTCGTATCAGATATTATAGATAATGGTCAAGTATATTCAGTGGCATCCTGGCTTAGAGGATAGCTTTTCCTTAAAATTTTGTTTTTTAGGTTGCTACTTTTAAATAGTCATTACTGCAATTCAATTAGACATATTACAAAATTTTTTTATAGACAAAATATTTGTGAAAGACTTTTCTGAGCAGTAATGCCAAATGCTTAATTTTGACTTAGACCACGTTTTGCAGTGAGGAACTACTACTTTTGGCTCATTCATAAAAAATCAACTATCTGCAAAAGCAATCTAATAGCACATGTCAACTGTGAAACTGCAGAAATCTACATTTTTGGGAGCAGTGTTTCAAAATTTCCCCTCCCATTTTATTTTTAAAAAGACACAAAATCGAAGTCATAGTTTGAAATTTTCACAGAGTATTTCTCGCGCGAGGGAAAAAAATCAGGGAAGTTTTCAAGAAAAGAAGTTGAAAAGTTCTCTGCTTAGAAAATGAAGTATGCCAGGAAGTTAGCAACGCTGCAAACAGAGAATTGAATTTCTGCAGTTTAATTGTCGATATGTTGTTTATACAATGAGCCAGGGATAATAGTTCCTTCTTGGAGAATATGGTCCACCAGCAGGCTGATTATTGAAATTTATAGAAAAAGCGATAGACAAAGAAGACATAGGGAGCATGAAGCGATCCTATTGGTTGAAATGGGTCATCCCTATAGACTAAGGGAGAAAATCATGGACTAACTATTGGGTCTCTTGTGGGTTGCCATTAGTTGGTCTATTACCTACCTCCTTTGTCCATTGCTACCACCCGCTTCCACCAATAGGATCCCTCCATATCTCTTTTGTCTTCTTTGTCTATAGCTTTGTCTATCAATTTCAATCATCAGCCCGCAGGCTGATTACTAAAATCGATAGACAAAGCAGTAGACAAAGGAGACGAAGGAAGCACTCCAATTCCCTTTGTCTATCAATGATCAGCCTGCAGTCTTTTTGACTAAGGTCTCTTTTCTTGTAAGATAAAGTATATAACTTCTCTCTCAGAAAAAGATTTTGCTCCCAGAGATGGCAGAACATTGATTTATGATGAGGAAATTCAGCACAACTCTGACATAAGGGTGTAACTGCATTTCAATGTAAACCCTGGGAAGCTAGGAGTCATTCTTAAATGCAGTTATGCCCTTCAGTAAGCAGAGCAATGATTTCTGTGAGGTATTTTCTGACCTCCAACTCTTGAGCAGAAGGCTCTATTAAGTGCCTGATCCAAGAATTAATTCAGTCCGTTAAAGGGGAGCAGGAAGTGGAGTGTGAAGATCTGATACAAAATAAATAAAATAGTAAAAAATCTGGGTCTAAATAATTGCTTGAGCCTTGAGCCTCCACAGTATTTTTTGGATTTGAAACTTTCAGGAATAGCGCTAGTAAAGGCTTTAAATCTCTTACAGACAATTTTCTGTGGAGAGTAAAAGCAAAATTGTTCCGCACATACATATTAGAGGAGGCACATCATCATTCCCATTATAATATTAAAGCAAAATCTTAAAAGTGATGGATCTCAAAGTACCATCTCTGTATTCATCCCGGACGTCAATGTATGCATACTCCAAACCATAGCCTTTTTTGGGATCTTCCACGCCTTGTAATTTAGCAATGACTGTGGTTTTCCCAGATTCATTGTCACCTGCAAAACAAAAAATTCATATAACAAATTATTTCTAATTGATGGGGTGTAAAATTATATGGTTAAGACCTCTTACTAAAAGTATCCAGATGCATCATTTCACCAAAACCTTAGGGAGGAGGAGTGGGGGATTGGGAATTACCTTTTCTTCTTCTTCTTTCCTTGTCAAAATAACATGATGGGTACCTGAGTAAAGTAAACATTTGAAAAAACCGCAAACCTCACACCCCTACCCCGGTTCCATAAAATTCACTAAAGGGTCATTCTATTGTAACAGGTGTGACAACAATTTAACTTTAAACAAAAATTTGAACTCTTTCTTGGGGTTTAACTAAAAAATTATTTGCAGTAGTAGGCAATCCTAAACAGTAAATCAATCAACAATTTGATGCATTTTAATGTAGACAATGCCAAAACTACATTTTTCTACAAGGTGGCCCAGACCTACCGTTTGCATTACGGGTGTGACGTAACGGGTGTGACAGATTGTCTCTCTGAGGTCCATCATTTCTGAGAGAGTTTAAAAGTTGAAAAACTTACTTTTCTTCTCATACTCTTATTGTAGGCAATCCTAAGCAGTAAATCAATCAGCAATTTGACGCATTTTAATGTAGACAATGCCAAAACTACATTTTTCTACAGGGTGGCCCAGACCTACCGTCCCAGGGCTTTTCTTCGGGTAACCCAGGTCGCACGAAGTCCAGGACCGCGGAATTGAACCCCAAAGGAATCGACCCCAAGGAATTAGAACTTCCCAGTCCCAGATTCCTTCCGGTTTCCTGTGGGGTGCAAAAGGGGGTCTGTACTTCAAAAGTCAAGGTTCAAGTCAACATTTTGAAGTCATTTAATTGGAATCAAGGAGCGCAGAAATTTCCAACCTAAATCAACACCTAGAAATCCAAAATCACCCCATCCGTGCCCAAAATACTGACCCCTGAAGGTGGAGGACAGAGCCCCCTTTCCAAAAATGCAAGTTCGCGAAATTGACTTATGGGCAACAGACCCCAAAGAATCCGAAATTGAGGGTCCCGTTGTCCAGATAGTCTTCTCTGATGTCGCTCAGGTAGACCCTGAGTTTGTAAATTTAATCAGGGGGGAGGGGGGCTCCGGCTCCCCCTGAGCCTCATCAGAGAAGAATTTTGGTACAATGGGACCCCACAAATTCGGATTCCTTCGGGTCCAATACCCAAGAAAACCTCCTTTTTTCCGAGTTTCCACGTCCATTTCGCAAACTTTCATTTTTTGAAAGGGGGCTCCGTCCCTCACCCCCAGGGGGTCAGTATTCTGGACACGGATGGGCCGACCTTGGACTTTTTGGTGTCGATGTAAGTTAAAAAGCTCCACACTTTCTTACTTCAATTAAATAATTACACAATTCTGACACAAACCTTGACTCTTGAAGTACGGATGGCCCCTATACCTCCCAAGGAGAGTAGGGGGACTCTGGGACCAAGAAATTCAGATTCCTTAGAGGCGATTCCCCATTCGTCCTTGCGGTCCTGGACCTTGCATGACCCAAATTAACCAAAAAAAACCCTCCTGGTACGGTAGGTCTGGGCCTATAGTAAAGTGAAAATATTTCCATCAGTCGGAGAGAGTTCAACGAGTTCTATTTGAAGTCCTTCTGAGATAAGGTGTATTCACTTCAAATACTGAAATATGGCAAAAATGTTGGCTATCTCTCTCTTATTAGATGTATACATAACCTCTTATTGTGCATACGAGTGTATTTCTTGTGATAACCATAGAAAAACTGGTGAGAAGTGAGGCAAGATCTGCATAATTGAAGCCTGTTAGCATTGGTCACACCTGTAACGTGTCACACCCGTTACGTGTCACACCCGTTACGCATTTTTGCCCATCAATCGTTGAAATAAAAATTTGGAAAAAAAACTCCGAAGTTCTACTTGACTTGAATACGTATGGAAAAAATTTGCATCTCAAAATGACATGAATTAAAATGGTTACATTAAAAACCCCATGTTTTGCGTAACGGGTGTGACAGTCAGTACACTAAGTTTTAAAAGTTACATATAATATACAGTAATTACTTTTAAAAATTGAAACTTTGCAGGAGCACATTGAATAAGTTTTTTGACAACTGCAAACATAACCTGAAACCTCCTTTTGGCGGGAACACCAGAAAACATTGCTACCAAACTGTCACTCTTTTTATAGTGGAATGTAGCTAAGCAACGGGGTTACAAAACACGTAAAAATTGCGAGAAAAAAAACAAAACGGAGGTAAACCCTATGTATTTCCAAAAACTAGGAGTATTAAGGAGTCCAAAAATAAATATCGTTGGGTCATTAGGAGGGGGAAAAAAAAATACCCCACAGACTACCTAGGCGTGGAATGACCTTGGACCCTATTGGAAACAAATTAAATTATGAAATTAAGAATAAGACATGGTAATTTTCCTGCTCATAACTTTAAAATAAAAAAAAAAATCCTGACAACCTTTGTGAATGCTCCCAAATTTGTACCTTAGAACACTTTTTTTTTTTAACTGCCCCCTAAAAAACCACGAAACACTAATACTTAAACCAACTGAAATCCCTTAATATTCGACTTTTCCATCGACTATTCTACTCACAACAAACAATACAAAAACTAAAAAAATCGATCTTTTTTGCATGAAAAGTGAATTTGCCTCATAATTCCGTCAAAACAGATCCACTTCGCTTAAAACTTCGTAAACAGGTGAAACTCAATGTTGCCAACAACCAACACCTGGTAGCATCATAAATTCAAACAAAGCGCACGAAAAAAGTGCGGTGCCCAATTTTACCCCATGCGTACTCTTACCCCCACCTACCCTAATCAAAAACCTAAATTACAGGGGGGAGGGGGGGATCGCAAATCAGCAATTCATTCGAGAAACTTGAAATTGTCTTTCTGATAAACAATTTTAACAAGTAGCAGGAGAAAGATGGGCTTTAAACTCACTATGAATTAAACTCAAAGTCCATTCCACTTCACAATTTGCATGTAATGTTGTCAGATTTTCAAAATAATTAAGTAGATTAAAAAATAATTTATCTTACCTAAAACAAGGATAGACTTATTCGAAGGCAGTTTTGTGCTTCCTTTCGTTTGAACTTCTGACAAGATGGCAGTCCTGTTACGGAGAAAGATAGACAAATTTAAAGTTACATTTCTCATACAAAACCAGCACATTTATACCTTAAAACTGCAAAAAGAATGCATTGGGCATTAATTCATTTCTCAAAGATTTTAAAGTTAAATCAAACTCACAAGTGACATACTTAGCAGTGTATTTCCATGTAAAATTGTGGCTCATTGATTAATTAAGGAACATCGTGGATAGAATAATTAGGTCACACTTTTTCAAAAAAATTGTGGTGGTCATTTTGAAAAAAAAAACCCTCCCTGGTTAAACTTTGTGAGTAAGTTGAGTAACGGATACCTCGTTTCATGGTAGCAACTTTCAAGTCTAAAAATTCATCTACATCATAAGTTCCTAAAAATGTATCAACTTTCGGTGAGTTTGTCTCAAAATTTCAAAAATTCTACACCAAAAAAAGCAGTGCCCCATTGACCACCAGAGAGCGTAAAGCAACAATTGCGTACTGCTAAAAAAAAGGAGTAGTAATAAAAGTGGGAAAATATATAGAATTTCTGCTAAAAAAGCAAAATAAATAATTGTGAAAATTGTACGATAAGATTAGGTACTAACTTTACTAAAATTTTGCAAACATTGCAAAGTGAAATCGCTGATTATCCCTAAATTTTGCAAACATCATAAATTGAGATCTCTGCATTTTCTAGAATTTTGCGATTTTTGCAAAGTGAGATTGCTAAATCAGGCAGTTAATGGCACGGGCGCCATGAGCCAAATGATCGGGCTTTGGTGCCAAAAAATTGAAGGGCAGGGCCTGGTGGCGCCTAAAAAAGTCTACGCAACTCGATAATTTTTTCAACTTTGCAATCATGAAGCAGCAATGGCTTTGATGCTTGTGTTAAAAGTTAATTTGGCGCCTAAGGAATTGCGGATGGCGTCGAAAAATTGGGCTATGCATCCAAGTTGGCTCCTAAAATTTTGGAGGGAAAACAGAGCACTGATCCAGCCTTAAAGAATAACTCCATCAATGTCACTGGTTGACTGGTCACTCACAGATGAATACTGTAACGAGAGCTGAGTGATATTTAACTGTTCTCTGCTGGAGCAATACAATTACTCAAATACGGCAGCCACAGGGGTAAATATGAAGAAAGATTGATTTGAATCAAAGTAATGATTGTGAGAGAGAAAAAAATTTTGAAAAAGGCCTCATCTTCTACGAAAGATTCATTTGCATACATGTGGAGGCTGACTGGGACCGAGAAAACAATTGGAACTACGTAAACGTCAATTGTAGCTGCTATTTCGTCAAGTCCAAAATCACCCTCAGGATTGACCAGCCCACTGGGATTTCTCCCCAAGTTCCTGCCTGTCTGTCCACTTATGCATACATGGTTGTCGTACCAAGCGGAGTAAAGGACCTACACTTGAGTCCTGCTTCAGCGAATGAGCTAAGTACCAATGTGTTCACGCAACTCAGTGCATAAGCTCGCTCAGCAGACACCCTACGAGGACATGGCGATATTAATCTGAACCCTAAGTCTGAAAATTGAGGGCAACATATTAGACAAGAGTCTCATGATTTTCTTTGGGTAAAGGAGCACTGAATATCTGCTGGATTTGACCCTAGAGTAGCTATTTACCTAGATAAAAATTGGCACAACTGATTATCCACTTCTATTTGACCATTCCATGATACTGGATGCATGAAGCATTCAGAGGGGTCAAATTCAAAAGCGGGTAACTTTTGTATGATGCAAATGATTCACTTACCATAAATTCTCTTTCTCATTAAGATCCTCAATTTTTTTTGGACTAATACCATTGGTGATCACTTCTCCCGTGAATGCCATGATATTGAAATACAGCGCACTTACGTGTTGTTCCGTCCGGAATTATGAATCTTAAACCATTCAGATGGACTTGTGAGAAAGAAAACTCAATGTCAATGCATCACTCCGCACGTTTTCAAAGGTTTTTTAATGGAATTCCTGAAAGACAGCCGAATAATTACAAATTGGCATAACCTAAATGATAAACAAAAACAAATAGGGACGAGTCAGAGTCAAGTCAAAGACTAATAAAGACGGAGCGCTAAAAGCAAAAAATGAAGCTTCTTTTCAGTCACCTCTACTATTGGCCAGAGGATTGGCGGCGAAATCGGGACAAGTTTGAAATTCAAATGTAGGGTGGGAACTAAATAAAATTGCGGAAACAAAGTATTCTAGGTTGATTTTTGCCCAAATTTACTTACCCACTCATATTTTTTTATCTTTAGGTTAGTTTTAGTCCGTCGTCGACCGATTAGGTAATTTCATTTGGGAGTAACGGTCATCTAGGACTGTAAAGGCCTGTTTGAACCGGCAGAACTAGAGTACCTTTATAGACAGAGTATGGTCATTCGTATCTTTTTACTACAGAAAAACTGTTCCGCTTTTTGATTGTTCAACGAGTTTTTAGGCTTCATGATGCTCTTGGGGCCTTAAATAAACAAATAAGATGGCGGCTCACCGTAACATCGATGAGAAGCTTTTGAAAAAAATTTCAATTATGCGGCAGTAACAATTTAAACGAAGACGTATTTTGTTTGGCGTAACAATCGAAACTGTTTCGCATCAGTGTGTAACATTCGTATTTTGTTTGATTGTTACCGGAAATGAGGGGGCGTGGCTTATTTAATTGGATTTTTTTTGCACAACATGGCAACGCTGTCGTGTTATTTCGGTTTGTTACAAAGACATGAAGACGGAGCGCTCGTATCTAAAAGCACGGGGAAAAAGTGAAGCTAGGTTCGGCGCTGCGCGCAGGGCCGGATTTACCAATAGGCTACATAGGCTATAGCCTAGGGCGCAACATTTTGAGGGGCGCAAAATTTTTGAGAATTTATTCAAAACCCTGGTAAAAATTGGAGATAATAGCTGCGTTTCAAAATACCATAGAATTCTTATAGCCGGCTAAAGAAGGCTACAGAAAATCATATAGCTGGCTGTAGAATGCGGAGAAAATCATACGGCCGGGCTATACGAAGCGATAAAAAATTATACAGGCGGGCTATAGTTCCTATAGCCGGGCTTTACACTGTATCGCCTGGCTGTTGTTTTTTTGCCATTGATTATAAAAGGCTATAAGAAATTGTGTAGAAATTTGTGTGCTTTGGAAATCATTAAGTTTGATACGGAACCATCTTAATATTTACAAAACACACGTTATATTTTCCTTTAATACATATTTTTTTTCATCAATTTAAACGAGATTAATCCATACAGGATGTGCAAACATAGCAAAATTATGAGTTGAATAACGCTGACTCCGCCAGATTAAATATTAGAGCCTAACACAAAGCGGAGCGGCGACGCACTGGCGCCTACAAACCTAACAGGCATACTTCACGCATTGCGCAACGCGTGAAGTATCCCTGTTAGGTTTGTAGGCGCCAATGCGCGTTTCGCGCTGCCCGCCTGCCGCACCGCAGCGCGTGCCACGGCGCTTGAAGCAACTATTTCACACCAGAGGTATTGCACAGTATTATACGAAACTGAAGGCGCTCTAATACGAGGGGCGTTCAATAAGTAAGTATCCCCCCTCTCTAAAATCCATTAGAATGAACCAATTTTAAAAAAAATTGGGCTCAAAATCTTCCTTAGGATATTTTTTGAGTTCAACAAAACAAACCGCAACAAAATCGGACCATGTCCAGCCGAACGCGAGCCGTTTGAACGCGCCGAGGTGCTCGACGCTCCCGCCGAATCCGCAAGGATTTGAAGTCCGCTACAGGAGAAGAGCTTCTCAGCCAAAGCCTCAGTCGTTCATCGCTGACGAAAAATCAAAGAAATTTTTGTAGAATAAGGGGCTTACCTCACTTCTCCACATAACTAGCTCGATCCAAGCAAGTCTGATACTGAGACTAAGAGAACAGCTTTTGGATGCCTCGCGCGTGGAAGTCTTTCAGCTGACCGGGGATGTAAGAGTGGACGGCTTGTTTGATCTCTTCCCTGATTCAACATTAACTCCTCCAAGTTCAGATTTCAGATACGATAATAAATGGTGGTCTGGTTTGCCATTTATTATCGTATCTGAAATCTGAACTTGGAGGAGATAATGTTGAATCAGGGAAGAGATCAAACAAGCCGTCCANGATGTTGTTGTTTTTGTGTGACAGACATCGCAGGATTCCTGATCCTTATCCCTCAATATCGTTCGTTTGGGTGCACTCGTTTCGGCCTCCATGGCCAGCCAAGGCCGGCTGCCAGTCAGCTGATAATCGAGTTGTCTTAACTCTGGGTATAAAGGGACTCTAGTTCAAACAGGCCGTTACAGTTCTAGATCAACGTCACTCCCAAATGAAATTGATCGGTCGACGACGGACTGAAACTAACCTAAAGTTAAAAAAATATGAGTGTGTACCTGAATTTGGGCAAAAATCAACCTAAAATACTTTGTTTCCGCAATTTTATTTATTAGTTCCCGCCCTACATTTGAATTCAAACTTGTCCCGATTTCGCCGCCAATCCTCTAGCCAATAGTAGAGGTGATTGAAAAGAAGCTCTAGAAGCTTCATTTTTTGCTTTTAGCCCTCCGTCTTTATGTCTTTGGTTTAACCTAGAGTACCTATATTGAGAGAGTATGGCCACTGGGTCCCTTGGAGAGGCTTAGGACCCAAAAATGGCGGTGCTTTGTTATGGTTTTTGAGGATGGGAGGGGGGTCATTGCCAACTTTTGACGGTTATCACCAACCGCACTTGCTGCCAACCTTACTACATCTAAGATAATTTTTCTCAAAAATTGCACACGATTAGCCTTAAAAATATGTAAAAAAGTCGCAATAGTGCATTTGGGTAAAATTCTCGTTACGATAAGCAAAGACAACTACATTTTGAATCATTTTGCATTACATTAACTTTATGGCGTCCGCCATTTTTGGGTCCTAAGGGCTCCATTCAGCCTAAGATGGCTGAGCCAATCAGAGGTGGTAACTCCAGTGGCCATACTCTCTCTTAATATAGGTACTCTAGTTTAACCTCACTTCTAGCTGCTTTGCTCTCATTGGTTGTGAAAAAGTGACGCAAATAACACAAAATCGGTAACAGGAAACAATTGTTGCGGCGATCAAAATACGACTCGAACATATTTACGAATAGCACACGAAAAACACATGAAAACATTGTTAAATTGCCTTTCACCTTTTATCACAGGAGGATGTAAGATGTGCATAACCTCAATCTTGCTTGCTGATAACGGCCATCTTGTTCGTTTCTTTACGGCCCTAAGAGCATCGTGTCAGCCTATTCGCTCGCGACCAATGAAAAACCGGAACAGAAATGGCCATACTCTGTCTATAAAGGTACCTACTCTAGGCAGAACCGCCATGAGCAAAAGAAAAACTTACTTTATCTGAGATTACTGCCTGTTACCGAGCGAAAGTAGGTGTGTTATATTAAGACGCAGTCCCAACTTTCTTAACATAATCGTTTCAGGCATTTAAAACACGTTTAAAAGAAGAAATGTGGAAAAATCAAGAGGACAATTTCAAATCAAATTTCCGTTTGCCGCCATGGATTCCCGCGCTCATTTACACACTCACACAAGCACCCAGCGCCAAACCAGGCTTCACTTTTAGTGTATTTTCCGAAGGAGAGATATTAGTGAATTTTCAGAAGGAAAGATACACTATTGCGTTCTCCCTCATGGTGGGACCTAGACCTGGGACCATGTAATGAGCACCGATCTCGAGTCGTAGATCACGAATATATATGTCATTCATTTTCTGTCATATATATATTTGTACGTATGTATGTATGTATTTCAGCCAGCGTGAGGATTTTTCAGTTTTCAGAGCGGGTTGAGCGGCAGTTAATTTTTAAGTTTCTTGGAACGAAACTTCTGGGGTGTAGAGTCCCCTAAGAGTACTTTTAAACTGTGAAGAAAAAATCGGAATCTATCTGTGGCAAGAGGGGCAGGGTAGAGTACCTTTATGGACAAAGTATGGCCATTCGTATCTTTTTACTACAGGAAAACTGTTCCGCTTTTTGATTGGTCAACGAGTTTTTAGGCTTCATGATGCTCTTAGGGCCGTATGTAAACAAACAAGAAGGCGACTAACCGTAACATCGATAAGAAGCTAAATTTGACAAAAATTTCAATTATACGGCAGTAACAATTTAAACTAGCATATCTACGAATAACACACGAAAACAAACAAAAACACACGCTGGGCCTCGTAATTTGGTCCGCGGTGGTAGCGGCGAGCCCGAATCCGGGTGCCCCGAAAAAGCACCGGAGTGCTTTCCGACCATGAGCCCTGGAAAGAATGGCCGTAAACGGAGACTAAGGCTCAATTTGGATTGGTCCAAACGCTGTTTTGTCCTCCCACATAGCACAGAATATTGATATAATACTACAATAGTACTGACACGTCAGTAGTGTCAGTAGGTATTTATAAAATGCTGATGTATCCTGATTTAATATTATATCAAGACTATGCCAGTATTTATTAGTTACTGATTTGGAGCTGTCAAAATATTGTTACAGTATTGGCCGAAAAGGTTGATTTCATATGGAAATCAGGGTTATGACAAGGTCATCAGAACACTGCAGGACACCGACAATATGTATGCGTTACTACCTTAACACTGACAGGTCTGTACACTCAGCGCACTCTGTCAAGTAGATATGAAAGTTCAGACGATGACCGTCATTTTCATAGTACTACAAATGTATTACATTTGAAACATGAATTACACAAGTATACAAGTATTGAATATTATAAACCACTTACTTGATGTCCAGCGACGTTTAGTAGCGTAAAATACACGGACGCCCTCAAGTGGATTTGAACCCGAACCGCGGAATTCCTAGCCCAGTATTCTGCCATTGAGCCACAAGGAGCTGATGGTGTTTCGGGTTAAAATCACGCCTGTTAAGGCTGTTATAGCATGCATAGCATCAGTGCGCGGCTCGACTTTCATCATAACTTTGATTAACACCGTGTTTTCTTAGGCTTCTTTTTCTTCCTATATTTTTTTTTCATTTTTTCGTGTTAATTTCTTTTCGTGTTATTTTTTTTTTACCTCGTCAGCATTAACTCAATACTGTTGTTTGATATATTGAAGGTATCAGTGTTATATTCATGCTGACGCGGTATACCTTTTAACCGACAATCTTAATATCATACTGCATTAGTGTTGATGATATTAGAGTACCTGTATAGCGAGAGTATGGACAGATGTGAAACTCCGAAAATCCATCAGGCCTTCACCGATGCTTCTGCGAATAAAGTTAGGGCCCAGAAATGCAGCCAACCTATGAATTTCAAGTATCCAGAACGATTTACTAATACTATTGTTACGAACCGTCGTTAATTAAGCACGTGTTTGACTCAGTTTTTGCATAAATTTACTCAATTTCGCGGAAGAACGCTCATTCCTGTACATTCTTGGCCATCTTGGTTAGAATTGAAATCTGCGGACTGGCAGTGAAATTTTGTGTGTTAGAAGTTGGTTAGAAGGGTGGCTGCACTTTTGGGCCCTAAGCCCTCCTAGAGTCCCTTTATGCTGAGAGTCAAGACAATTCGGCTCATGGATGTCACAAACGGGAATAAAGATTACAGAAATTGAACGATTTTCGTAATCTTTGATCGGCCCATTCTCAAATGCCTTTCTCCGTTCCTCCTCTCATTCCGTTTGTTCCTTGCCGAACCCGTAATTCCCTGGTCCATTCCAGATTATAATCTTTGCAATTGGTGAAAATGTAATCTTTATTCCCGTTTGTGACACTGTGGAGGCCTAAAATACGGGAACCAATCAGAAATGGATTCAAATTGTCTTGACTCTCAGTATAAAGGGACTCTAAGCCCTCCATGAAGCGATCTGTCCATACTCTCGCTATACAGGTACTCTAGATGATATCATGTCAACATCCAACAATATGTATCAGTATAGACATAAGATTCTGTGCTATGTGGGCTTTCTCTCTCTCGCACTCATTGCTCAGATGCGGCATGTCAAGGAAGCACACTCGGCTCTGACAAGCCGCCGTTTTATCGTCTATCTCTCTCCCACTAGCTCATTGATCAGATGCGACAACCCGCGGCTCGTCAAAGGGACACACACACACTCGCAAAAATACAGGCTGGGCCTCTTAATTTGGTCCGCGGTGGTAGTGGCGAGCCGGAATCCGGGTGCCCCGAAAAAGCACCGGAGTGCTTTCCGACCAGGAGCCCTGGAAAGAATGGCCATAAACGGAGACTAAGGCTCAACGTCAAAGGGACAGACACACTCTCGCAAAAATTCAGGCTGGGCCTCTGAATTTGGTCCGCGGTGGTATTAGTGGCGTGCCCCAAAAAAGCACCGGAGTGCTTTCCGACCATGAGCCCTGAAAAGAATGGCCATAAACAGAGACTAAGGCTTAACCTGGATTGGTCAATACGCTGTTTTGTCCTTTCTCTCTCTCGCACTCATTGCTCAGATGCGGCACGTCAAAGGAGCATACTCGGCTTTGACAAGCCGCCGTTTTATCGTCTATCCCTCTCCCAGTCATTGATCAGATGCGGCAACCCACGGCTCGTCAAAAGGACACACACACGCAAAAATACAGGCTGGGCCTCGTAATTTGGTCCACGGTGGTAGTGGCGAGCCCGAATCCATGTGCCCCGAAAAAGCACCGGAGTGCTTTCCGACCATGAGCCGTGGAAAGAACGGCCATAAACGGGGACTAAGGCTCAACTTGGATTGGTCCAAACGCTGTTTTGTCCTTTCTCTCTCTCGCACTCATTGCTCAGATGCGGCATGTCAAAGGAGCACACTCGGCTTTGACCAGCCGCCGTTTTATCGTCTATCTCTCTCCAACTCATTGATCATATGCGGCAACCCGCGGCTCGTCAAAGGGACACACAAACCTTCGCAAAAATACAGGCTGGGCCTCGTAATTTGGTCCGCGGTGGTAGTGGCGAGCCCGAATCCGGGTGCCCCGAAAAAACACCGGAGTGCTTTCCGACCATGAGCCCTGGAAAGAATGGCCGTAAAGGGAGACGACTAAGGCTCAGCCTGGATTGGTCCATACGCTGTTTTGTCCTTTCTCTCTCTCGCACTCATTGCTCAGATGCGGCACGTCAAAGGAGCACACTCGGCTTTGACCAGCCGCCGTTTTATCGTCTATCTCTCTCCCACTCATTGATCAGATGCGGCAACCTGCGGCTCGTCAAAGGGACACACAAACACTCGCAAAAATACAGGCTGGGCCTCGTAATTTGGTCCGCGGTGGTAGCGGCGAGCCCGAATCCGGGTGCCCCGAAAAAGCACCGGAGTGCTCTCCGACCATGAGCCCTGGAAAGAATGGCCGTAAACGGAGACTAAGGCTCAATTTATATTGGTCCAAACGCTGTTTTGTCCTTTCTCTCTCTCGCACTCATTGCTCAGATGCGGCATGTCAAGGAAGCACACTCGGCTCTGACAAGCCGCCGTTTTATCGTCTATCTCTCTCCCACTCATTGATCAGATGCGGCAACCCGCGGCTCGTCAAAGGGACACACACACACTCGCAATCACGAAAACATTGTTAAATCGCCTTTCACCTTTATCACAGGAGGATGTAATAAGATGTGCATAACCTCAATCTTGCTTGCTGATAACAGCCATTTTGTTTGTTTATTTACGGCCCTAAGAGCATCGTGTCAGCCTATTCGCTTGCGACCAATGAAAATCCGGAACAGAAATGGCCATACTCTGTCTATATAGGTATTCTAGGGTAGGGTAAATGATTTCATTCCCCAATGTGACACTACCTTTCGGAAAATACACTCATGCCGCGGTAAATGCGCGGACTACAAAAAGAACCGTCCCCTACTTGCCGGCAACCCCCCACGGAAAAACTCTGTCGCTTGCAGCAGGATTTCTTTCCCCGTGCTTTTAGATACGAGCACTCCGTCTTTATGCCTTCGGTCAGAGTACAATGTACAATGGAGTCGCAATAATATATGTTCTGGACTTCCATAGAGTACATAGAGTCGTAATGTAAATGGGAGAGCTGGCGCCATGTTCTGCTCGACGAATTCCGAGCCCGGTGTGCGCCGAGTTCGGATCGCTTTTTCGATGCATTTTCGATCCAAAATGGCGGTGTGGAATAAGATGTAAACCCTATCTCCTCTGTTGTTGTTGTTATCGGATGGCCGGGTACCCGTGTATCGCAAACAATCGATTATGTATCGAAAAAGTGACCCGGCGTCACACAGGAGGAGTCTCGGAATTCGGGACATGGAAAATGCTTAAAAGTGGCGCCAGCTCTCCCAATTACATTACGACTCTATGTACTCTATGTTGAGCTCGGAAGGTAGGGTTTATAGGATGGTTTTATTGGGTTGACAAAAATCCTGCCGAATTTCCATCGCAAACTGTCTGGTGCGCAATCGGGAGCATCGATGTTTCCTTCCTGCAGACTCACTACAACTGCACTCCCCACGCGCCGAAGGATTTTTGTGAACCCTCGCCTTTCAGGACTCTAGGCCAAGCAGGATCATTGAGCCATTGAGTTTGTTCTTTTGTAATTTTTTCGTTTATTTCATACAGGGTGTCCCAAAAGTTCGTACCCCCCCCCCCCNCGTATCTTTTGAACGGTTAGAGATAGAAAAACGAAACTTTGGGGATGTTTCTATCTCAAAGGAGACTATCTCTTAGGGGGCGGGGGAGGGGGTCAAAATTTTTGCCCCTCCCGCAGGGGGGGGGCAACTTTTTTTTCAAATGGTAACCCCTATCTTGTGATACATCATTAGAAAAAACGTAAAAAACTAAGAATTTTGGCGCAAACCGCAAATCAATACCTCAATTTTTGACCGAGTTATGATAGGTCAAAGGTCAAATTTGACCTATTCTCAAAAAATCATAACTCCGGTTCAAATTATTGTAGAGAAGAAAATAAAACGGGAAAATGTAGCAAATTGTAAGCACTTTTAAGTGAAAATTACAGAAATTACCTCTAACTAATTTTAAGGGGGGGGGGGTTCGGACCCCCAAAATACGTCAGTTCAAAGGTCATACAATTTTCCCGCGAAATGAGCGACTTTTCCCTAACATTGCCTCAACATCATCACGGCAAGAACGGCAAGTACACATCACAAGATAGGGGTTACCGTATGAAAAAAAAAAAGTTGGCGGCCCCCCGCCCGTATAAATAGAAGGCCTCGTCCACACAGAGATAGGTTTACGGAACTTCCTTTCGCGCGAAGTTTTGTGAATTTTTGATAGTATAGTGTTGACAGGGCTTTCGCAAAAAAGGTGTCCAACACGAGTAAAAACGTCTTATGTACCTCTCCCCTGTTCGTTTTTATTGATGTTTCAAAACGAATGAGAAGGGGGCGGCAAAATACAGGGGGCCCATAGGCGGCAAGTAGGTAAATCCGGCCCTGATGTAAATTCATTCCATCTTGATGCAATAAAAAATTCTACTTCGTTCCTACGTCTTATATTCCTCGTGTGCGGTGCCCGTAATCTACCCGCAATCACATCGTAAACGTCAAATATACCTTAATTCGGCCAATTTCTCCCGTGTGAAATTTTTTTGGCATCCAACATTTGTTACCATGAACCTCCAATTTCTGCTTTTTTGTCGTACAGAACGTAATTTAACATGTTAATATCTTCAAAACGGGACGAGTTCAAATAAAATTTGTTGTTGAGTATATGAAATATATATTCTTAACTTACAAGTTACAGTCAAGCATTGGTAGAAAAACATATTGAAACATAAAAAGCCAATAGTTACGAGTTTTCAGGGCCAAAATAAGTGGGAACTTCACAACCTTTCCCGCTCCCTTTTAAATTTCAAAAAGGTCTCAGTTTTTAAACAGTTTAATTCAACCAATTAGAAGGGCGGCTTCATTTTTAGCTGTGACGTAGAACAGTACATTTCTCCGCTTGCCACCACCTTATCTCTATGCTCTCTGTCTCCCTCTCCCCTCCCCTCACCATGACCCTCTCTACCCTCCCCCACCCCTCCCTCACAGCCAATTTGTGTTGTGTTGAGAAGCAAAAGCGAATGGAGCCGTGCGTTTATCAGATCAGTCGAAATGAGGTGTTTTTTTAGCCCGGACAAACCGCTTCTTGTCAAGTTCCAATTCGTTACCATCTAGTTTTTTTGCAGCATTAGCCCTTAGCTATTTCTAATCTCATGTAGTTATGTTTAGGTTTTGCAATCCCTGTGAATATGCATGACTTTCCTTAAAGGAGTGCGGCCAGCGGCCATGATAATATCCGACTCCGTGCTATTCCATTGACATAGCCGTCTTTACAATACTTTCTTACCAATCCTCCTGCAGAATGCCCAAATGTAATTTTAAAAAGTTCTTACCCGCTACATTTGCCTGGACTGTGCTCGTTGGCACTACTGGAGTCTTTTTCTACTACCCGTAAGTCTCTTGTCCTATAATTCAGAAGTCAATTTAGGTTAAGCCATCCAAGCAATGTAAGCAAAGCTTCTACCTGTTCTATTTCTTAAGACGTGTAGAAACTACATTGAATCAGAGCTTCCGACTGTTTTGATCAGAAATTTTTGTAATCTACAACCATTGAACCACGCAAACTGTACGCTGACAGCCGCTGCAATTCTTTGAAGCCTGCCATCCGTCTAGTCCAATATTGATAAGAACTTAAAAGATTGCAGAATGCATCTGTGGCTCTTACTCCACTAGCCAGGTAGAAGTCAATTCAGGACAAAAGTATTTTCTGAAGATCCTACTGAAATGTGCCGATTGAAACACAAGTAAAGATCCATGTATTTGTTATGTCAGATATGTTGCGGAAGTTAGCCAGCAGAGACTATTCCTAGAACAGATTCAAACTATGGAATGATCTTTATTGTTTCAGGGTTTTTTTTTTATTTAGACATTAAAAGATCACGATGAACTGGGTTTCTTATTTTATCCTTGTCCACTACTGTGGTCTAGCCCGTTCCTGTGGAAAGCTCACATAGTTCTTCCAAAATGGGTTACTTGCATTCCTAAGGCCTTGTCTCCACGAGCCGTTTCACGAGATTTGTCCGAGGGAAAAATCCCACTTACGAAGTTGGGAAAAATATTGAGTTAATCAATATTTTTCCCAGTACCAAGTATGGTACTTGTACCCCTAGGACCTACTGAGAGAAGAAGAAGAAGTGAATACGAATTGTGTGATAATTTATTCATTACTACATTGTTAATGTTTGTTTAGTGAAAATAATGTGTCTAATTGTCAATTGAGTGCATTTATTATTATAATCCCGGTTAAATACTCGACTTTAACTACTTTATCTTCCCGCGCAAACTAGTTGCAGGACTGTATGAGCCCCGTCCCGTGGAGACGGTAACTGGGAAAAATCCCAGAAGTTTCATTCCTGCGATTTGAACTTGGGACAAATCCCATGAAAACGTCCCGTGGAGGCAAGGCCTAACCTCAGGCAGAACCACTCAAATGGCAGATTCTAGGTGGCTCCGCCCCCTGGCCGCTATGTGGCCCAGCCCCCAGGGTGCGGTGCTTCCAAAGGCCTGCTCAGCGGGCCTTTGTAATCGTCAGAATCACCCGGACAAAACACCTTGAAAATGCCTAAAGTAGATTAAGAAAAAAAAAAGATGCCTCATCAACAACTAACAGCAAATCAAAAACAGACTTTGAATTCCCCTTCCTGACTCCACCCCATCGACTGTCTGAATCCCCTTCCTCACCGTGTCCATCAAGCGTCTTAAAAATGATTTTATTAGAATAGAGAGGATACCCGGATTTACAGCGCTCCATGGATTTATGAAAAGCTCTTTTGTTTCACTTGTATTTTGCATGAAGCAGTGATTTTGTGCGCAGAAAATTTAGGACACGGTCAGGGCCGCATTCTCTCTAGGCGGGTCAGGTTTAATTTAGAAATGAATTGACTAAGGCAGTGGGCCGCTGCAGAAGTGGGATCAATGTTCCTGCGAAAAATAGTTTTCTGAACCCGGCATACAACGTGGTGCATCGCTTGAGTGACTATAGACAAGTGGTCTGTACACAAGCTCTTAATCGAAGACTTACCTATTGCCTGTACAGAGAATTCCTTGTTTTCCTCATTTTTATCTTTTCCTTTTCTTCTCCTCTCATTGTGCCACTATTGGCAACGACAGGTGGCTGTGACGGCAAGGTTTCCCTAAATTTTCATATCTGTTGCTCATTCATCAAGGTATCAGTAATGTCAGAAGGTGTACGCGGCAATGTAGACGGATTATGAATGAGAGATGAGTCGATCAAAAATAAAGGAGGGTGGTCCTTGAATGAATGGACTCCGTATTTGCGCATTTCTTTTCCGCTTCAACACAAACCGTACATAATTGACGCAAGCCGTAATTGTTAGGTTTTGTCAAAGTAGAAGAAAGGGGGGTTTGTATTACAGGCACAGGCTTAGTAGCAATTTTAGGGGGGCTTGGCCGAGGCCCCTCTCTTAGCTTCACCTTGGCTAAGGGCTTCCCTCTAAAAATTTGGAAGTATTTACCCCACTTTAGGCATTTTCAGACCACTCTAACACCAAATTGTCACTATTTTGGTGGATTTTGTCTATTTGTCACATAAAATTAGCGGATTGTTCCAAGAGAGAATACAACTGGAGTAACTAGATTGCATTGCAACGTTGCAAAGGAGGAGTTGCGATTTCGGCCGAACTCGCCCCTCCGCGGAATCTGTAAATTTTTTTTATACTTAGCAGTTGATGATGCATATTTTACTGAAATAGTCCGGTATTGCCGAAACTCACATTTTTGGCTCCGAAACAGGGACCTAAACATGGCTCTGGAGCCCAAACTAGCTGAAAATTCGCGTTTTTTGCGGTTTTACCTCAGATTTTGACCTGAGCCCATAAGTGATGGGTAGGGTGTCCCAAATTTGAACCTCCCAAAAATTTTTTTTGAGTGATTCAAATTTGCGACAACCTAGTGATGGGTCATGAGCTTCGAATGTGTAGTGAGGGACGCCTAGAAACGTAAAATACGAGAATATGATCACCTGTCGTTTTTGGGCAAAATCGAACTTTCCTAAATGTTTAGCCCAAAATAGCTAAAAATCCATGTTTTCCGCTGTTCTACCGCAGATTTCGACCTGAGCCCGAAGACGACGGTTGACCATTTTCTCGCATGCTACTTCTCCAAGTGTCCTTCAGAACATATTCGAAGCTTATGACCCGTCATCTTTGGGCTCAGGTCGAAATTTGAGGTAGAACCGCAGAAAACATGGATTTTCAGTTATTTTGTGCTATTAAGTTAAGAGATCGATTTTGAACTTGGGCCCAAAGTCGATCATCTTCTCGTATTTTATGCCTCTAGGTGACCCTCATTACATATTCGAAGCCCATGACCTGTCACTTTTGGGCTCAGGTCATAATCTGAGGTAGAACCGCGATAAACGTGAATTTTCAGCTATTTTGGGCTCCAGAGCCATGTTCAGGTTCCGGTCTCAAAGCCAAAAAATGTGAGTATCGGCAATACCCGACTATTTCTGTAAAATATACATCGTCAACTGCCAGATATGAAAAACAAAGGACTACGTGCAAAACGAGCCATTTGGGGCTCGGGGCGGATACCTTTGAGACTTGCCCTATTCATTCACCTAACAATGCCCCATCTTTTCCCAAAGTTTCAAGCCCCCCAAAAATTTTGGGGAGACGCGGCGGGGGGTCAAAGTTAAAAACCGGCAAAATTTTCGCGAATTTATTACTCGAAAACCAAGAAGTTTTGGAAAACGCGGTTTAAACGAGCGTATTCAGCGTGACGAGAGCTTTCAGAAAATGTATAACATCATAGGGTTTTGTCAACTTCAGCTCGAGTTATCGCCTCCGAAACGCCGGAACGCTCAAAAAAGACCCCTTATTTTTTCACGTTTGGGCCGATTTAAAAAAAAGCCATTTTTTTATTTTGATGAAAAACTGATATGTTGTTCCNGCACGTGGTAAACTGTGAAAGGGAACTTTAGAAATGCCCAGAAAGTTGAGTAAAACAGCAAAAACATAATTTTGAATTTTTTATCTTAAATTTTGGTTGAACACACAGCCGTACCGGTTGAACACCAAAATAAATTTTACGGATAAAGTAAGACGTTAGCTTTCATATTTGGAGCAAAACAAATTTCTTGACTATAAAGAATCCGAGTACTAAGTTTTCGATGAAAATCTCTGAATTTCCGGATTCCGCGCCGGTTTTCGATATATTTGCGCCGTTTGTGTCAAAACTATTTATGTCGGCGCGCCGCTTCAAATCTGTTCCGCGCGCGGAATTTTCGATATATCGATTCCTGCTCGCCGTTTGTGTCAAAACTATTTTTTCCGGCGCGGCGCTCCAAATCTGTTCCGCGCGCAGAATTTTCGATACATCGAAAAAGTGGCGCGCGGGATTATTTTCTGGTGCAGCGCCGGAAAAAACAGTAAACAGTTTTGACACGATCGGCGAGCAGGAATCGATATATCGAAAATTCTGCGCGCGGAACAGATTTGGAGCGCCGCGCCGGAAAAAATAGTTTTGACACAAACGGCGAGCAGGAATCGATATATCGAAAGTTCCGCGCGCGGAACACATTTGAAGCGGCGCGCCGACAAAAATAGTTTTGACACAAACGGCGCAAATATATCAAAAACCGGCGCGGAATCCGGAAATTCAGAGATTTTCATCAAAAACGGGTTTTTTCTTTCCGCGCGCCGAAAAAATATTCCGCGCGCCGGAAAAATATTCCGCGCGCCAGAAAAAATTCCGCGCGCGCAAGAAAAGGGTTTTGACACTAACGGCGTTCCATACGTCCAGACTATGGAACGCCGTTAGTTATTCTCTTTAAAAATAAAAACAAATTCTGTTAGAAAAAATAAACATTTTTGACATTTTGTCGGTCGAAAGAAATTTCATTGGGAAAAAAGAAATTTCATTCGATGAAATTTCTTTTAGCAACTCTGGTGGGAGGGGACGTTTTCCCTCTGATCAACGCCGCGCGCGCAGTTTAAAATAGCCGATTTTCCCGACCTTCGCTCCTTTCCGCTCTTATAACTCGCGACCAAAACATTTCCCCAGCATGCGGTAAAGAGCCAGAGGGGCTACAGAGAGTCAGGAACAACATATCAGTTTTTCATCAAAATAAAAAAATGGCTTTTTTTTAAATCGGCCCAAACGTGAAAAAATAAGGGGTCTTTTTTGAGCGTTCCGGCGTTTCGGAGGCGATAACTCGAGCTGAAGTTGACAAAACCCTTTGATGTTATACATTTTCTGAAAGCTCTCGTCACGCTGAATACGCTCGTTTAAACCGCGTTTTCCAAAACTTCTTGGTTTTCGAGTAATAAATTCGCGAAAATTTTGCCGGTTTTTAACTTTGACCCCCCGCCGCGTCTCCCCAAAATTTTTGGGGGGCTTGAAACTTTGGGAAAAGATGGGGCATTGTTAGGTGAATGAATAGGGCAAGTCTCAAAGGTATCCGCCCCGAGCCCCAAATGGCTCGTTTTGCACGTAGCCCTTTCCGATCCGGGCCCAAATTGCAACTCCTCCTTTTTAATGAACAATTTAGTTACTTATTTACCCTTGAATAGATACAAATTTTATTTTGATATTTTTTAAATTTTTCTTGTGTTTTGTTAGAAATTCCCAGTAACTTTCTAAGTGAAACATTCGCGAACGTTATTGAATGGAGAAATAAGTTTTCTGTTAAAACTATGAATTGTTGCAATGCAAGTAAGTTCTGTTTGCTCTCATCTTCTTGGTAGTTCTATATTATAAAGATAGCTATCGTATCAGAGAAATGTATTGTGATGCAAAACAACCAATTCAAAGAATTGCAAGGCTTCGAACACCCAATTGGCAATACTGAGGAGAGTCAAAGTTCTGACAGACAAGAAAGGCTGACTTTAGGCTTTTGAAAATTTTTTGAAATGAACATTATTAAAGGAACTCTATATCCTCACATTGATTTTTATCGGTCGATAAGTGTCGTGTGATGAAATATATCTGATTGTTGTGTTCTCTCAGCATTTAGATATCCACAAAGAGTTATTTTATTTTTATTTTTAATTATTTATTTTTTTTAAAGTTAGTTTAAGTGTCTTCTTTTGCCAACAAGACCCAAGAGACCGGAATTGAAGAGAGAATATGAGGATATGTGAATGAGGAAAAATGAAAATCCATTCTCCTCCAAAATGATCAGATCTGAGCTCGGCAAATCTGTACACCCTGGCCAGGATTTGAACTCAGGACCTCTGGGACAGGCGTCACTTGCACTAACCCTTAGACCAACCGAGTTCGATATCTTAGAATTTTACAGCTACAAACTAGCAGTAGCCCTAATCAGCAGGACCATGAACGTTGGTATCATCCTCTCCTCTGTCTCTGCGCGATGGAATTAATAGACCGACACGATGATGACAGTTGACTCACCTAAACAAATCTAGCCCACTGTCCCATAATCGGTGAAGAGACCAACTAATTTTATCAAATTAGATGTGTGCTTTTGGTCTCCAGTTAATCGCAAGTCGACGCATCCTGAAATGAGGAGAGCATAAGGAAAACACGAGCGCCGAAGATAGGTGCGATACCATGGAGGGGAAAGGCTTTCTTTAAGAGGAGTCCATACCTTAACTATCTTCTGTGGTCATCCAAGTGATGTATAGCGGGTTACGGAAAACTCTTTTTCGCAGGAACAATGATCCCCCTTGTACAAGGTATGACCTCAAGTCAATACCAACTTCTTTGACGCAGCCTTTTTTTTTAACTTAAAACTTTATGAAAGCGGGACAAGTTGCACATTTATGGATATGATGACGCCAGGCATACCACCATGCAATCAAACTTTTTCCCTCAAGGCAAATAAGTAAAGTCGGGAAGGAAAAATGCCATATCCTAGTAAATGGTCAGTGTTTTGAAAAATGTTGTAGTATTATTATGGTTAATCTGCAAGGAAATTTCCTTTACTAGGTACGAGTCATTGTATGTTGAGACAAATTTCAATCTCTGATTACTCCTGAATCAGCACTACTCAACAGGTTAATGCATGCAGTCAGATGGCACCACTGATGAGTTGTAACATAAACAATACTCGACTTTTGTCTCAACATTTGATAACTCCGCTTTTATTCAGTTCCTCTACTAGGCCAGTCTGATTTCCTAATAGTTTTTTGAACAATATTCAGTGGAGTCATCGGTCCTTACTCTTTCAAAAGTATTACAAAACTTCTTAAAATTTGAAATTATTTTTTCAGTGATAATGCTACATGGTGCTGCCAAGAATGGTAATCATAAAAAAAAAAGTCTGTGAGAATTCATTTGTATCAATGGCATCTCAGATATCCAGGGTACGACCATCCTCGCTAGAATAGAAGCCCAGAGAGTATATCATGCTACCTTCAGGAATTTTAAGATCAAACGAGAGCCGACTAAAATGTGGAAACAGATTTTTGAGTCAATCATAAATGTTCCCACTGTGTTACAAAATTTGAAGAGCCCTCACAGCTAGCAAGTTTAATTTTGAAAAGCCTCAAAAATGTATTGACTTGGTCATTGCGGAGCCCAGAATACTGGAAAGCATACATGACTATTTTTATGCACTACGCTTAGCCAGCATCCTTAGTTCTCAGACTCCCAAATTTTCTGTCGCATGTATGTAGGGCGACTATTACAGAATAAGTATTTGTTGATATTTTTATTTTTCTTTCATTCGTTGTTTCTTGCTTTGTATTGCCTTTGTGTTTCTTTGAGTTTAGCTTTTGCCTAAATTTCTCTTCAAATAAAAGGAGCTCATGAGTATATGAGTCCAACTAATTTTAAAGCAAACGATTCATTGAAATTTTTCCGAATATTTTTCTTTATCTCACCAGATGCCGCTTTTACCTCACTTCATATCCATGGGTTATAGTTATTCAAGGAGTTATCACATTTTTTGTACTGGCAAATTTCACACTAGCAACATTTATGGACCCTGGTGCTATACCGAAAGGTAATTTTTATCTAATTAGTCAAGTAATTCTTTTTTCCAGAGAAAATATGAAACCTACCTCATCTACTACATTCTTCTCAGTCGTAGCAAAGCTCGAAGCTCAGTAAAACTCAAACTATCAAGCCTCTAGAGGGCTTCATTACCCCAAAGAATCTGTTGTGCAAGTCAGAAACTTTATTTTAGCAAACAAAATCTGACCTCAATCACGAATTCTTATAAAAGAATGCAATACTTAAAATATCTGCCAACTACCTATTTTGGAACAAAGACAATTTTATTCTCATTTTATTTCGTTAAATACCTCAACCACTCCCTCAGGATATCAGATGACAATTTTTTACTCGAAAGTTTATGCTTGGAGCTGAAAAAACGGATGCAAATTACTTCTCTGTGATATTTTAACTGATATGCTTTTAAATACAGTTCAGAATACAGTTATTTGATGTATTTTCAAATTTTCTGCCTTTACAGCATTACCTGACGAAGAGAGAGAAGATGATTTCCGCTCTCCGTTGTACAAAAATACTGAAGTTAATGGAATTACAGTACGAATGAAGTGGTGTGTCACCTGTAAATTTTATCGTCCTCCTCGTAGCTCGCACTGTAGTGTTTGTAATCATTGTATCGAGGTCAGTAAAATCTTCTCTTGTCTTGATTGTATCGTTCTTTTTTTTTTTGCTTTTTTAATCCAAGTCTTTCAAGTGTCTTCTAAGTCATTCTGCACCATGGATTTGTTCTTGCCAGCAAGCCGATCATTGAAATTTTATTTCAGCAAGACAGAACCTCGAAGTGGGGTATATTCTATGGCACAAATAAGGCTCTGTCTTATCTTGTTGCACTGATTTAGTTATAAAAATCAGCCTGCAAGCCAAGAAAGTGAGCTAAAAACTATCGATTTTTAAAAGTTGAAGATGGCTTTAGCCTCGTTTATCGTCGTGATATTAGCGTTACCTTGTCTCCACAACATGTTCTTCAAAATTAGTTCCATATTAGATCCAAAGGCGGCGTCCATATGTCCTGGTGACATACTGTAAACATAATACAGATCAGATCTGTTTCTGGGACTGTTTTTACCTGTAGTGAACAGGAAAAAATGGTCGTTTCAACCAGCTTGACAAGGAGCAAAGCCGAGTCCAAGCATTTCGACGGTGTAAGTCAGCAATCACATAACTTGGTTTGCGACATCGCAGACTTCCTGTTATACTTTATTTTTTAAACTAAAAACTACTCAACGGCAATTCTTTAAAATTGCCGTGATTTTTCTTCTCTGTGCGAAGAAAATTCTGTGAAAACTTCAAGGAATGATGTCAATTTGTTCTCCTTTGAAGAAATAACATAGAGGCGGAGATTTTCAGACACCGCAAACAAGATCTGTGATTGCGGACTCAATTACGCTGTCGATTTCTGTTTTTTTTCTCTCTCTCTTTTTTTTTTAAAGGAAGGAGCACTAGAGTGGATAAAAATGAACATTTGTTTAAGAAATTCATACTGATCCAGAACAAAAAATGTATGCCTCAGTATCAAAATAAAGTTTGCTGAGGAGGCTTCGTTTGTAAAAAACCTTGGTAAGCTTACTAAGCCTAGCCAGTCAGTGTTATTTTTGCCAATTTTGCTGTCGTTTTTAAGCAGGACGAAAATCGGTCCGTGCACTCATTTGAAAATCAGTTTTTGTTGGAAAATTTTGTACTCCCAGGAGGCTTCCCAAAGAATCCTCCTAATGAGGATCATTTTTTCCTCTTCTTTTTACTAACTGTTCACAAAGTAAGCAAACCCATCAGAGTCATTGGAGATGCCCAACGTCATTTTAAAAGCCTGATAAAATCTTAAGGAGTATTTTATCTTGGGAGGATGGAATTTTTTGTGTCCCTCAACAGTCCTTTATTTAGACTGAAACGCATGATTCAATTGTGATCATAGAGATTTAACAAGTATTTTTTTGTATGACTGTGGTAATTATGTTGAACACTGGAAAAAAATAACTCTGAAGCAAGTATACGTCAGATTAAGAATGGCTACAAGGATATGATTTTTTTTATTTAGAGAAAATTAGATAGAGATTGAGCTGAGCATATTTTTGGTTGATTCCATTCCACTTTGTCTTGAATCTGGTAAACTCTCCTTTAGGTTATTCTTAATCCACCATCTCTTTGATTCAGAGAGAGATTTTTTTGAGTGTAATACAAGTGTGAGCAAGAGCATGAGATTTTTCATTCTATGGGGAGGTGCCAAATATGATTTTGTTCCTTTTCCATTTTGCCACGAGTGGGTATCAAATTTTACATCAGTCATATTTCACAACAAAAACAGGCATTATTGACCAGCTGCAATCTTATCTATCAATATGTTACAGTTCCACTGTTTTCATCAAGACTCTTCCTCTTATCAACAATACTTTTCTTATCCTGCTTGCACACTTTTTTGTCAAATTTTTCTTGTAATTTTTCCAGACGTTCGATCATCACTGTCCGTGGGTCAATAACTGTATTGGACGAAGGAATTATCGATATTTTTTCTTCTTTTTGGTCTTGCTTTGTGTTCACATGGCCAGCATTTTTGCTCTGTGTTTAATTTATGTCCTTGTCAAGAAAGAAAACCTGAGTGAAGTGGAAACAGTTGTTTCGTATCCTTTTTTAACTTGCTCTCAACTTCAATTTATCTTTAGATCTTGCATAGATTTTTGAGCTGATATTTTTCATTATATTGTAGAGGGTGGCTATCCTAGCAAAACGGCTCAGAGAGCCAACCTCTATACTAATAATCGGGGGACGTGAGATGAAATGAAGGAGAATGAAATGGTGATGAACAAACTATAATGGATGACTAAAAATGAATATGAACAGATATGACAGTGGTTTAAAAGGAACCTCTCTCTACAAGGGTGGATACAAGGGAATGATATGTGCTCTCGGTGTAACACACCTATGCTCGGGTAAATACGCGGCAGCAATCATGATACACTACAGACTAACATGGAAATATACAAGGGGCGGAAACACGGCGACGCTCATGAGTCCTGACTAGACTAAACACGAAATGACCTAAAGACCTCGAACTTACATGGTGGGTGAAAAGAATGAATTGATCAGAAGACGGCGAGCTTGGCCGTGCAACGCGTTTTATAGCCGCGGCTCGGCAAGCTTCGGCAACTTTCGGGCGTCTCCCCGCTTTGGCCGTGGCCACGGACCGAAGTGGAGGGAACAGCCCCGCGGGTCTTGCCGCAGTACTCTGGCTGACGTCACCGATTCTGCTAGGGGAGCGGCGAGCGTACCCCACGTTTGCAGTCCCGAACACGGAGTGTACACGCTTGACAGCAGTGTCGAGTGTGGATACTACAGTATAAAGATACACATCAAAAGGGAAATGGTCTACCAAAAAACTAATTAATTACTTTGCTTATTAACTGAAGAGCCCAAGTGCCAAAACCTCATGAGCTTTGGAAGGGGTGTTAGATGAAAGTAATTAAGGTTCCTGAGGCTTTGATGCCAAAATCCTTTTGTAAATAAACAGTTCACTGTTTACAAAAGGGTTTACCATAAAAAGCGCAAGTCCTGCGCTTTGCACGGTTTTGCTCATATAGATTTTAGTTTTGGGTTAGGCGGGCATCAGTATTTATAATCAATAATCATATTAATATCCACACAGCGGAGATCATGATGCTCTTCCAATAAAAAAGTTTCTCTTAATGAGCAACTGCCTCTCAATTAAACGTCTACCTTCAATGTTGAACAAGACTCTACCAGCACTTTATCCTAAAAGCGCATCACTGTGGTTGAGAATGGCCCCAAAATATTTAACAAATTTACCTCTGCTTAATCAAAACTTAGAGTTGTCAAAATATCTTTTAATTTGGATAATCACTATAATATTACTCTTAAGGTAGGAAGCAATGAATTTGAGGAATATCAGGACAATATAGCCTGAAATTATGAATGTCAATAGCCAGGCAATGTTAACAAATTATTAGGACAATATTGCCACAATTAGTGCTGTACATCAATGACTAATGCTGTGCTGTGTCTTTGTACGGTAGTACTTCAGCTTCTCATATCAGGAATTTAATTAGTCACAGAAGATGTACTGAAGTTTCATAAAATGCATTGGACCAAGAGTCCCGGTGAAATGTTCGTTTTTGACATTATTTGTTCCCTTGAGAATGTTATTTTTTTTTAAGTTACGTATGAAGCTTCCTGGTTTTATTGATTGGCCTCAAAGTCAATTCCACAGACTATTTCCTTAACAACTTTTCTTTTAGAATGGTCATCATGATCCTCATAGCTCTACTTTTTATACCCATCTATGGTCTTACTGGATTTCATATGGTACTTGTCGCACGAGGACGTACCACCAACGAGCAGGTGACGGGCAAGTTCAAGGGTGGCTACAATCCTTTCTCAAATGGTTGCATCCATAACTGTTTCTTCAGCCTCTGCAGTCCTCAATTTCCTAGGTAATCCTAATCAATTGTTTTTGTCCTTTCTTTTCTCTTTTGTAATTTTCTTTGTTCTGTTTTTAATTCTGTTCAAAACGCTTGTAGTTTTTTTTACTTTATTTCTTGCAGTCTAATAGGAAGGATTTTAAATGTAAGAACAACTTAGGAATGAAAAACTTAAAAGATGTACAAGAAATCTGAAAAATTTATTTTTTGAAGTTGCAAATTTGGCACCACCAATGTCTTTGTTGTTTTAATGATTCAGGACCAAAGTTTCAATTTCTCTGAGTTTAGCAAAAAAAGTTAATTCCAAGTCCAGAACTAGTATTTACGCTCAAAGATTCTATTCGTGTTTTTTATTTGAGTTCAAAACCTATGATCGAGCAGTACTAAATCTGAGTGTTTTGGTTTTCTTGATTGATTATTTTTGACTCCTTTTTGCTGGTTGAATGTGATTCGGCGCAAGCATCATCTAGACAGAGTGTTGGCGATTTTGTCGACGTGCGCTAAATTTCACTTTAAAACTGATATTTTCATTACAAAGAGAAAAAACTCATCAGAGCACAAATTTTATCTCCAGAGAGCTCTGCTATTTGGTGCAACATTACAGGTGGTGCCTGATTAGTTTTAACTAGTGTTGCTTCAAGCAGCACAACTCTCTTGAGATAAAATTTGTGCTGTGATGAGCTTTTTCTCTGTATAATGGCAAAATTACTAATACTCATTTCTTACAACACGTACATCAAACCGCAAGCAGTTCGTAGTAATGGTTTTTAGGCAAGCAGGAATTTTGAACTCACTGAACGCAAATTATATAATGCAAAAAATCCTAATTTCTCACTTTTGTATTAATTTTGGAATTTTTTGAGGCGTTTAAGAAAATTGCGTAAAAATCTGATGAGAAAACACATGCTGTGTACTTAGTCTCTCCAGTTCCACCATCAAATTAATCGCCTTCATTCAGATTTATCTGCTACTTTAGACTTCGTCAGCAGAGACTACATGCTTCTGCTGCTAGAATTGTTAACGTGACTCAATTTTTATAAATTCCAGTGTTTAGGTTTAAGCTCAAAAGTATCTTAACCTTAATTCTATCAATTTGAAGGAGGACAGTTTGTTTTGAACTTTTCAGCTGGAGCCCCAAAAGAAAAATTATGATGTTTTTGTTTTCTAGAATCTCATTTGGTCATTTCCAAGTGAAATGATCTCAGTAGTCCGGGATTGAATTTATATCCGTTTTTAATAAATGTCTCCCTTAAATCTGTTACAAGAATCTATTCCTTTTTATAGTTTACTCAATTTAAAGACTGCCAAACACAAAAGACGGCAAGATGCAGGTGATCAGATCTCCACAATTGCAAATGAAACGCAAACAGTCAAAACTTACATGGACAATAGCAATGGAGTTCGAAGTTCAAATTCCAACGCTTATAATAAGGTATTTCTCAGCATTTTTATCACTGGTTCCCTCCACACACTGATTAGATTAGACTTCTAATTTTGTCTAGTACTGAGGGGTGTTCAAAAAAATCCCTGTCGGTAAGCTAATGATACTGCTTGTTTTGAAATAACTGATACTTTCCAATTTGGCCGCTCTTGTCGAAAACACACAGCTTTATTGGAACTGCATTAGCTATGAGTCGGAGAATTGTTGCCTCATATGTCTGTCTGTTCGGTTTCTTGGCCTGCAAAACGGATATATTTGACAAATTCTTATTTTCGCTAGCTCCAAAAATTCTGATAACTATGAAAACCATGCTCATCAAGTTCACCGTTGTATGCATATAAATGTGAAACCAAAATATTCGGCTTGCTCAATTACCTGAGATTCTACTGTAATTGCATCAAACTTAGCATAGTTAAGGATGAAAGTGAATGGTGTTCATCGAAAAAAACTCAATTTTCCCACAAGGTGAGTCGCAAGTGGTTAAACTTATTTTTTTTTCAATGGAGGATGTGAAGTTTAATATTGTTAAGCGGTTTTGTGCCTTAAATTCAGCAAATTTAAACATTTTACTCAGATGTTACCAACTGGGCACTTTTTGTGGTAAATATTTGATACATATTTCCTCGATGCGACTGCCTTTGCCCCACCCCTTCAAACACGAAACAAAAGTTGAGTGAGGCACTCTTCTGCTGGGGCCATGCCAGTCGCGAGGCGTAGCATATATACGGCCCTGAGGACTCCTGGCCTTACAGGAGCGTTCTGAACCAGGAAATGCACCGTGACTAAAACGACTCATGGGTCCTCGCCAAGCCCTTCAGTGCCAGTTGATACAATTGGCGTTGCAGACAGTGCGTTTATTTCTGTTTCCCAAAATTATGTTTTTAAATTATAAACTATCAATTGACACAATTTCTGTTTAGTTTGATATTTTTCGGTGTTTCTTGTGTCTGAATGTCTACAAAACATTCATCCAAGCTGTGGCACTGACATCTCAATTTGAAAATGTGGCAATGTGAATCCTTTTACCCGAGAACATCACATTTACCGAAACTTTATTCTCTTGCTTTGTCACAAATTGTCAGGTGTTTCTTTTTTTGTTTGTAGTGTTGCACAAATCATGCAGGTTTGCAAGTATCTAAAATCATGTTTTTTGGTTTTGTTTTTACTCTAGATGTCTCCGGGGAGGGAGTGCTCGGATACTGATATGGAGTTGACGGCTTCACAGTCACTGGATTGCGAGCCAACTCCACCACTTCATAGGCATGGCTCAAAGAATAACTTCTACCTGCCTCCTGTAGATAGTAGCATACAGCGGTCGAATATCCTCTCCAGATCGAGGTTAGTTTCTTCCTTTTTAGAAGGAAGAACTTTGATTCATAGTGTCCATGACCTTTACAAGCCAGAAAAAAATGAAACATGTCTGAGAAAACCGAGGAATTATTCGAGAAGTCAATAATAGAAACCGAGAATTTGATACCACTTGGTTCTTAAACCTGAAGATCATTGTAGATTTGGCACTGAAGAGTTGGCCGAAAGATTAAATAAGGAAGGAAGGGGTACAATTTTTCTTTCTTTCTTTTTGCTTACAGATATCAACAATTTTTCTCCTAAAGCAGGATATTTCATAGATGGAAACGACCTGGCTGCTTTACATTGCCGTCCATTTTTAAAACTAGCAGAAACTTTTGATTTTCTATCTGCAGACAAAAAAATTTCTCAACATACTGACAAGTTTTACTTTGTAGGACATACTGGCAACATACTGACAAGTTTTACTTTGTAGGACGGTACTCAAAAGATTGGTCATAAGAGAAAGAATAAAAAGTTAATAATAATGATAAAAGTATAACTATACATAAAAACAATGGAAAGACACTAAAAATAAAAATGGACCAATAAACCAGTTTCCGCGTAAATTTTAACCTAATCTCTTTTCATAGCACTGGCTTTGCCAAAACTACAAATTTACCAAGTGCACTACCAAAATGTTCAATCTTGACAACTTTATATATCAAAAAAAGAAGAAAAAAATTACAGGGAATTCCTAGTAATTATTGATCGCTGGTAATGTAGTGATTTTGTCAGGGGTCCGCGAAGCTTCGCATTTTGCGAAGCGAGGCGCGAGGTCGGAAAAAGTGAAGCAAAGCGCGAAGTCGGAAAAAGCGAAGCGAAGCGATAATTGCGCGGTAATTCAAATTTTCGCGCTCTTTCGGAATCGATGCTGAATGCCGATGATTGATGATCCTCCGCGTAGACCGGTTCTTTGCACATGCGCTTGCGGCAGAGACAAGAGACCCTCCACTAGTATCTTGGCCATGGTGGAAGCTTTTACTTTCGGGACTTCAGCATTCTACTGTTGACTTACCTACATGGTTGATGTTCAACAAGGTGTTGGCAGTTTCGTTTTGCAAACAAGCCGAACATGGCGGACGTTTGGGAAAGTTGTTTGACTCATGACGTCATCCGAAGCTCATCATCGACCATGTAGGTAAGTCAACAGCCGAAAATAGGGTGATGACTGTTGCTCCCTAATAATTGTCCATAAGGAATTGTTGAAACCCCGAAAGTAAAAGCTTCCACCTGTCGCTAGGAGGCCAGTGGAGGGTCTCTTGTCTCTGGCTTGCGGCCGCTCCGCGTGTAAGCGCCTTTTCTCCTAACCTTAATTCCATCATAATAAAATTTTTTGAAAAGTTTAAATAGATGGTTTTCAAATTTTATTTACCACAATTTTGCAGGTATTGCTATGTTTTACATTAAATTATATTAAAAAACAAATTTAAAAGAAAATAAAAAGTAAAAACATTTTTTATTTTTTATCATTCCGTGATCATTAAAACAAAACCGATGACGCATTTAAAAAAAAAAAACTTAGATCTGCTGGCATCTCAATAAAAATTCATTCTTAAAATTTAAGGGAAGAGAAGGAAAATTTAATGAATGCATTCTTCACGTATTTCCCAGTGTTCAATGAAGTTTACCACCGCCGCACGCTGAGTCGCGACTCGCTGGAGTAATCGCAACGAAATTCCGCAGGTTGCATCCAGCGTATTTGAAGGGTTTTTTTTCTCCAGTTGCTTCGCTTCGCTTTGAAAATCGCCGCTTTGCGGACCCCTAGATTTTGTCAAATGTTTCCTTCTTTAAAGATGATTATGATGGGATAAGGTTTAAAGTATTTGCTGCTTGAAAAGAAGTAACGCTGAATTTTGCCTTTTCTATTATCTTGCAAACACAGGGGTTTTTTAATTTGGATAATACTACAATGTCTGCTAGTAAAGTAAACAGGTCCATAAAGGCAGTTGATTGATTTTCCTATTCTCTCAATTTCAGAGTTTTAGAATCTTCACGATGTCACACTCCAGACTTAGACAAAGGAGGCACCTTATCAGGACCGAGCCCCACAATGCAACAGCGAATCAAAGCTATCGGAGTGCCAACACCAATCGCTTTATCTAGTCCGATGAGAAGGTACGTATAGCATATTAAGCTTATCTTTGCAATCGGCCCTTTCGTCATTTTCAGATGCCAGATGGTGAAGGAAATGTTTCTTCTAGGCTTATTCTCACAGCTAAGTGTGTTTTTAATCTTTCATGGGAGTAGTTAGGCCAGAAAAAGAATTAAATGACACGTGTCCATCGTGCATTCATTCAACTTAATCACATTTGAATTTTTACCAGCCTATCTAACTAGTCAAATGTATTTTATCTTGAAAACCCTAAAATTCAAATGCAGGGTGAAGGCTCCCAAACGTTTTTGGTTGCATGATTAGCGTGAGCGTGAGACCGCTGTAACCATGGCAGGGCGTGAATGTACTCTGGTCCGATGACTAGGAGCACTGGAAGAATTTTTCTCTGCCGACATGCCTCAGTCACATTTTCCCAGCATATTGTTCACCAAGACAGCATAAGTTGTTGATTGCAAATTTTTTAAAAAATAAACGGGTTAATTGTACATTGATCAAAGCACTGCTCTCATTGGCTCTCTGAAATCTGCAAAAGCTGTGTCGGAAAAGGTCAAACTCTTCCATCTTTGCAGATAATGGAGCTCATAAACCGTTCATAAAATTTGATTAAACCTCCCAAATTGTTTTTCAATATATTCACCTTTGAGGTACGAACATTATTGTCACGGTGGTGTTGGTTGGAGATTGCTTTGATGAAGGAGCTCAGCTCCTTGGTTGAATGAAATTTCTCCAACACAATGTTTGTCCAAATCTTCGAAAATCATTTTTCAGATAAGTATACCGCAAGAAAATGGCCTAAGTTAAGATTACTGGACTTGATCCCTTTAAAAAATTCAATTTAACTATCTCTGTAATACTCAGGAACCTGTCGATAAGTTGCCGGTCACAATTCACTATTTTGTTTTTTCAATCTTGGAAAAGATTAAAATCTAATGGAGGATTTGCATGCGGCAGGATTCTTAAAGTGTTATTTGCTACTTATGGGGGCTTTCACAAAAAGAACAGTGGTAGCTTCGAAAAAGGGCGTCAGTGTCTTCTAAGATCGGATAAAACCCGGGAAAAATTCCAGACATCTGATTGGTTCTGCTGAAAATGATGTCAGCTAGTGGCTATTAGAAATTCAATGGGGCCAGTGGCCGTAAGGTTATCATTGTGTCTGCTCAAAGTCAAAACTCGTGTGATGATTCTGTGAACGATTTTTAGTAATCCAGTGGGTTTTTGCAATACTGAATGTTTGAAAAGTGGAGGAAAGGGAAAATCTTAAGCCATTTTGGGGGGCAAATAGACTGGTTGTACAATTTTCGAAGTCTCTTAAGCAATTTTAAGAGCTAGAAAATCCATGTAACTCCATGAAGTCACATGGAACGCTGTAGAGCTCTAGTGGGCTGACAACTAAGTGCTGCTGGGTGGCGTCATGACATATCGAGTAGTACTGTACAAACAGAAATTCAAATCCGATTTTCAAATTTTGATCATCAGATGTTTCCGATCTTAAAAAAAAAAAAAAAAAAAAAAAAAAAAAAAAAAAATAATATGTGAAATAAACTTCTTGATGGTCACTTCCTCCCTTACTTCCAAAACAATGAACAGAAAAAAACAAAGAATAATTGTAAAGTCTCCATTAGTATTTAGGGGAAAATATCCAACGATGTGCAAGATTTCTAAAATTCTTTTGACTGCTTGATCACCATTTTTGTGCGTCATTTGAGGATAAGATGTTCCCTGCGGTGAATTTTGGCTTTTGGTTCAGTGACAAACTCTGCTTGCAATGGACCTATTTGCCAAATCAGTTAGAGGCTGACTTTTTCCCAACAATCCCTCAATGAGGAGATTTGCGCCCTTTGAAAATGTTTCTGTGGTCGTATTTTAAAAAGCTGACCGTGAATTTGTCACTCAATATTTAAGAGATGTTTTCTAATGGAATGCCTTAAAATTTCTATCAATTCAAACCATTTTTTAAACATTTATAATATTAAAATGTATGGAGACTGGCGAAAAATATTACTACCACTCTTCAAGTACACCTCAAATTTTTAAAGGGATGTATTTGTAACTAGGACCCAACGGCAAGTACACGGTTTCTGATTATGAAAGAGATAAGTTGCTTTTTTTCTGCTAAACTCTGTTCAGCTATAAACACATTTTATCTAATAAATAAAATTAAATTATCGATTTTAAAAAGCTTTGAGCTTACTTCTTTAGCTTGTCGCAAAAGTGAAATTATCTTTCTTTAAAATTTGGTATCTTATTACCAGCTTTAGATGTAGCTACTCACCAACTTTTTTTCAATTGAATTGCAGTTATTGAATTTCTCAAAAAATTCTAACTGTGACAATTTTTTCTGAAATGCTATTAATACTAACTTTAACATTTCAATACGGAAGTCAATTTTTGTTTAAAAACCCTCCTTTTTTAGCACTTTCGGGTTTTGAGTGAGTATCTTATTGAGCCAAAAAACTGTTTGGTTATATTTGACGTTTAATGTTGATAAGGAAAATTGGTAACTATGTTTACAGTGTGCATTTGGGTGTAACCAATATCTGACGAGATTATATGTCGGGACCCCTCTAGATGTCTTTTAAGTGCTGATTTTAACATCAGGTCTGATAAAATCCATACTCTGAATTCTAGTATGTATCCATTTGACGTCTTGTATAGCAAGCAAGGAGGATGCAATTTTTGCAAAAATGCATGAAAGGCTTTGCGCGTAGTTACATGCTTCTCTTGTCTAAATGGTTTGACTATTTTTAGTCACGACTTGGCATTTTCATCAAATGCAACTCATCTTTAAGTCCTCTTCTTTACTTTAGCCGATTTTACAAATATTTGCCCTCAATAAATTGATGTCATGATTTCATTCTTATCTTTCATTAATTGCATTGCATTATGCTACTAAGTCCTACAATCTATTTCTAACAAGTTTAGGGTTTTAATGAAGTAGTAGTTGAGTCATCCAAAATTCAGCCTAGTTAAGTTGTCCATACTTCCTATCGAATCGTGAACTTGAATGCTTTCTTTTTTGTGCAAGGTTTATATGTAATGTCATAGTGACTGTAACTGAAGTGTGTCATGCCACAGATTTTTCGTCGCAAGGCTGCAGAATTTTCTAGATGCTCAATTCCTTTCGTTTGTAAGAAAATCATGCAATTTTTGTCAAATCGCAGCAATAGGGTAGTTGCACAGCCGGGATTTTAGATCTGAAAACTGCTTTTAGCAGAACTTTTCGCGAAAAAATCGTGTTTTGTATTTGCAAGTTCCAAAATTGAGTCAAAAGCTCCAAAAAAGCTTGGTAAGAAATCGCAAAATTGCGGTAAGAAGTAAACGATTTCATTGGCTGTGACGTGAGTTGGCATACCAGGTCTATTAGATAAGAAACCGGATTTTGGTGATAACCAGCCCATTTTGCGTCTAAATTAGGTTTTCTTAGACTTTCCTGATAGCTGGTAACATACTAAAGAACGCTGGATTCACAAATTTTGTTTATTTTGATCAGTGTCCATTCTGTGTCACCTTGAATACGAGGAAGTAGGTGCGTTCTGCAATTTTCATCATGCGATCACTGATAGAGCAAAGGTTTAACATTAAATTTTGTCTTAAACTCAGTATATCTTGTACTAAAACTTTTAGTATGCTGAGTAAAGTTTACCAAGATCATTGTATGGGTTGTTCTCAGTGTTGTGAGTAGTCTAAATGGTTCAAAACTGGTCAGCAGCCTGACCACAGACTTCTGACTTCCATCGATATTGATAGAACTCGGTTCCATTCCAATGGAATACCCTTCGAGGGCGACCGTAGACCTAGATCTATAAAAACAGCCTTTGGAACTCTGTTCCATCGCTCATGGGTCGATAGAACTGCCCGATTCCATCGAAATTGAGGTTAGGGTTCTTCTTTTTTGTACGTGCTTCTCACTCGTCGGCCATTGAAGTTGATTTAGATTAAGCTATTGGTTGAAACCGAAATTTTGAGGTTAGTGCATCTCCCGCCATTAATGTTTTCCAACCTATTTCTTCTTCTTCGATGCATGCATCAAGGACGGTGATTGGTTGAGAAAAATTTCCTCTTCTTCAGTTAATCGTTCAACATCGCACGCCTTCCATCGCCGTTCCATCGTGGTCCGTGGTCGCAAAAATTCTAGCCATAGAACTGCTATGGAACAAACTCGCACTTCTATTGCCGGGAGCCATAGAAGTCTGTGGTCTGGCTGCAGGAGTCCGTCGCAGATGAGGAGCACGGGAATCGACTATCAACAGCAACTGACATTTGCCATGTGGAAGAAGTGCGGGCAAAAGTGCTTGAAACTGGTCGTTTTGAGCTTTCTGAGCATTGTGATCAGGGTGTCTACAAGTCCATAAATAGTATCGATTTTTTAAGGGGGATCTGGAAGTACTGAAAAAGTGCAGAAAATCCGCAAAAGATCCGCAATTTTGTTCATTTTTTTGTTATTTTTGTTGCAATTTGAGCGAGAAATTCAAATTTTTGAAATCTCTCAAATTTCGTCAAATGGAGGTACTGAAAAAGTACTGAATTTTTCTGTTGAGGAAGTACTGAATTTTTTGAGAATGTACTGAAAAAGTACCGTAAAAGTACTGATTTTTGACCAGCCTGTTTTAATAGACACCCTGGTGATATTTCTGAGGGCCCTGCACTTACAATTTTCATTGAATATTTAGACATGCATCAAGTTTCAGCTAAACTTGTCCCGCAATTGTTGTCCATTCAACGAAAATTCAACCAAATGTCAATTTACCTTGAGCTTCTCGAACGTTCTAACAATGATCCTACTTTTTTGGATACGATAATTTCTGGTGACAAAACTTAGGTGTACGGTTACAATATGGAGACGAAACTCCAATCATCCATGTGAGTTGACAAAGGTAGTGCAAGACCGAAAAATGAGCGATAAGTTCGGTCAAACATGGAAATCGCATTCATGAGGTTGCTTTACTTCAAGCCAAGTACCAACAAAGTGAATGAAAATATTTCAAATTTGTGAATGTAGCGT